GATTAATTACCTGTCCAAGAGAAAACTGGCAACTTGAGCGTCACTTTGAAAACCTTTTTCCTCCATCAGTGACTTCCATCGTGTAAATGCCGTGCCAATGTTGATCCGTGTTTTTTGTCGTTTCTTGTCACGCTTGCGTTTATTCTCGTCGTGTTTCCGCTTCTTAGATGACGGGGGTTCGGTGTCCGCCGCTTTTCGTTGTGATACAGAGTAGGCATGATCCTCCATTCGTCTGATGTTTGGCCACACAGTGCCAAACAGTTTGCAAAGTCACTCACGCCTGCCGCCTTTTTCACCTTTCTTGTTACTGAGGCGCAGTATACCTGCTTCTTCTTCTTCTTTGGTTTCAGGCAGACTAAACGCTTCTCAGGCATAGTACTGCCATCTACTGTTCAGTACCGTCTCAGTTAATCTCTCTCAACTTGCCGTAGTTATTTTCGAGCGTAATGGGCGATCTCGCAATCGCTAGTTTGTTGCCTCTGCGCTTGCCGTAGCACAAAGATGTCAGCCTCCATGGCTGCGAGACCCGCTCCTATGTAATTATAAATAACGAATTCTAAGGCAACGCAAATATTATGGTTAAATGGCTGAGCTCATAGGTGATGATAAATAACATAGTTATGTATAATATATTAAATTTCTGACTTTATATCCCTGTAATTATTACACACTGTAGCTTTAAGCAACTGCAGTCTCTGCTTACCGATATTTACACCATTGACCCTAACATACGAAGTATTTATTACGGTTTCAGGGAACCCTCGTTGAGCTTCTTTTAATAATCTCTTGTTTTTCTTTTTTTTTTTTCCCTCCAGGCCAGTGGCGCGTCGGTCCCCAACGTGGACGATCCGGAAGCCTTCCCAGCCCTGGCCTGAAGACGCTCGTCTTTCACCACCAACCCACCCATCTGCCCTTCCGGGGGCCCCCTCCTCTACGAGGCTTGCATGCTTACCACATCTTCAAGTATATAAAGGAGAAAAAAAAAAAAAAAAAAACACAACCAAAAATACAAAAGCATAAAAAAAAATGGCAGACTGTCATCCCATACCACTCACACCACCAGAGGACTCGAGTTTTAAAGAAGAAAAGACAAAAACCAGATGGAGTAAAGGACCTCTTGTTACACTGAAGTTTTGTATTTGGGAACATGAAAGCAGGGATGTTTTCAGATTATCTTTTTTTTTTTTTTTTTGTTTCCCCAGAGATGCATACATACTTCATTAATATTTTTTTGTGCTGCTTGAATTCCTGCATTTGCAGTTTGGTTGAAGCGTGTAGTTCAACCAATCGTTCCCTTCCTGTTTTGACGACTTCAGCAAAGTATTAAGTTGTCTGTAGAAGACCTTCTACTGGAAGCTCCCCCCTCCCCACCCACCCCAATACGGTAGTGCTACACTACATGAGAATTGTGCGCTAATGCTAGGTTCAAAGTGTAATTAGGCGGCTCCTGACTACCCATTCCTTTGCAGAGGCACAAACCCAAAGAGGGGAAACCAGCAAAGTGACTTAATACAAAAGCTTGTTTTGATTTTTTTTTTTTTTTTGTGCAGTGAAGGTCAACGCCTCTTTCCTTTCTTTTTAATAGCGGACCAGTGGTTAGTAATGTTTGTATCCCCTGATCCAGATGTGCTACCTGTTTTTTCAGGGCCCTGTGTATTTTAAGGCTGGTCCTCATAGGTCATACAGACTGTACAGATTGTACCTTCAGGACCACTAAGCAAATGTTTTTTTTTTCTTTTTAAGCGTGAGAATAAATGTGAGTTTTTAGTTCCTTAGACTTTGAAGGATTCCTCTGCTTTGAACTTGAGTTTCTCTCACAGAAAACTACAAGTTCTCGCCTGAAGTAGTGAGAAGTGATTGTTAAATGTAGACGGTAGACGGACCATGGACATATCTGGCTCCTTCAGTACCTGTACTGATTTTCAGAGCTCAAAGCGTTTGGTTTTTAATCACCAATTGTCTTTTGATTTTTTTTTTTTTTTTGCAGTTGCAACCCAGATGTTTCTCTCTACTAACCAGTGCACACCCATCATTGCGTTATTTGTTAAGGAACTGTCAACTGTCCTTGTGGAACAATCATCGGGCCACAGAATGTAATGTAAGCTAATGGTGCTTTCAGCCGCCTGTGTCGGAGTCATCGCTGAGCTTTTGCCTTTTCAGTGAAATCTGTTCGCTGCAGATGACTTTCCAGGTGATGAAGGGGTTTTGCATTGGAAACATGGAGGGAAATGAAAGCTTTAGGCGTTTTGTTCTGCAAAGGCTCGCTGGCTGTCCTCCGATACAGACGGCTGGAGCAGATTTCTTGTCGGACTGTTTGAGCCACATGACTATGAAACTTTCTCTATAAACATCCCTGTTCTAATAAAGTGCTCTAGAGGTGTGACTGGTTCGGTCTACGGCTTTCTGTGTGCATTCAATGACTGCTGGGGATTTTAAAAGTTAAAACAAGCCTCACGCTGGCTTCTATTTTCTTTTACAAGTTACAGTATAATGTGTTCTTAGGTGCTACTGGATGGCGGACTATAGTTTTGTGTTGGTGGGAATACAGCTTGACAAAAAAAATGCAGTTCCTGTTAAGACATGAAGTTTCTCACTCCAGCCCTTGAGGTGGCCATACATGTGCTTTACTGCTAAAGCAAACTTGCGCTTAGTGAGTTCATCGCCACACGGACGGAGAGAGTTGAAGCCAGTGTGCAACATACCCTGGACCAGAGCATAAAAAGGCCTGAAATTTTATTTTTTTATCTTTGGTACAAACATTTATTTATCCTAGTTAAACCTGGAAAATTCGGTCAGCAAGGAGTAATCAGTGGATTATTATCTATACCTAAAACTAATACATTCGAGTTGATTTAATGAATTTAGTGTTAATCAGTAAAAAAATAAAAATAATTTTCATTATGATCACAGAGTGTGGGAGCGGCCATTTTTGCCCAAATATAGTAACACCTCACTCCTGACATCTTCCGGCAGTGACGTCACTGTGCGGTAAGCCTAGCGCCAATCTCTCCACCCCTCTTTAAAAGCAAAATCAATGGGAACTACTAGACAGATCTGGACGTTGTAATACATCTGGTAAAAGTGAAATATTTCCCATTCATGATCCATCACGGGTTTGTTGTTGAAGAGGGAGGATTTGCCATCGAACTTCTGGCCAGAGAAAAAAAACATATGTAGCCAATATTTGAAAGAAGAATGTTTTCAAGATGGATAATAGCGCGTTGTGACAAACACCAGATACAGCACTGGGACTGGATCAACAGCCGATAGCGCACCGTGACGTCACAAACCAGTAGGGGGCAGTAGTGTTCTTTGACAAACATGGATGCCTCCAGTAAAGAACATTTAAATGAAAATCACTTTAAATTAAACACATTTATGGAATGGTATTTAATAATTTTATATTTAAAGTAATTTCAGGAGTTTGATTTCTGAATATTTCCTATAATTAATAAAATGTAATAATTTGTTGGGGTTTTTTGCTAAGATTTAATTCTTGGAAAACTGTCATTCAAGTTGATCTCAAAATCCAATATGGCCACCTAGCATATAAACTTTGAATCGTTCATTTGGGTTCATTTACATCTCAACAAAATAAGACATTTTCATGTCAAAAGACCAAACTATTCAATGTTTTAATTTGGAGGGCTCTCTAAATTTACACACTAATAAACGAGCTGAGTTTGTGGCAGATTGTTTTTATTACAGCCATCAGGCTTTATGTGCAGAACCTGCTCAATCTGAATGTGGATGGAGGGAAGGAGGAGAGAACAAGTATTTTTTTTTTTAATCAAAGGTATTATTTTTAGACATTTTCTATATAAGATTTTATAATTGGCAAGGTAAAGCTAACTCATTTAGTATATTATGGGAACCACAAACCTATGCTTGCAGACCCATGATCTAACAGATGACAGCTGTTCCTATCTTAAAGGTATAGTGGAGGATGTTCCTTTTCCAGGTGGATCATCAAAATAAGTGGTCCTCTTAGTTGTCAATCATTGTGATATGTTTGCATAAAGCCGCCCTACATGCTCATCCCCATTTTCATTTACCAATGGTGAATCTGACAGTGGAAAAATTGCAAATGTTCTTTTGTTTACTCTCGGAAGCGGGTACGGGGTTGTGCATGTGCCTTTTTTTTTTTTTTTAGTGCAGAGGGCGGGTCTTTTCAAAAATCCCTTTATTGTCCCACAAAGGGTAAATTTACTCTGAATTGAACCCATCCCCTTGGGGATCAGTGGGCTGCCATTGTGTGGCGCCCGGGGAGACGTGTGGGGTTAAGGGTTTTGCTCAGGAATCCAGAGATGAGGCTATGGGGACCGAAACGGCTACTTACAACCTTCTCAGAGCTAAAGCACACTGCTCTAACCACGAGGCCAACGCTCTCCATTTATTAAAGTTAACTGTACACTGCAAGAACATAAATTAAGTTAAATAAAATCTTAAAATCTCTCTTTTTGCCCCTAAATTGAGCAGGTATATTAAATATAACGACGGAGTATTAGGGCCAGGCTAGAGATTTTTTTCTTCTATTTCGAGAATAAAATTACAAGAATAAAGTCTGTAAAATTAGGAGAATAAAAGTCACAACAAGAGTAGTAGTAAGATTACGTGAAAAAAAGTCATGAGAGTAGTCGCAAAATTACGAGAAACAAGTTGTATTTCATGACACCTCTTAAAAGAAGCGCTTTCTTACCTAAAATGAGGAATTTTGAGCATCATGTGAAGTTATACCTTTATTATCCTACCTACCAGCTCAAATCAAGGGGAAATGCATTTAATTCAAGAAAAATTGACCTGTATTTCAATTTTTATAGTGTTTGCTTTCAGAGCAGGGGCAGGGCCCCCTGTTCAAACCCGTCTGGAACAGCCCATGTCTTTAAACGTAACCAAATCTCTCCAAAGACCCACTTATAGTAACCAGAAAGTCCTCAGATGAGCTTTAGAGCACCAGTGCTTGCAGTGTTACCCCTCACCTATAGTGAGAGTTTATTGTGCGCATGCGCGGCAGGACAGGCAGCTGGAAGCTGCCCCTTTTATCAGCTCCACGGTCGTTACGTAGACCATGGCTGAGCTCCACAGACGCGGCGGAGGGAGATCTTCGGCTACTGGGGGAGCATCTTCCCCCTCCACCGGGGGCCATAGGGAAACATCCGGAGACACCTCCACGGTCTTCGTCAAACTGCTCGCCGCGGCTTTTTACGGCGTCAGCTCGTTTCTGATCGTTGTTGTCAACAAAAGCGTCCTCACCAGCTACAGGTAAAGGTGCAAAGTTCAAAGAGGAGCGGAAAGGGGGCGCGAGGGCGGCGGATTAATACTGAAACATGAGGAAGTGAAGACGGAAACAGGAGCGCAGACTTCCTATCAGTGGAAAAATTGATCAAGCAAAACTAAAAACTTTACACTGCAAATTATCTGGTTCTACTGAGATAAAATATATATTTAGAAGTCTTAGATAATTTATCTTGTTTTAAGACATACATTCTTGATTTAATAATCTTACATCAATAAATCCTGTCCAATGAAAGCCTCCTACTGCATGTTCTCCTACTAGAACATTTTATTAAAACGGAACAAAAACTCATTTGGCCAAGTAAAAGAGTTTAGCTGGCTTTGCTTAAAATTATGTCATCTTATGTTTAACTTTTAAATCTAACTTTATACGTTTTGCGTTCTTTTTACGAACTAGGAGTTTGGTTTAGGATTATTCAGGATGCTGAGATTTATATAAGCTTAAAGTTTTTGGGTTTGTTTTCCCTTTTACCAAACAATCAGTTCAATATCTGATGGTTAAAACTCCCATCAGTCTAATTATGGACAGGCTTCTATATTTATTTATTTATTTTAAGTTAACTATGGTGTTTTTATGACCAATATCACTGAACAACAACATTCTTTGTTGTTTTTTTTTTTTTTTTAATGTAGCATAGAGACAAATACCGTAACAATCCAATCATTGATTTTTTTTTATTTGATTTAACAAAACCATCCGAAAGTATCACATATTTATGAAGTAAAAGGAACATATAATTTTGAAAAGATATTTACTGTTAAAATAAAATAAAAAATACATCTGAATTTGTATTAACCTTCTTTAATTAAAACAAGTCCAGTGCAAGCCGTTTCCTTTTAATAAATCTCAGGATAAATCTAGTTGTGTTTTGGATGAGTTCAGAAGTTGTTTTTTTTCCTTTTAATAAAACAAAGGAGTGAGGAACACAGCAGAGCAGTTGGAGAGGAAGTTCTGGAAAACTTTGAAACAGGATTAGGATTTAAAACGCTGCACCGAGCTTTGAACATGATGAGCACGAGTCTGTCCGCCAAATGATGCAACTATGATGAGACTAGACCTACTGCCTAAAGTAACAGGCCCTGGCTAGGATAGCAAATATTTCAGACATAGAAGTCTGCATTAGTTTATTGGTAATCATGTTTTATTTTAATGCACAATCATCTTTTTAACTAATTTGAATGTTTTTGTTGTGATGTGACCAAATGTGAAGGAAACTTCTTTTGCAAAACTCATTAAAGGGGTCATAGAATGCAAAACCGAGTTTCCATTGTCATAGAAGAATAACGATAGTTCAGTGGGTGAAATGGACGTATGGAGAAGTTCAAAACCTATCGACACCTCCTTACTTTGCAAATCTCACCAATATAAACTTCCACCATAAAACGGGCGAATCCAAACAAAGCCCTGATGTCAATTTGTTTTTTTGACATACGGACCAGCCCATTGGTTCACTGGCCAAAGGAAGGCGGGGATATGAAGTGTCGACTGCTGAGAGCTGATTGGACCAGACCTCAGCAGGGAGCCATGAGTTGCCCCTCCTCAGCCAGAGGGCAGGGGGCTGGTAAGGCATGGGTCGCCGTTGTCCAGGCTACCGTCACCAGGTCCGATTCAGTCACTCCAACCCCCGCTGGCTCCCTAGCCCCGTCCACCGGGGTTCCTGGTCCAGCATCGGAGCTCACGGCTCGGTTCAAATGCCCGGTGTGTCCCGACTACGTGCTGCACTGTATTCAAGCAAAAATCCTGGACGATTTTGAAATTCCCACGGACATTTTTTTAGGTTCAAAAAGTAGGACAGTAAGACATCTGGACCCTACCATATAAAAAATTTTATATTTCAGTGAGTGAGTGCTTGTTGCTATGATGCGTCTTTGCTCTAGCCTTGTGAGACCATCCTGATCTCGCGAGCTTTCAAGATTTCACTCGCTAATCAGTCTGGAGACTCTCCGTTGAAGAAAATTTGGAGCCGTTCACCAAACAAACGTCCAATCAGCGTTGGCTTTGAGGCGGGTTGAGGTGTGACGCAACGAGAAGCGCGACAGTTCAGTCTAAAGAACATGGCGGCTTCAGCCGATGAAACTAGCGTTAGCGTGGCTATCGAGCAAGTTTTATCGGAATTGCAGAGTATTTCTTCACTGAAAGAAGAACAAAACACTGCTCTGGAGGCTTTTCTCAGAGGAAAAGATGTTTTTGCTCTTCTCCCGGTTAGGGCAAGAGTAGCCTGGCTTGTGGTTGTGTTTTCGTCGTCGTTACTACGTCATATACTTCGTTGATCTTCGTTGTTGGTCTATCACCAACATAGGCCAATCAGCTAACCAGTATTTTCGCCCCTTCCCAAAATTACTTCAACGGAAGGTTTCCAGATGGATATGCGGAGCAAATCCATCTGGCGGAGTCAGGTTATCTTTACTCAGCAGCTTCACTCGTTATAAACCAACCAATCAGCGCACAGCTCATCTAAATATTCATGATCATACCATAAAAGGAAGAAAACCTGTCGTTTCATTCTAGGGCTTATAACCAGGCTTGCATTAGGATTCATAGAACAGCAAATATGCCATTTTCAACCCGACCAATATTACACAACCTATTCAGAGACCTTAAGGGCCAGCACCAAATACCCTATATTATCATTCTATCACCCCTTTAAATTTCAACTCCTTATGTGAAGGTTGATCTAAAGCTGGTTGAGCTAAACATCAGCTGGAGGATTTCTGTCTCTGACCCTGCTGTGTTTTACAGGTTTCCGTCATCAACATGTGTTGGGATTGGCCAGGTAAGTTTTTCCTTTTGTGAATCTTTTCCTGTTTCTCTACCTACCGCATCTTTGTGCACCGATCTCTGCAGATGCTGGCCACCATAGTGGTCCTGCGGACTGGGAAACTGTTGGGTGTCATCTCATTCCCAGATCTGGACTTGACCATACCTGGCAAGGTAAGGGGGAGAACAAGGCCATCATTAAACCGACGTGGAGCTGCTGGCGTGTTTTTGACGTGAGCTCTGTCCTTCCAGATGTTTCCTCTGCCGCTGCTGTATGTGGGGAATCAGATCTCAGGCCTATTCGGGACACAGCGACTGAAGTCAGAGCTCGTTAGCGCTCCTGGTAGCGAGATATATAAAACCTGTTTTTTTTTTTTTTGAGAATGTGACACAGTTGCTTGTCGTCCCTATCTTAGCTTACCCATGTTCACGGTTCTGAGGAGGTTCAGTATTTTTCTCACCATGGTGTTTGAGGGATTCCTGCTGAAGTGAGTCAAACCTTCTGCATTTCCTCCAGAAAGTTTCCTATAAAAGGTAGATTTTAACCTCCTCACTCTGCAGGAAGACCTTCTCTGCCTCCATAAAGATGACAGTGTTCACCATGATCTTTGGTGCTTTTATCGCTGCAAGGTGAGAGGGCTCCACTGAAAGAGAAAAAAAAAATACACGTTTCAGTCTGTATGAACTCACTTTCTGTTGGGTTTTTTTTTGCATCGTTTTTACCATAGCGCCGACTTAGCTTTTGATATTGAAGGATACATTTTCATAATGCTCAACAACATCCTGACGGCAGCCAGTGGGGCTTTTGTGAAGCAGAAGCTGGAGTCCAAGGTGAGCAGCAGCAGATCTGGGAGCACTGAGATTGATGAGAAACCTGAAAGAAATTTTCTTTTCTTGCAGGAGCTTGGAAAATACGGACTGCTGTATTACAATGCGTTGATCATGATTTTCCCCACGCTGGCATATGCATATTACTCAGGAGACATACAGATGGTAGGTGTGCAAACAGGAATTTGTGTTCTCGGCAGAGCAGCAGGGGTGGAAACTGGTCCGTGAGTTTTCAAAATCATTGTGATGTCATCAATTTAATTTTTTTCCCCAATACATAACTGGTGTAAAAACAAAAAGGTCTAAAATGCACAAAATAACCACATCTTAAATTATATAACAAAAATATATTAAAGGTATACTATGCAACCGGTGTTGATTTTCCAGCGAGGCTCCCTCCAGAGGGCGAAAGTAAAAGTGCACTGTCGTAAATATGCTCAGCTGTTCTCCTGGTTTCTCCGTCAAGCCAGGCGCGGTTGTTTTAAGCTTAGCAGACAGGCGAACGCAACGAATCACCATGTCTACTGCGTTAACTGACTATTTTGTTCCAATTTTCGAGTTTGAAAATTCTTACTGGTTCCGCCCTGATAACTGCACAAATATCGCCACTGTGCTAGCAACGAGCATGCCTTTCACTGGGGGCGTGTAGCAGTTCTCGCCGTAAAGCAAGACCGACTCTCCCGATGCACGAGACTTCTGAGCCTGTGGGTGCGGGCCGAGGGCTCCTGCAATTGCAAGTACAGTATTTCCCCTACAAACCACCAGGGCGGCCGAGAAAACCTTTGTTCGACCTGAAATGACTTATTTGATCATCCAAAACGTTATGGAACACATTAATTAACTGAAAAATTTTGCATAGTATGCCTTTAAAATGGATGATGCATACAATGTTTAAGAGGTGACGGTAATAAACAGTTCTAGGACGGCGAGCGGTGCTATGCGCCACACAAAGCCACCTTTTTTTTTTTTCTACTTGAGCACCTGCCCCCCAAAATGTCTGTGCACAGCCCTGTCTGTACACTGCAAAAACGATGTAGAAATAAGTAAAAATGTCTTAAATTAAGTATATTCACCCTTAATTTGAGTAGGTAAATGAGCTAGTTTGCCAATGGAATGAGTAAAATAAGATAATTAGATAATATGCACTTGAAATAAGACAATGCAATTGTGTTTTCTTATTTTAAGTGTAAATTGTCTTGTTCCATTGGCAAAATGTCTCTTTTACCTCCTAAATTGAAGAACAAATGCACTTATTTTAAGAAAAAATGACTTATCTCGATTTAGATTTTTTTTTTGCAGTGATATGAGCAGCAGAACATTTAATTTGAGTCTTATTTTGTTTCCTCCTTGGTCTCTGGACTGTTGACCAGAGAACAGCTTTTCCAGTTCAAAGCAGACCCAAACAAGCCTCATGAGACCATCCTGATCTCGCGAGCTTTCAAGGTTTCACTCGCAGATCAGTCTGGAGACTCTCCGTTAAAGAAAATTTGGAGCCGTTCACCAAACGAACGTCCAATCAGCGTTGGCTTTGAGGCGGGTTGAGGTGTGACTAGTGTTGTCACGATACTAAACCAACTCGATACGGATACTAAGTAAAATATTCGATACTCGATACCCTTTTCGATACCACAAGAATAAAAACAGACTCTAAAATTCAACAGAAATATTTTCATTACTAAAAAAATACAAGAAATAAATATAAAACAATAAGAATAATATTTTGAGGTTGTATGCTGTGCACAATATTAAGCAAGCTTGATAAAAAAAAAACTTACAAAATAAAAATTAAGTGTTCCTTCCTTGCACTGCAAAAAAATGAAATGTAAATAAGTAATTTCTTCTTATAATAAGTGCATTTTTTCTTGAATTAAGGTTTTAAGTGAGACACTTTGACAATAGAACAAGACAATTTACACTTAAAATAAGAAAAAAAAACAGTTGCATTGTCTTATTTCAAGTGCATAATATCTAGATACCTTATTTTAAGAGTGAAAATACTAATTCCATTGGCAAAACATCTTATTTATCTGCTCAAATTAAGGGTAACTAGCCTTAATTTAAGACATTTTTACTCATTTTGAGATCATTTTTGCAGTGTGGCTATGTTTTGCAGATGTTTTTCAGTCTGAAACTGAAAAATGCACAGAATTATTCAATTAGATGGCTGAATAGATACTTTTGAAAATGAGTATTGTATCCGGATACAACGTTTCAGTATCGATACTTTTGACAACCCTAGGTGTGACGCAACGAGAAGCGCGACAGTTCAGTCTAAAGAACATGGCGGCTTCAGCCGATGAAACTAGTGTTAGCGTGGCTATCGAGCAAGTTTTATCGGAATAACAGAGTATTTCTTCACTGAAAGAAGAGCAAATCACTGCTCTGGAGGCTTTTCTCAGAGGAAAAGATGTTTTTGCTCTTCCCCCGACTGGCCCCTTCCCAAAATTACTTCAACGGAAGGTTTCCAGATGGATATTCGGAGCAAATCCAGCAAATCCATCTGGCGGAGTCAGGTTAGACCCAAACATATTCAATAGTGTTTATTCTCCTCAGGGAGGGGAGGGAAAATGTGGGTGCTGAACGTGATCTTGGGAAAGTAATGAGATATTTCGCCTTGTAGGAAACTAGACCCCCAAGACTTGTCAATAAACATATGTTTTGTAATCCCTCCACCCTGGTAAAAATAAAGATGTAAGCTCAAGGGATCATCAAAAGCTCCAAATAAAGATCAGTTAATGCTCATCTTGATGGTTTGTAAAGTTTCTATAATAGCTGGTGAGACTGTTGACATGTTTTTTTTGGGAACAGGGACTGGAATACCAAGGATGGGCTGATCAGCTGTTTGTTGTGCAGTTTGTGCTCTCCTGCGTCATGGGGTAACATAGATACAAGACTCAACTTTTTTTTTTCTACACAGAATGTGTTTCTGAGTCCTTCTTCCTCTGTGTTCATACAGCTTTGTCTTGATGTACTCCATCATGCTGTGCACGCAGTGTAACTCAGCACTCACTACCTCCATTATCGGCTGCATCAAAGTAGGTCGCCTCACTTTGCATGCAGTCTCTCCTGGATGAACTAATGCATATATTAAGCTTTGTTTTGCACTTTTTCTCAGAACATCCTGGTCACGTACATTGGGATGGTGTTTGGAGGAGATTATATATTCACCTGGCTGAACTTCTTAGGTCTAAACATCAGGTAACAAATCGGTTTTTCTGGATTCGGTTATAGGAGGAGGAAACTGCAAAGACTGACGAACTTAGCTGATGGATTTCCAGAATTTAGCATACCGGTATTATAAAAAAGTTATTCTTTTTTTTAACAGCATTGCTGGCAGCCTGGTGTACTCCTATATCACTTTCACACAAGAACAAACCAGTAAGAGACGCTTTAAATGTCATTTAATCATCATCCTGTCTGAAGTTTGCATTGTTTTTTGTTAGTCTTAAAGGAGCAGTGTGTAAGATTTACACACTATCTCATCAACAATACTTTGTTGTTCTTCAGTTTTTGCAGCTTTTTTATCCATTTCTGTCTAAAAAGGAACTGAACTTGTTTCTTTTCACCATATTGAACAGAAAAGGCATAAATCTTGGACTGCAAACCCAGCGAAGGTGAAGAGTGATGATCGCCCACCCAGTCCGTGAAGTCCGCACACTTCCAAGAGAAATGATCTGACTTTTTAACTTTGCAGATGTCTCTATAGTTTCTAGAAAACTTATGAATTTTCTAAGCAAGATTTTAACATATAAAGTCAGGATGATTTAGTGATTGTCTCACTGCAAAACCTGATCATTTTTCCTAAAACAAGCCAATTTGCCCTTAAATTGAGCAGGTGAATAAGATGAGCTGACAATGGAACAAGTATTTTTCCCCCTTAGAATAAGATACTTGCAGTCATATGAAAAGGTTTGGGCATCCCTATTAATCCTAATTATTGTTATTTCTAAATATTGCAACAGCTACTTAAGTTTGATATATCTAATAACTGACGGACACAGTAATATTTCAGTATTGAATTGAGGTTTATTGAACAGAAAATGTGCCGTACGCATTAAATCACAATTTGACACGTGCAGAAACATGGACACCTAAGATAAAAAGAGACATTAATATTTAGTAGATCCTCTTTTTGCAAAAACAACAGCCTCTAGTCGCTTCCTGTAGCTTTTAATGAGTTCATGGATCCTGGATGAAGGGATTTTTGATTATTCTTCTTTGCAAAACAATTCCAGTTAAGTTAAGTTTGGTCTTGCTTGCTTCAAATCATCCCACAGATGTTCAATGATATTCAGGTCTGGGCATTGGAATCGTTCCTCTGCATGAATGCCTGAGTAGATCTGGAGCGCTGTTTTGGATCCTTTGTCTTGCTGAAATATCCATCCCGGGTGTAACTTTAACTTCTTAACTGATTCTTGAACATTATTCTCAAGAATCTGCTGATATTGAGTGGAATCCATGCGACCCTCTACTTTAAAAAGATTCACAGTGCCAGCATTAGCAACGCAGCCCCAAAGCATGTGCTTTTGCATACCTCAAGCGATTCTGTTTGTGCTTGCAGAAAAGGCTTCTGTCGCATTACTCACCCATACAGCTTCTCCTGGTGCAAAGTCTGCAGAATTGTTGAACGATGCACAGTGACACCATCTGCAGCAAGATGATGCTGCAAGTCTTTGGAGGTGGTCTGCGGGTTTTCCTTGACCATTCTCACCCTTCTTTGCCACTCTGATATTTTTCTTGGCCTGACACTTTTGGGCTTAACAAGAACTGTCCCTGTGGTCTTCCATTTCCTTACTGTGTTCCTCACAGTGGAAACTGACCGTTTAAATCTCAGAGACAACTTTTTGTATCCTTCCCCCGAACGATTATGTTGAACAATCTTTGTTTTCAGATCATTTTAGACTTGTTTTGAAGAGCCCAGGAGATTCAAACAGGAGAACAACTTGCAACTGGCCCCCTTAAATACATTTTCTCCTGATTGGATACACCTGGCTATGGAGTTCAAATCTTAATGAAGTTACCAAACCAATTTTATGTTTCAGTAAGTCAGTGAAAAGTAGTTAAGGGTATTCGAATCAATAAAATGATCAGGGTACCCAGATTTTTGCACCGGTCAAATTTTGTTTTAATGCGTACTGCACATTTTCTGTTAGTCCAATAAACCTCATTCGATACTGAAATATTACTGTCCATCAGTTATTAGATGTATCAAACTGAAATAGCTGTTGCAAACACCCAAATATTTAAGATTAATAGGGGTGCCCAAACTTTTTCATATGACTGTACATATTCTCCACTAGAAATAAGTAGTTTTTGTTGTTTTTTCTTGTTCTAAATGTTAATCATCTTTTTTCCATTGGAAAAATACCTTGCATACACTGCAAAAACAATCTAGAAATAAGTAAAAAATTCTTAAACTAAGTGTATTCATCCTTAATTTGAGTAGGTAAATGAGATAGTCTGCCAATGGAATGAGTAATTTTACTCTTAAAATAAGATAATTAGATAATATGCACTGGAAATAAGACAATGCAATTGTGTTTTCTTATTTTAAGTGTAAATTGTCTTGTTCCATTGGCAAAATGTCTCAATTACCTCCTCAATTCAAGAACAGATGCCACATTTAAGAAAAAATTACTTATCTAGATTTAGATTTTTTTGCAAGGTACCCGCTTAGGTGTAAGCAAAAATACACTTACAACAACATACTTGCATGTATTTCAGTTTTTACAGTGTTCCATTTTATAGTCATACCAAATTATGTTTATAATTGTTTATAATTATTATCTGTTTATAATAATAAGAATGATTTTACTACTTTGAAAGATGTGGTTACTTCATTTAAAAAGCCATTAATGTACAGACTGATACAGGAAACCAATAAATAATATTTTGTTTTACAAAACAAAGATCTGTATTTTAATTAATTATTTATTAATAAACAATAACTGGAATCCAGATGACTTCATTCAGTTCAGATCTGCTGATTTGAAACTCAGATTGTGACTCTAGGATGAACTATATCTATATGAAAAAAAAATCCAATTTGGTGTCAACTAAGTTGCCCTAACACTAGTTGAAGCAATGTTTTCAACTTGATGGTCGGAAACAAAAATCTGATTGTTCTGTGAACCACGAATGCACCAGAGGTTAGACTCCTAACAGCCACTTGGAATGGATGCTGTAGCTAAGTGCTAATTTTATTTTATTTTTTACTGCCTCAAACAGTTAATCCTAGCCTAACATAACTCCAGGATTAGCCTTTTACATCATTTAAAGATTTTTAAGTTTTTAAGCATTTGTATTGCTGCACCCACTATGGAGAGAATTTGGTTCCATTATTGTTGCCATCAAAGGACATGATTTAAAAAAAAAAAAAAAAAGGCAATCCAGAAATAAAATTTAAAAAAAGATTTCAAATAAAGGTTTTGAGAGTTTTGTTTTTTTTTCTTCAAATTATTTTATAATTTAGATAAGTTTTTTTTTTTCTCACTTTTTTTTTGCCAGATTTCCCTTTTTCAGATTTAGTTTTGTGAATTACTTTTTCAAATAGATTTTTACGGATCACACTTCTGGAGGCGGACTTTCCTTTGGATTTAAGAGTGAAGATGCATTTTTATACGTCAGCCTGAATGTTGACAATATTTTCATTGGTCGGTGTGCGCGCCAAGCAGGGGTTAGTTAGTAATGGGCTTTGAGAGAGCGCAATCTGTCAGGCAAAATTTTAAAACAATGCAACTTGTAAAATTCAATCTAAAAAAAGAGAAATTTGAGAAAGAAAAAAAAAGTTGGATTTGGGAACACAGCAGTTACTCTCAAAACCTTTTCCTGATTAATATTTCCATTTACAAAGCCTGCTTTTAGCTTGCAACAATAATGGAACAAAATGAACTCCTTCCAAATCAAACCAGCTAGATTCCTAATCATTTCAAAAACTATTTAAGGCAGATTTAACGAGCACTTCCAGTAAGACAGCCAGAAAAATAAAACCACATTTTTGGATTAGTCAGACCAAACAAAAAACAAAACAAAGTCATGATATTTGGTCTAATAAAATAAAATTAAGTAAAGTACTTTTAAAAGTAAGCTTTCCCCTGCGCTAAAATGCTCAGGCTATGTTTTGGTTAAACACTATAAGGGTAGATCTTAACTATTGAAACTTTGTCATGAAAACCTACTCTATCTACATTTAGAATATATATTTATACATTTTATGCTTATATGCCTAATTTTACACCTTTTCCCTTTTTGATCTTGTACACCAGATATTCCCAAATTGAAGCAAAATGGACTAATGATTCAAATTAAGTTAAAATTTAGAATAATACAATTATAGAAATAATAGTAATGAAAACATCAAAAAGCATTTTTTGTTTTTGTCTATTTCTAAATGATGTTTCCATTTCTATTACCTTAAATGTCTCAGATTTATTTAGGTAGGAACCAAACTTGTGGAATCAGTGTCGTAGACCTAACATATTATCTTCCTAATTCTAAATAATTGTTAAAGTAGAATCCAATTAAATTCTGGATCGAGCCTAAGATTAGCAACTTATCTCCGAATTAGCTCCACCTAGGAGGTTTTTATTTTAAACTAGAACACGGTTTCATACCAAGGAAGGGGGAAACAAAAAAGGGTTATTTCTTTATTACATCCATCAGAAAATAATTAGGAAACAATTTGTCAAAGGAAAAAAAAAAAGCTGTATCCTACAGAGACAAGAAAAAAGCAACATGATCACTGGAGGGGAGAAATAAATGCACCGACTGCAGAAGGTAAGAAATCTATACAAACTTTACATGAGCGGCCACAAACCTTCTGTCAAGTAAAAAAAAGTGTTGAGTAAAGCATTGGGCTATGGAAATAATAAAAACAAAAATACAGAGATCTACATGATAATACAGGACATCACTGATGTCAGCTGCTTTTCACAAACAAACCTGTACGGGGCGACAGACCCGCCGGTTCATTTAGCAAACTCAAACAAACAGCTGTGGCAGAGAGAACATGAAGTTCTATCAGGTTACCTCCTCAACCAGGAGAAACGTACAATCAAAGTGCAACTATAGTGAGCTGGAGACAGCGCCAGCTTCTCCTCCTCAGGATTTTACTCATTTCCAACAAACCAATGGCTTAAAAAGCAACAACCCATCATTAGATCTTTTTTTTTCATTATTGGTTAGAAAATATAAATATCTCTGGTGTAGAAAAATATCACAGATGATTTGTTTTCATTACAAATAGAAAAAAAGAAATTCTTGGCAAAAATTCGACTGTCCAAAGTCAGAATGGAGAAGATGGGTTAAAATGATGGGAGTTTGTTGAGGAGCAGACCGTCGTATGAAGCGCAGCATTTTGGTTGGTTTTTTGAGAGATTCCTCGTCTTCCTAATCCTCTGCTCCTAAGCTAGCCATTTATGGAGAAAATCGGGGGGGAAAAAAACCAAACCAGGGCGTGTTTAAGTGAACAAAGCCAGTCTTGAAGAGTTTAGTCTTCATGTGTTCTGGGTGGATCCACCTCGCTTTGGCCCAAAGCCTCTGCTTCAGTCCTGCACCTTTTGGCCGGCCTGTCTTGTGCCACAGCTGGTGCGGTTTTGTGCTCTAGCACAAGCTCTAGTGAGCCGTTTCTGTCGTGGTTCGCTGCGCTGACTTGGCTGCAGCCGTTAGAGTTGTTGTCTGGGGCTGAAGGAGGAGGTTCTGCCTCTGGATGAGAGGGACCGTTGGACTGAACGCCTTCAAGCTTGACTTGGGTTGCATCTGGCAGATGAGACGGATCTACAGGATGACCCACAACACCTGTTAAGGAAGAAGAAAGCACTATTAAACTATATTAACACGCCGCCATGTGGGGATTTTTAAATAATTTTATCAGATTAAAGACAAATTCACACAACCATGCATTAATATTCAAGGGATATTCTTGTTTTTTTCAGTAATCTCAACTCAGTAATCTGAGAGTAAATTACAGGTGCTGGTCATAAAATTAGAATATCATGAAAAAGTAGATTGATTTCAGTAATTCCATTTAAAAAGTGAAACTTGTATATTATATTCATACATTACATACAAACTCATATATTTCAGATGTTTATTTTGTTTAATTTTGATGATTACAAATGACAACAAATGAAAATCTCAAATTCATCATATCAGAAAATTAGAATATTGTGAAAAGGTTCAAAATTGATGGCCCCTGGTGCCACACTCTAATCAGCTAATTAACTCAAACCCTGGATTTATAGTAAAAAAAAAAAAAACAGTTCAAGAGTCCAGAAACAAAAAACAAAATAAATTTTAAAAGATTGTTAGGTTATGTTTATACCAGAAGACTGAATGCAAGGTATTGTCTGCTGGATAAAAACAAAAAAAGAAGAAAAAAAACTCGATCAAATGATGATCTTAGTTAAAATTTTGTCCATTAAATCATCTCAAACAGTCTGTCCACTTCCTTCTCTAGCTTTTCCCCTAGGTTTTGCTTCTAGTTGGGTATTTGGTTGGACAGTCAGAGAGTGCGGCCGGCAGAGAAGGTAAACTGGGTGCTAAGCAATCTAACCTCACCTGCATTCTGAATAAGTTTGGTATTTCGGAGTTTAAACACACTAGAATCTATTTGGTCTTGTATGGAGTGAATTTTGCGTCACAAAACATTTGTGAATGGAAAATGCATTTTTTAATAATAAAAAAAAAAGGTTTTGAGATCTGCAAAAGTTACGTTTTTATTCCTTTTTTTTTTTTCAATGGAGTTTTACAAATTGCTTTCTTTTCAAATTCTTTACGTTCTCTTCAATTTAAGCCAAATAGAAATACTGGCTATTGACCAATGATGTTGTAGCTAGCTTCCAAGCAGACCAATAGAAATGCGTCTTCAGACGAGGAAAGCCCGCCCCCAGGAGGGAAGAGAATGTGATCTGGTTAAAGCAATTAGAAAAGAATACAGCTCAAAACTATAAAATCTGTAAACACTTTTTTTCTTTTAAGTTTAAAAATCTAAATGCTAAAATCATTTCAAATATTTTACATTTTTAATTTCTGGTTAGTTTTTTTTTTTTCCTTCTTTTTTTTTCAAATAAATGTTTTTTATTTCCATTTACAAACCATAAACATGCTTATGATTTAAACTTAAAATAGATTTTATTTGTTATTTTGTTTACGCAAGTTTAAAACAGCTCTCTGGACAATTTCATCTTTTTTAAAAGTGCAGCCTTGAAAAATAGTAAGAAAAACAATAAACAAACTTATGAACTCTGTTAGTCACAACTAAACAAGCCCATTTAGTGTGAATTATATACTAGGATTTTTTATTTATTTACGTGGAGCTTTTATTGACTCCTACAAAATCAGATTTGCATAATAGTTCTTAACTTCTGAAACAATCAGCGTTTCCATTGATCAACCTCTAGTTTTTCATCTTTATAAATGTTTCTAAAGGGATCTGAAAAGTCCCCAAATTAGCAGCAAAGCCTCTAAGCTGTAATCTTTAAATTATTTGTTTTCATGTTTTTCTCAAACACATCATCCCGTCTCATCCTGAATGCATCCCATCATCCGTCCCGACCAATTGCTACGCTTCTTTAAAGGACCTAGAGTGCAGACCGACTCACCGTTCTGACTGCTGCTGTCCTCCCTCTCAGAGTGGCTGGCGCTGCTGCTGGAGGTGGTGGGCGGGGGCGACGCCGCCCTACTGGACGTCACGCTCTCCGTCTCATCCAGTAATCTGTCCATGTAGTCCCTGAAACACAGCGGCGTCGGACCCGTTAGACACATCTGACCGAGGGTTAGGGTTGCTAATCCAACACTAATGTTAAAACACTAGAGTCCATTTAGATCCTCAAAACATTGTTGGGCATATTCCCGTCTCTTGATCAAATTTTCTTAAAGTAAACCCCCCCAACTTTAAAATATTTCACTGGGACTGGACATAATTGTAATAGACCGATTCAAAGTAGGGAATCCTTTAAAAATGGTGAGAAAAGTGTGTTTAGTTTCCCCATTCTGATACCTTCACATCAAATCCAGGTTAATAGAACAGACTGAATAGACTGAACACAACTTTTCCATTATTAAACATGGGGATGGAAGTGTCATGCTATGGGGAGGCTTATAGCAAAAGGACAGGAAGTGGTTCAGAGTTTAGATACAGGGCGCCGCTGAAGGGGAAAAAAAAAAAAAACCTAGAGGCTACAAAAGATGTTACACTCTGGAAGAGACTTAAAAAAAAAAAAAAATAGCAGAGATGAGGGAAAAATAACTCAAACTATCTGATAATGTGAAAAATAGCTCAGTAAAGTTCCCTCAAAATCAGTAGGTGAGATCATTTGCCAATTGAATAAGATTAATTATTTTTACAAAAACAAAATGATCCTATTTCAAGTGCATAATAGTGAATTATCTTATTTTAAGAAAATTCTTATTCTATTGGCCAATCATCTTATTTATACGGAAGAGGATTAGGGCCACTGGAAAAAGAAAAAAAAAAGTTAACTTATTTTTTTTAATTTTATTTCAGTATAGTATGGGGAAAAAGTCAGAATTCTGACTTTTTTTATTGTCAGAATTCAGTCAGAATTCTGAGATTAAAGTCAGAATTCTGACTTTTTTCCCATGTTAAACTGAAATAAAATTTTAAAATTAGTTAACTTTTTTTCTTTTTTTCAGTGGCCCTAATCCTCTTCCGTATATTTACTTCCTCAAATGAAAGCAAATACACTTATTTTATGAAAATAAAACCCATACAAGAAAAACCCAAAGAAAGAGCTTTAACACAAGACTGGAGTCTCTAATTGCACAAAGCTGCTAGAGTTGCTTCCCAGATCTAAATGCAGCAGCTATGAAGAAGTCTTAAAGGGCAGGTGAGAATAAATATACTTTCATTTTTGGCTTAATTTGTAAATAAAGAAAAGAAATTCATTACCGAATTTACACTACCCCTAAAAAACCGATCCATGCCGAGAGCGGTCTGAGCTCGGATCAGTTAACCAGGCCAAGTTCGGTTCTGATGACCGTTTACGCATCACGCTATCTCGGTTCCTCGACTGCTCGCCTCCTAGTGACGATCTGCGGTATTACTGCCAGTATTGAAGGAGGAAATCAAGCAGTTGGTGGCGGTAATGCACCAAAAGTTGTTTGCCAACCGCCATAATACACAAGAAGAAGACGAAGAAGGAGGGAATCAAGCAAATCAAAATGGCGGCGCCCGTCACATTCAGAAAGTGCTTGATTATTATTACTGTACTTCGGTGTTTATTTAAAATGCCATTATTTAAAATGTTGCGTGTAGAAGACTTCGATTGTTGTTAATAGTTGAAGAAGAAGTTGTTCTTCTTCTTCTGTTTCTGGAGGGGCATTACCGCCAACTACTGGAATGGAGTGTGAATCGTGATGTGCATTCAGACGGAGATGACGCGTTCTGCTCATGCGCTCTTGTTATCAGAGAACCGAGCCAGGGAAAAACCGAGCCGAGCCCACCTCTGGAACTGGTCTGCAGTTAGCGCGGTTCGGTTGTGTCTAGCTTGGTTCAGTTCAGTTTGCTTTCCATTTACACACGATAAGTTATCTCAGTTACTGAGCTCGGACCGGTCTCGGCACGGTTTTTCAAGGGTAGTGTAAATGGGGTACATAATTCATTGCACTTATGCAATACTTTGTGTTGGTCTCTCCTTAAGAAACTCAGTGTAGACTCTCTTGGTTGTTTTTAAAACATAATAAAACGTATTACAGTTCAAGGGGAAAGAATATCTACTTAGAATTTCTTTTTCCAAAATTTTTATTGAAATATCCTGGGCTGTAAATCTGAATGACAGAAAAACATTTCAGTTCATATCTGGGTGTTTTGCAGGATCTCTTTTGAAGACTTACGTGACTCCAGGGTGAAGGTTGTATTTCCTTTTTCCAAGCCTGGTTTGCTGTGCAAAGAAATCATAACGCTCAGACTTCTTCCACATGTAATAAAAGGCCACACATTCTCCTACAGACCTAGTTCTCACCTGAAAGATTTGAACCGGTAGAAATAAAGTCACCATTATTAAAATCATCCGAAGAAGCAGTTTGGTACAAGTCAAACACACGACAGATTAAAAATTAAAAGCTCATGATTACAAAATCAAATCTCTCATAAATAATTCATAATTAAAAACATTCCCAGTTATAATTAAGTGGTATAAATAAAAATCAGTTTTATACAACTGAATAAATTAATTATTAGGACATCTCTCACCTTGTTGGCCTGTATTAAATGAAAATCTTTCCCATAAGCACGTAGTCCTTGTTCAAAGTTTCTACATTCCTCTTCAGTCCAAACCGATATCTCCTCTGTTAGATAGAAATTGAGCGTTAAATCTGAACGTTTTCAACATTTTCAAAAATAACATTATGCTATCATTTATGGTCTAGAATAGGATTATTGACACACAGAGTGAACCGGATGGTAAGGAAGCTTTAAAGGACCATCACAGCTCATTAACAGAAACGATACCATAAAAAACACAACCGACGCAACAAAGATTGATCTTAAAATAAGATTTAAAATTCTTAAAAGTATTTGCCCCTAATTTAAGCAGGTAAACAAAATGGTCCGCGAGCAGAATGAGAATGTTTGCGCTTAGAGTAATTAGATGTGTGCCATGAAATGATATAATGGATTTGTTGTTTTTCTTATTTTAAACACAAATAATCTTATTCCAATCGCAAATTCTTTTACTTACTTACTCTTTCAAGAATTATTGACTTGCTTCTATTTCAGTTTTAGCAGTGTACATCAAACTGTTTTTGGGACGCACTTAAACTGCTTGTTTTGGTGTCAGACTAGAACAGAGGCCTCATTCTGATCCAACTTCTGCAATTAAGTCAGAATGAGATGATTGTAAATTCAGACACATCTGATTTTTTTGTGTTTTCAAACCCAAAATAAAAACACAATAGTATTTTTTTGGCTTTCTGACTAAAATGGAAATCTGATAACAAATCTGGCTTATCGTTTTTCTTTTTTTGTTTTAGAGAAGCAGCCTGACCCAGAAGTTCCTGCTGCCTCATATCAAATCAAGCGCCCTCTAGATTTCTAAGATCTCTTTCAGGCACATAAGCCTAGAAGAGATCAGATAAATATAAAGGTGTCTTTCCATTCAGGGCCTTATAGGCCTAGACTCATTATTCTTGCATCAGTCTAATAAGAAAAACAAAAAGAAAAACATTCGTTGATTAAAAACCCCCACTAACATTGGATTGCAAATTAAGGGAGCAGCAATAAATCTAATGATATAATATGATCTAATGCTGCTGAATTCAGTATCGGCCAATACCAACATAAGGAGAAAAAAAAGCTAATATTGAACAAAAATAAAGGCCAACAAATGTATCAGTGTATCTCTAATATATATACATATATATATATATATGTACAGACAGACTAAAACAACTGTGCAAAATATGCCAAAATTGTAAATAATAAAAAATTATATATATATATATATTTTTTATTACGGCCGATGACGTCACCATCCCAGCAGACATTAGTGCTGCGATCTTCCCCCAATATAAAGTTATTGCGTAACATGACATGTCATTCCCACGCTGGTATTTAATATAACAGTGGGCATGTTTACTTTATTTAGTGGCTGCAATGATTGTCTAATATTTAGTAAATCACCAGCCTCCTAAATCCCTCGCTTTGGCAACAACATTTCCTGTCAAGGTCTCGCTGTCAGCATTTCAAAATAAAACACAATCAACAAACAAATGGTTTCTTTCAGAGCGGTCCCAGTCATACACCTTAATTCTTAGGGGTGTAAATCACATCCATCATGTCGATTCGATTCAGTATCGATTTCCTGACCCAACGATTCGATTATTTTCGATACTCAAGAATACACCACGATTCGATTCGATTAATTTTTTAGCTGTAATATCGTTATGCATTTTTTTTTTTTTTGAAACAGCAGTTGTATCAAAAAATACTGCAAAAATTCTGCAGATAATCAGTACAATGAGTGCAATGCAATATCGCGGCTGCAGACGTCCCGTCCCCTTGAGAGACGCTCCGCTGCTCCTCTCCCAAATTGTAGCTGACTGCAAACAGTGCTTGAGACAGGAGGCCGGCTTGTTTTGTTTTTATGACCGAAATTGCAGAAAACAACTCGTGAAGTTTGACCCGCTAGAAGAGCGAGATGTGCGAGAACGCTGGGACCCTTTTTCCACCTGGATCTCCGCTCTTTTTGGCCCTCATGTCCCTCCGTCGTCGGACTAAACTCTCCCCCACTTCCTCACCGCCTCGGCCGTATCTAGACCCACAGCGTGTAGCACAGACCACGCTTCAATATTGAGCATAATTTAAAAATGTCTGTGTCAAGCAACACACTGCTGTAAGAGTATAACCAGGAAGCGAGGTAGGAGGGCAAAATAGGTTTAGCGCCACCGCAGCACGGGAGGGAGAATTACGCCCAGGAGCAAATGAATAAAAATAGACAGGAGGAAAAAAACAAAAAAACATGAATCGATTCTCTTGCGGACGTGTCGATGCATCGGATCGTCGGCTGTTGGATCGATGCATCGATACAAAACGATTATTATTTACACCCCAAGTAATTCTACTAAACATCTATGGACCGAGGTTGAGAAAATATTGCAGAAGATGAGATCAAAAGAGTTTTTTTTTTTATGTTTGTGTATTGACTCAAGCACTTCTATGGTTCTCACCTCGAGCTGCTTTCACGTTAAACCTCAGTCTTCTTAGAGCTTCCTCTGAGTCAAAGTCACATTTCACCAGCTCATACAAAGCCTACAAAGAAAAAACAGAAGCAAACTCAAATCAATCATATGAAATAATTAATGCATTTGATCTAATAAATCAGGTAAAACATTGATGCTGCTTTCACACCGACTGAAACGATGCTTGTCCACATTAAAGTTGTAGGGAGGCGGCAGTTCCAATTGTTGCTTTTCCGAATTCTCCCAAGCGGTGCCCGACTTTACACCAGTGAATAAAGTGAATGTGATTTGTCGAGGGGGTGGAATTGTTGTGGCGGAAGGTTCGCAAGCAGGTTTGATTGTGGCCGGTTTGTCGGAAGCATCTTGCTAACCAGTTAGCAACTTAGTGCTAGTAGGTTCCCAATGGGAAATTACATTCGGACCAAGTAGTACTTGGCAACGACACTGTCAAGTAACGCTATGGACGGCGGAAACATGCAAGAGGAGGAGAGTTTAGTGTCGGAGGTCGTGGATGAGTCTCCATCATACATTTTTTATTTAGAGTAGGAAAGCGGGGACGAAGATGTTGTGGAAGAGGACGCCAGGGCGGCAGAAGCTTGGTTTGGTGTAGAAGGCTCACAGCCGTACATGTTTGAGCCCTTGCCTCGCAACGCTACCAGTCCTGTTAGCTCTACGCCTGCTGAAGACACAGACGTCCATCCCCGTGAACACTGGGACAGAACTCAATGGGGAAGGAAATGATTCTGAATTCAACTGTTACGTATATTAGCTGCGACATATGAATCAAGAGGCTATGGCCGGAAAAATAAAATTGATTGACAGAAGACCGTTGATATATGATTGGCCGAATGTAGGTGTACAAGCTGACGTATAACTAACTGGCCTGCATAAGATAACGGGGGGGAAAAAAACAGATTTTAAGAAAGGATTTTTTTTTTTTTACAGAAATTTTCTAACTTTCGGGACAATATGGTCTGATAAAAGGTACGATAATATAAATGAGAAAAAGAGTGGCTATTTACTAAATACAACTAGAGAACACTGTGGTTGGGGGCCACGTCTGGATTGACTAAATACTGGTTGTGGGACAAGAGTCCCTTCCAGGGCTATTTTCATCTCACCTGAGATGAAAGTTTGACGACCTGCTGACCAGCCACGGTGCCTTTACATCCTACCAGGACATGACCATCACATAGAGGAGCCTCTCTCTGATTGGTTGTTTTGGTTTAGATATTTCAGATCGGGTGTCGGCTGCTTGTGAAGCACCTCAGATTCTTAAATGCTAATAACCTTCTCCTCCAGCTGTGCTGTGGAACCTCCTTATAGACTTCAAATATGTTGAAAGTCAGAGACATAATAAAAAAAAAATCTTCAAAATTTAACTTCCACGAAATAAAAAAAACAACCTTTTTTTGTGAAACAGACAGGAGTTATGATTTAATAGAAGGGAATTCTAAAACAGTGTAATAGGAAAACCAAAAGGGTTTTTTTGTCTATCGGGACACGGAGTAGATCTATGGACTGGACTAAATGATGGGTGTAAATGGAAACCAGTTTAACACACTGTGCAGAAAGGAGCTTATTGGAAAATGTGTTGCATAGGATGGGTATATCATAGGCTAAAAATAGCAATGAAAATGTAATGTTTAATGTGAGGGTACTCTAAAGGTTTTTGATGTGGAGAGATGAATAATTATTGGTGTGTATAAGAAGGCAGGAAATTATGATACCTTGTGTCTTCCACCTGTTCCTTTTGGAGCAAATCAACTATTAATCTTTTTAATTTATTGCTGTTTTACTTCTATTAGTATTAATATAAACCAGCTGCTCCTGCTGCTCAAAGCGTGTTCGGTTTGAACGCAGCATTAGACCTCCGACTGCTGAACAGACGGAATCATTTCAGCATCCTGACAACCATTAGTGTGTGACGTCTCTTAGGCGGCGAGTGAACATTTTACCCTTAATGTTTGACGATATAGAAACAAGCAAAGGAAAAACTAAAAAAGTTGGGTGACGTAGTGCGGTGAATGTGATCTAATTTACAGCACTGCCTGCTGTAGATCAGTTAAAGCTGGTTCTGATAGGAACGGATAAGGTCTAATTTTAAGCCTGTTTGATTAGCATTAAGCTTTATATTAGTTGTTTCACCTGTTCATTGTCTTTGATATGAGATCCCTCTGGTATTGCATCCACTCCTTTCTCCTCTCCGGTTCGCCTCGACGCCTCCGTCAAAAACTCCACGACTTTTCCCTCGGGGACACAATCAGGGTTCCACAACAACTGGTCGTCGTTTTCATAGACTAGACGGCGAAATTTAAATCAATAAAACGGTTAGAAGGGTCGACCCTCATATCAACAGAAACACCAGCAGACACTTTAACATCAGAGAGGAAGACAACAACCAGACTTACTTCTCTCGTTTTCTTTGTATTTACACAAACCGACCGGAGTCTCTGCCTGATACATAGAACCCACCATAATCTCCTGTTGGTAGAAACAAATAGTTACTCACAACCACACAGATAACTTATAGCTCTTTTACTTTCCATTTTTACAGGCAAATATAGCACTTTGGTTATTGCGTAAGTGCGAGCCCACCTTCTTCCAGTCTTCAGAGGGAACATAGTCCTCATCTTCCTCCGACTCCTCCTCTACATCATGATTACCTGAGAAGTGTCATAAAGGTTAGAAAAGCGGCTGCTTCTTAATGCAAACATTAGGAAATGCCGCTTGTAGACTCTTACTTTCAAAGTACTTGGCGCGGCGGATCAGTTCTGCCGTCCCGAGCGATCGGACTGAGCGTGTGCGGCCATCAGAAGAGGTCTGAGGATCGCTGCCTTGCTCTGATGAAGCCTTAAAATCTTCACCCTAAAAGAAAACCAAACAGGACCTTATAGAGATTTAACAAACACGCCTCTGAGACAGGAATGTGAAACTTGGACATTAACTTTTATTGTATTTTGCTGGGATAAGAGAAACGATTATATGTTTTGTAGCAAAAGACTCAATGGCTTTTCACTTTATGTCCCCCCTGCATTCGATCAGAGCCCAGAAAACACGAATGATGCTCTTAAAAATAAAACAAATGCATTATAAAGTAGGCTTTCTGACAAAACTACATACTTTATGCCATACAACTGAGCTGCTAAATAACAGCATTTATTCATGTTTTGAAATACTAAGATATTGACTAAGACATTTACCAATTAGCATTATCAGATATCGGATGAATGATGCAGATCCAGCATTCTGATCCAGTCATTTCTGGTTTAATCGGTATCCTACACAGCAATACAGTTACAGCAATCTAGTGACTTTTACTTTATGATTTAACGCTGATCACGTAATCGCGCAGAGCAAACACAGCAGCTAGTGATGATTCAAATTTTTAACATTATTTATGCCATGTGTGATGCATTTACTCACATGGCAAGATATACTGTTAATTATAAATTAGCACTGGGTCAGCATGGGTTATGGTGCAACCCGCTCAGCCCATGTATCAGTGCTGGATTTGAATAATATGGATCAGTGCATCTTGACTCACAATTGATGGTTATTAGATGAAAAATTGTCCAAACGGACTCCAGGCCGATTAACTGATGCATTACTGGTTTCAAAGATGGAAATATTAAGAAAGAAAGGTTAAGATAGTAAATAATGTGGCCGAAATGGAAGAAAACTTGAATTTGCGATTGAATTTCAATTCTATTGGACTATTGATTATTTGCACAGTAGCTTTCCATGATTCATTTTTCCATGTCCTGGTTTTAAATCACAGCTAAAACACCAGCATACCTCATTCTTTTTCAGCTCTCCAGTGCTTCTGCTACTTTCATCATGATCAAGGTCCTCTTCTTCATCCTCTTCATCCTCTTCCTCTGGTTCTTCATCTTCCTCCTCCTCTTCCTCTGCAGGAGATCTGCCCCCATAACCATAAAGACTAAGTAGCTCATGTATGGGCATCTCGCCCTCCTGTAAAAAAAAAGGTCATTCAACCAATAATCCAGGCATCAGTGAATTAGAGAGAACAGATAAAAAGATGTTGATGTGTTTAAAATTCTTGAACCTTAAAATTCACAGTAAAATACGTGATTTGTTTTTTCTTTTTTTAACTTTAGTTTTCTGTTTTTGTTCTTTTACCGTAATACTGACTGAAACCCAAAACGACTGAAATGTTTCACACAAACCCGAGCTAGATCTTCGATCTCGTTGGAATTGGTCTCATCTGTTGCCTCCAGCAGCTCCTCCTCCTCCAGGGTACGTTCATCATCGAAGTCGTGAACAAGCATGTCCGCCGACGGATCAAAATCGTGGTCATCAGAACCTGCTGAGCCTCCTGGAAAAATTCAATGTAGAAAAAAAGTCTGAGCTAAAACTAAAACCAAGATCTCACAAATCTTTGTGTATAAGACAACAGATCAAATTATTATAAGAGAACATTCAAAATAATAAAAGAACTATCATTATCAATATTAGCAGTTGATATTCTGAGGGAGGGGCGTTGAATGGTCTACATATACCAAAGGCAATGCAGAGAAACAAAAAACAATCTACCTGGGCTCGCATTCCCGAGGGAGGGCTGAAACACAGGAAAAGGAGGGGCATAAAGTTAGGAAGACAGAAGAAATAAATCCAAACATATGCAGGACGTAGTATTAGATGATAAAAAAATAAATAAATAAACAACATCCCAAACAAGCAGAACATTCATAACCAAGTGTAAGAGAGTGATTTATCTATATACAAAGGTTCAAAATCCAAAAAACCCCAAAAAGAGTGAAGGGACGAATCAAACTTCACAGACGTTTCATAGGAGGCAGAAACGCTAATTAAAATTTGCTTTAATGGTCCACAGATGATATAGATGTTAAATATCAAGGTGATAAAACCCAGGGAGAACAGTGGGGAAAACTACTGAAGAAAGTGAATAGTAGTCATAAATATTACAGTTGTCAAAACATTCAACTTTATAGTACTTTCCTTATATTGTGAAGCCTTACATAATAAGGTGAAATATTACTTTAAAATGTAAAAAACAAAAATGTGGCTCAATATTAGCAGAAAAAAATAAGCTGATTAGGGCTGAAACAATTGATCAGATTAATTGTGATTATTCAATTACTGAAATAATCGTCTACTCGTTTTGCACTTGTTTAATCATCAAATGGAGCATTGACTCTAAAACAAGCCTTCAGCTGACAGAGCAACCCACTTAGAGCAGTAACTAGGACCGAAATCGTAAAAAAAATATATAAATATTTTGCATTTATGGCGGAAATTTTTTTTTCATCTATCAAAATGCTCTATTAAGAACTCTATAAAAGAAAACGTTTTACTTTTGGTGTAAGTTCTGTAAAAAAAAAAAAAGAAAAAAAAAGGAAAGGATTAGTCTAAGGAACCTTTTATTACTGATTATTAATCAATCGGAAAACTAATCAACAGATTTATCAGTTAGCAAAATGACGGCTGGTTGCAGCCCTAAAGCTGAAACATTGAAACAACTTATTTTATGCTTATCGGGTGCTGACCAGTGATTGGCTGGTGGAAAGCTAAAAAACAAAATTACTATATTCTAATCTTTTTTTTTTCTATAAGTGAACACAACACACCCAAATCTTAGCATGTGTTGAAGGCCTCTATCCTGTGCAGGTTGTGACTCATGAAGGGAGACTCGCTTAGCCATTTTCCAAACCAATGGCTGTTCAAAAGTAAAATCAGAGACAAACAAAAGGTGTGGGAGGTTTTTTTTATGAAGAGAAAAATGGCAGTTCTACATCATACTTCGTAATTTGGACCACTTCTTAATAAGAGGGCAAGATTTATGTGAAAACAAGAGCTCCTGTAAACATGTACATTTGCTAGCACATTAAGTAACTTTGTAACAAGCTGTTATTATTATTGTCTTGTTCTTTGTAATCTTTAGGTATTACCTTCTTAAGTTGTAACAGACATCGCTGTACATAACAGTGCTCATATACTGCAGCATTTTTAAAAGATTGATTTTAGGTTTCTGGCCTTTTGTCAGTCATTTTAATGCAAATAAAAATAAATTCCTCTTCTGAACTGTTGAAATGACATTCTTGTTTGTAAAAGAGAAAATCTTCTCTTAAGTGGTCTTCTTTATATATTTTGTGGAGATTAAAATAAAATAAATGAGCATCTTGTTTAAGAGCAAAATCAAAAGGTATGTTGTAGTTGCTTTTATTAAGCTTTATTTCTAAAATACCTCTTCCCCTCACAGTAACAATAAAAACGGAGGGAGAAAAACTCCAAAACCTGGTAAAATGATTTAGACAAACAAAATATGATTCACTGAACAAATTAGAATATTAAAATTAAAAGTTAATTTATTTCAGTCACTAATGCAACAATTGAAAACTTCATAATTAATTACATGGAGCTTGGTGTTTTTATACCTTTATTACTGCTAATTATTGCATAATTACATGAGGCCAATACATAGCATGAAAAACTTGGACTTTATGAAAGATAGTTGAACAAATGTTGAACAAAATGTACATTTAATCAGAACAAATATTTTACTACAGAGCAGGAACGTGTACATTAATACACAAATGGCATTATTCAGTTGGATTTTTTCTTAGATGATTTTTTTTCTTTTTAGCTTCTTTGGTAAAAAACCTGATTCCAACATAAAAAATAATTTTCTACTGAGCCATTTGTTGATAAATACTGACTAAATATATATTTCTTTCTCCAAAAAGTGAAACAATTTAAGGTATTTTTACACAGAGATCCAATACTAAGTTTACTAGACTGAAAATGACTGGTTTAAACTCATTGTTTTAGGTCTACCTCCTAACCTCCCCATAAACAAAGTAAAAAAAAAAGAAAGAAAAGAAAAAAAGACAACCCCTCCTCAACAGGAGGACCATTCGGCGACCACCCCGAGCTATGGAGCCATTGCTGCATCAGTGGGAGGTGTGCGGAGTCCAAAAAAAGCGCGCCTGATGCTGCTGAGCCCTAAAAGCTCCCAGCAACTCAATGGGACACAAAGGCTACATGACCGCTTCATGTCAGGAACATGTCGTTTCATCCATGTCACTATAGCCAGAACATTCAAAATGCAACGGCTTTCATAAGCTGGACTAAATCAGTTTCCTTTAATAAAACACCGCTTAGTGAGTTCATTTTCTCAACTCGCTAACTTCAATACAAGTTGTAAGCTAATTTTACCTCCATAGAATTCCGCTAAGAAACCCAAGTTTAGCTCACCATCAACAAACGGCAAATAAGAATAAACACAAAGACTTAAATAACCCTAAAACATGAAAATGTCCCATAAAAAGTTTTCCCATACGATGATGAATACCTCAGAGAAACCGTGAAGTAATAAACACCGCAGCTAGATGAAGTACCTCTAGGCTAGCGCGGCTAATGCTAGCTAAATCCGAAGTTTACAAAACATTTTGGACTCAAATAAATGACCGCCCTCTAGCAAATCAATACGCAGCATTTTCATTTGTTTTAAAACCGTCGACACGCAGATAATGTGCGCACATTCAGAAAAAAAAATTTACTATTGCGTATGATGAGAAATATTTTTTCTGAGTATTTATTTCACTTTCTTACCTCCGCCATGTCTGCTATCCAGCAAAGTGACGTCAGAGGTCAACGTCAGTTCCCCGGATGCGGAGCTCCGCCCACCTGCAATATCCGCACCTTTAAAGCTAAAATGTTAAGCAAAATTAAGTTAATTAATGCTGTTTTTTGTTTATTTTGAATGTATTTAGGGGTGCAGTTAGTATTCATTGTTAAATAACCCGAATTCATTGGTGTGGAAGTCATTATAAAGTTGCTCAAATACAGCTTTTCATCTGTAAATAAATCAGTGCAGAGAGAGTGAACCTCCGGATTACGCGCTCATCTGATAAACGCGCTTGCTGCTCGTGCTTATGAGCACGTAGATCTGGAACAGCAGCTTGATGTGATAAAATGATATCAATGAAAATTTGTTTGAATCTAGGCAATTCAATGTTTTACATGAATGAATCAGTAAAATAGCAAAATCAAAGCAAAAAAAAAAAAAGCAAGTGGATGGATAAAAATAAGATAAAAGCAGGTACTGAAGCCAATAAAACAGTCAGACCATAAACTTAAACTAATAATACCTCAGTTAACAGTTTAACTTTAACAGTAAAAGCCGGTTCTAAAAAAAAACCGATTTTTAACTTGGAAGAATGACCTGACTACTTTAAAAAAGTAAAAATATAGAGGTATAAAAAATTAGTTTGAAACGTTTTTTTAATTATTGATTAATTGTTACTTTATTATTCACACCCTAAATTGTATTTTGTCACAAATCCATATGAAAAAGCTTTTGACTTTAAGAAAAAAAGAGGCTGTAAATTCAGCCTACGCAGTGTTAAATATGAAGTGTCAATGTACATTGACTCTTTTAGAGTTATTACAACAACAACTGGTGTAAAATATACACTATGTAGCGTTCTGATTTAACACTAATTCAAAGTGGGACTAAATGCACTTTTAAAGTGTTACTTTAACACTGCAGAATTTACTGTATAGTTGTTCACAATTGCAAAGTATATATATTAGCCGCAGTTCCCCGTCTGTGGAATGCCCTCCCAGACCACCTTAGGGCCCCACAGATGGTGGACTGTTTTAAGAAAGGATTGAAAACTTTCCTTTTTAGAAATGCTTTCAATTGCTAATTTTTAGACTTTATAATAGGCTACGTATGCCTTCAAATTTTTTGATTTTAATGATTGTCTTTTACTCTGTTTTAATGTTATGGTCTTTTAACCTTTGTTTTGATCTTCTCTTTTTGAACTGTAGCACTTTGAGATTTGAATTCAAATGTAAAGTGCGCTACAAATAAAATTCATTATTATTATTATTAACTATTCCTAAAAAAATTAAAAAATCTGAGCGGCCTTCAGTAGAAATGTAGAACCATCTTTTGATGCAGAGCAGACGCAGAACCACTTGCAGATTAGATGATACCACAAGTTCTCAGGTTTATTGCATGTTAGACTTAGACAGATTTAACTGTCATTTTGTACACACAGTGTATACAAAAAAAAATAAAAAATTGTTCAGTACAGCTCTCAAGACATTTCCATTTTTTAAGTGCAGCAGTGATAAAATGTAAACAAACTGGTATGTGATATACAGTTTTCAACATTCAGCGCTTTTTTTTTTAAACCCCATTTTATACAACATTCAGCAGTCTAATGGCAGTGCAGAAGAAGCTGTTATGGAATCTGCTGGACCTGCTATTATAACACATTCTCTGGTTAAATATTCAGGGTTGCTGTTCATCTGGTTAGCCTCTATCTCATCCTGAAGAATCAATAATCCCTTGTTGTTCACATCATGTTTATGTGATCAGGGTGATGAAACGTGTTGTTTTTTCTCAACAAATGGTAGTTTACATGTAACCTGACTCCGCCAGATGGATTTGCTACACATATCTATCTGGAAATCTTCCGTTGAAGTAATTTTGGGAAGGGGCGAAAATACTGGTTAGCTGATTGGCCTATGTTGGTGATAGACGGGCCAAATAAACCAATCAGATCAACGAAGCGTATGACGTACTAACTTAGCGACGACAAAGAGGAGCCAATTGATGCATCAAACTCTTGCCGAAACCAGTCGGGAGAAGAGCAAAAACATCTTTTCCTCTGAGAAAAGCCTCCAGAGCAGTGTTTTGCTCTTCTTTCAGTGAAGAAATACTCTGTAATTTTGATAAAACTTGCTCGATAGCCACGCTAACGCTAGTTTCATCGGCTGAAGCCGCCATGTTCTTTAGACTGAACTGTCGCGCTTCTCGTTGCGTCACACCTCAACCCGCCTTAAAGCCAACGCTGATTGGACGTTTGTTTGGTGAACGGCTCCAAATTTTCTTTAACGGAGAGTCTCCAGACTGATCTGCAAGTGAAACCTTGAAAGCTCGCGAGTTCAGGATGGTCTCACGAGGCTAGTTTACATGTAGGTCGGAAAGCTGAATTTTGGTCTTATTTCTTATTCTTAGACTTAGATGAAATGAAATTTCGGTTTGTACAGCTCTCATGCCAATTCCATTTTCTTAAAGTGCAGCAGCGATCGAATGTAAACACTGGAGAAAAAAAACACGGTGCAAAAAAACACATTTCATATGGTCCAGTTTGATGCAGAGACTGTGATATGATTTACAGTTTTTTCAGCTTTATTTTTTTTCTTTTCTTTTTCAACATTCAGCAGTCTAATGGCAGTGGGGAAGAAGCTGTTTTGGAATCTGCTGGATCTGCATTAAATGCATGGTGGGGGTGTGAGGGGTTATTTTGCCGTGGTGCATTACTTTGCTTTTTTGTTCTGTTTCCTATGGCTTTAAAATATTTTCAAAGTAATGGCTTCCTGCCTCCCCATATTCCACAGAGTTCAGAGATTTTGGTATATAAAATAATCACACTAGTGTTCTTGTAAATAGATTGTCCTACTTGAGCTGCTGACCTCCGCAGCTTCTCCTGAGTTATCATCAGCATATTTACCTATTCTTTATTTCTAACTCTGTCCTGCCTGTCACCCCAGATGGAAGAGTAGGCTACAGCTTGATTGCTAAGCAGCAGTGCTGGACAATTTCCATTTTTAAACAAGGGTTTAAACACTTTTTTGTATGATAAATAAAGTTTGGGATGTTGCTACCCAGATAGTCATATAGCTTAGTGCATAGTGCAATAATCCAGGTCAACTACTGTGTAGTCTTTTTAATTTTCACCTATTAAATTGTCAATAAATTTCTGTAGTGCAAGTGCAATAACCCAAGTCAACTACTATGTATTCATCCCTTAGCTCTCTTTATATCTAAGGAAAGCGTATTCCAGGACATTACAACTTTTTTTTAATGTTTTTTTGGTACTATATACACTCTTTTTATATTGTCTGTTGTATTTGTATCTTTAATGGCATTTTGCCCTAACTGTTTGTACTCTATATAAGCTACTGGAAACAGAATTTCCCAGAAGTAGTTATAAATAAATGAAAGATAAAGTTAAAATTAATTCTAAGCTTTAAACACACATAGCCATACTTTGCCTGACTTCCTTGTGAACGTAAAATACTCATCAAGTTAGAAATGAAGTTTATTGCAATAGGAAGATAAAATGTAATAACATTTATATATATTTATTTATATATATATACCAGGCAGTGCGGTTGAAAAGGTCTCCTTTATGATAGTGTAATCTGACAAGTTCATCTATGGATGTTTGCATGTTTTCTTCCTCTTCATAATAGCCACATGAATCTCACTTTGTTGCTATGTGGAAAGCAATCACCTCTATTTGTTGCTGGATGGATATCTAAAGCAACCCATTTGCTGACTGTCAGCTAAATCCCTGGCTGTAAAACCTCAGCATTTCAGATGTAAAACGGCTCTTCTCAGCTTATCAGTCATCTTTACAGCAGCCTAGATTCCCACACATGTCCCAAATCACCAAAGTGACATCCGCTTGGTAAAAGCACAAGATGATTTCCAAAGATAACAAATGTTTTTTTTACAGAGGAAGGCTTGGTGGAGGCTGTATTTATAACGGCTGGCCAGGACAGGTGTAGACTGAAGATGAACAACATGAGATCATCGCTCCAGCTTGCCGCTGTATTGCTCTGCGTGCTGTGTGCGGCACACGTTCAGGCTCAGGAGAAGAGGAACTCGCTGAGGCTCTGTGGCCGGGCCCTGGTGCGAGCTTTGGTGTTCACCTGTGGGGCGTCCAGATGGAGAAGACAGCTGGAGGAGACGGGGTTCTTGCCAGACGGTACGTGACAATCAGCTTGATAAACTGATGTTTTAGCTCAGATCTAAACTTTAACTTTGATTTATTTCTGTTCTTCAACAGTTTTTGGGGCAGAAAACCAAGAAGAGACAGACTTCCTGAAGGCAAGTGATGCTCCAGTGGATTATCATCGGAGGGACCAGGACCAAGCTCTGATAACAACATGCTGTCAAAAAGGCTGCAGAAGAAGTGAGCTGTCCATGCTGTGCTAGAGAGGACGCTGTCGCTCTAAAATGTCAACATTTGAGTCCAAAAAGGTTTCTGTAATTCTATGATTTACCTTTCTAAGCAGAGAATTAAAAAAGCATCATGAATGTTTGTCCTAAGTTCTTCTTTAATTTTCACAATTTAACCAAGAGAAACAAATTACTGACGAATGACAGATTTCCTGTGAGTTACTCAAAATAGACGGCGAATACAGCGGCACAGCAGAACAGAGAATCGTTTTGAAAGGAGTGAGATGCGAAGGTGTCGGTGGACGGGTCCCACAGAAAGCCGCTTCTGGTTTGTATCCCCTGCCCGATGATCTGGCCGATGTGGACTTTGACCACAATTCTGTATCTGGGGATCTGAAGCTGCTTCACACGGTTCTTTATCACCTTCAACGGATCAAAAAGAGGTTTTCTGATTTAGCAGATGTTCAGGTAGAATTTAAAAGACTTCCCTTAATTTTCACCTACTTCACAGAGAGTTAGGGTCAGTTCTCGACTGCGCTGTACTTCATATTTTTCTCCTTGAAGCTTGTTGTCGATTTCTTCCTTCAGTATTTTTAAGACGTCAGTGACGGGAAACGGTTTAGAGGGACCTGTGTGCACACAAACACACACAAACACAAAAATGCTTCTTATGTTATGGATACCAAGGCACTTAACGGTGAGAACATAAAATATCACAGAATTGTAATGCTATCTAATGGATGGTGTTAGATATCGGGAAATAAATCTGTTAAATTTTAAATAAAGATTAATTAAATTTAATTATACTGCAAACATAATTACCAATAATAATACATTCCTACAATCATCAACATCTTGTAGAGAGCAATCCTGTTTAAAAGTAGTCCTCAGCGTTGGTTGCAAGCATTAATTTAGTCCAAGATCATTCAGCTTTATCATTAAAGAACAGCAGAGGTGACATGTTTATATGGGTTTTCTACATGTGTTTTTTTTATGTTAAAAAATATAGTTTCAGTTGCATAAAAAAAAAAAAATCCACCCTGTTAGCAAGAGAAGCTTAACCCTGAAAGTGATGGATAATAAATAAAATCCATGCAAATCTTTACATTATAAGTAACAAATTAGCTTGATTAAAGTAGGTAAATCCTATCTTGACCTCATGTTAACAGTAGCAAATGCATGATAAAAATATCTAATAAAATGAATTTAAAAGTCTGCACCAGTCAGAACAGGACTGCCTTTTGCAACAAGTAAATATTTTTCAGTTCATTCAAGTCTGTATTTTTGATATTATAACTTTTCACTACTGTTTTGATTTAGATTCAGTTATAAAGTGCAGACCAGTTTATCTTACTGTTGAAGAGTCAAGAATGGTAAACTAGACGGTGGTAATGCTAATGCCTTGCAGGAACAAGGACATAGATTTGATCCCAGACTATCACCTTTCTATATGGAAAATGTTTTAGGGTCATATTGTAGTATGGAAATATTAAGTAGACGTTACCCAATTTCTGCAAGATTTTTATTGCTATTAAACTTACATTAACATACATTTTACTAATAAACATTTTAAAAATTGTTACCTATATGCTTTTTTTTTTACAGTGTAATACACATAATATTTTACCTTTTTTCCTAACAGTTTAAAATATTTTTTTTATTATTTTACAAACCATTTATATCTTAATTGCAAACCTTATCTTATATTTTTTGTTTTGTTTTGTTTATTTTGTTTTAACCTAGAGACCAAACCGGTCGTTGATTTTTTTAGCTGGTAAATTTGAATTATTTCTACTAAAAGACGGAGACTTAAACAAACTTTATTGTCATTTAGTAAACACAGAGTGTTTACAAAATGAAATTTCAATGCATATAGCTTTCCGACAGTGAAATGAATATTACCATTTATAAAGTGCAACAGGGATGAAGAATGTAAACGGTGTAGGAGAAAAGGAAAGCCAGTTTTAAGGCATGGTGCAAAATGCATTGATATGGAAAGGTTCAGTGCAGTGCTAAATAAATAAATAAATAAATATGGTGCAAAACGCGGAACATATACATACATAAAATTTATATATATATACCTTTTTTAGCAGAAATTATTTACCCATGTACACAAATTAATGTAAATTTAACTGTTTCTTTTTAAAGTGTAGCTGGTTCTAATGAGTTTCCCTGAATGTGGCTCAATCTGTACATGGATTAAAAAGGTTGATATCTTAAAATATTCATATTCTTCTAATTGCTGCTATCACAGTTAGCCACCATATGAAAAGCAGACTTCAAGTTGTTAAGCTGTAATAAATTTGCTATTTCTGATTATCATAAATAGAATAGTTATTCTCCAGGTGCTCAGTTTTTATACTGTTAAAGCACTTAATAGTACAGTATTTTATTGTTTATCTTTTAACTCTTCACTAATATGTTATTCTTATACATTTTCCTAAGGTCCATATATGTGTGACTTTTTTTTAAGGCCACACATTTTTTAAGGCCACATATTTCCAGAATTTTCCCCTTTGTGGGAAAATAAAGGGTTTTTCTGTTCTATTTTATTCTAATCTATTCCAGAAGATGATCTCCACATAGTTAAATTATTTTACCCAGTGATGGGTTAATTTACCCAGTTGATGGGTGGGATCCATCTCTGCAGCATGGAAATCTTCATGGTTCCCTTGCTCATCCAAACCATAAGCAGTGATCATAGGGCTGAGCATCACCATCGGTTAAAGATGATGGAAAAAAGAAAGAGAGAACAATGTGAGATTGGTGAATCAATTATGATAAAAAAAAAAACTGATAAAGAGTTAAAATGAGCAAAAACACATGGTTAAACTTTACTCCTCAGTTCCACCGGCTTTTTCTTTGTCCCTGGTTCCATCTGCAGGCATTTTATCAACTTTCTTTTCTTGTTTCTCTCGTTTGTCTCTAAGTAGATCCGCCATCACTTCTTCATCAGATTAACCTGGAAAATTACTATTAAAACGAAGCAAGATGAAGCTGATTCAGAGCCGCGGCTCTGAACACGTTATTTGCACATTGTTTTGAATTTAAGCAAAAACATCCCGATAAGCTCTTGAAAAAAAAAAATACAAGAAAAACTTATCCCGATAGTAAAGTGAAAAACAAACAATCTTGAGGCCGCAGCTAACCTCAGTGGCTCGTATCCAAGGCTATATCCTCTTCAAACTTCACACACGATCTCAAATGTAATAGTTTGAATATTTACAGCATGTAGAGTAGGCTAATACTAGCCGATTAAAATGATTGTCCTTACGTGAAGACGCTACGGTAGTCATAGCAACCATGATTCCTCAGTGGGAGGAGTCAGGACGGCGGAAGCTGCCTGTGTTCTTGGAGTTTATTTCATGTATTCGTGTTTCATTGCGGTATAGAAGCCCATTTCCGCCACTGTGATAAAAAAAAAACCCACCAGCTATTTCATAATGATGAGATACTGTCCCATTATAATGAGATATTATCTCATTACTATGAGAAAGTATCTTTTCAGTTCATTTCTATACCGCCAATTCACAACATCTGTCATCTCAAGGCACTTTAGATTTCACCAAATCATCCAGTCAAATTGATTCAAAGTTTTCTATCTAAATAAAACCAGTTAATTGCATCGACTCATTGACTCAAAGCAATCCCTCAAACTAAGCATGCTTGTAGCGACAGTGGAGAGGAAGAACTGCCTTTTAACAGGAATAAACCTCCAGTAGAACCAGGCTCAGTGTGAGCAGCCATCTGCCGAGGCCGACTGGGGTTCAAGGTGACAGAAGAAGAGATACAAAAAGCAGCTGTAAAAGGTGCCCCGTCCAGGAAACACACAGCCAGGCAGACGAGCTCCGAGCCAGCTCACATGTCAGAGGATGAAGAGAGCACATCCAGCCAGTCACAGTCAAAGAAACAGGACTACACTGGAAAACAGGCTGATCTCCAACATCTATAAACAAAGATGTTGATGGCAGCAGCAGGGCCGGAGCTAGATGGGGGACCAGGCCAATCATTGGCCACCCCAACCATTTTTTTCCTCTAATACAGATGGTGGCAGCAGTAATACTCTGAAGTTGAATACTCAAAACATTATTTTTTTTTTTTTGGTTAATTATACACATCAATATACTAACATCAAAGATGATAAATACAGAATTCATGCTCTTTTCAGAACTAGATTTGGTGTTTTAGGGGGTAAAGAGAAAATTATGTGTCTCTGCAAGTCATCTAGGGGTTTTCAGTGAAATCAAACATAAATAACAATTTTAATAAAAACTTATCAAATCATCAATTTATGTAAATATTAGTGCTTGTAAATATAAATTTTATGCAGAATGTTTATTGATAAAAGTAGGTAAGTAATGACAATGAAGATTGATTTACACCCCAGAACTCAAAACGGAGTTTTATCTGGCGAATATATGCGTTTTTGTTAGCAAAGGCTTTAAGAAAGTATAGTTAGTCTTTATTTAGAAAATATGGATGTTTTGTTGGTTCATTTTCCTGTTGGAACAGAGTAGATTGACCCTGAGGTTTTGGTGCCTATCCGCTTTCGGCCACCCCTCAGTGAACATTGGTTATTACCTGGCCACCCTTATAAACAATTTTGGCTATACCTCTGGGCAGCAGCACAGCTGATATTTCTCTCCAGGATGGAGTCACAGCCAAACAAGAGCGGCTGAGGCGAAAATACTTTGAGAAAAAGCAGAGAGAGCAGAATGTTAGAGATTCAACTAACAGATTCTGCAGAGTGGGAGAAGAGAGATCTTATTATGAACAGATACCTAAGTCCTAATGTTTAGATGGCATTCCACAGTTTAGCTGGTATTAATAAAGTATTTTTGAGTTGAATTTGAATTTAATTAAAAAACAATTGAATAATTTCTATCTATCAAATATTGTTGTTGGCTACAATATTGAGAGGTTTTTCATTCAAATACATTTCTTCGTTTTGTACAAAGTGAAGATACACAACATAAGTATAAAATCAAGCAGGCTATAGTCATGCATTTAATTGCTATGGGGTAATTGCTTTATAAATAAGTATAAAATTGTATCGAGAGGATGTGTTGTTCATTTTTAAAGGTAGTAATGACAGTTTAGTACCTCTAAGTTTACCTTTATGTATTAGAAAAACCTGGCCACAGAAATAATTAGAAGAATTATATATAACATATCTAATTTTACAGTTTTCTTTAATAACAAACGGTATATTCTTCCAGAATAAAATGAAATATTTATCTAATTTAATTAAGCAAAATGTGTCATGCCAAAAGGACTTGATAAATTACCAGTTCCAAAACAGATGAGCAGATTTTTCTGGATTATTACAGATATTTGACACCCAGTGCAACAACTATATATAATAATATCCATCTATATAAATACCCCATGTAAACACCCTGTGCAATAACCTTGTAAAATAATCCTACTATTTAAAAAAAGCTGTCATATGTGGACGCACTGTATATACTGTATATATATATATATATATATATATATATATATATATATATATATATATATATATATATATATATATATATATATATATATATATATATATATATATATACAACATGCACCTTTTTCTTCTTTTGGCACATTCTTCTACTTTTATTATTTGAGCTGATATAACGAGTACATTTCTCCACTGTGAGATCAATAAACTCAGTCAATTAATTTATCTTCTTTTTTTAAAAAGCGTTTCTGGGAAAAAAAAAAAAAAAGGTAGGATAAGGATCAAAGTCCGCACCATCCTGATCTCTGCGCCACCATTAAATAAACCACAAAACACGCTCCTTTTTAAATGTTATTTTCTTTTTAATTAATGAAATCTTATATCAAATCACTGCACCATACATAACCAAAGAATAAAAATTTAGAATCCATAAAGTAAAAATTTCTGCACCCAGACGTGGAAACTTGTTACGTAAACACGTAGAAACGCGGAAACTGTGCGTAAAGCGAAAGTTTCCAAGCTCCTTCACCGCTGCATCTCTGCGTCAGGGTCAGATCAGCCAGCCTGCCTCACAGCTTTCAGGTAACATTCTCCTTTTTATTAGACGCTCATTGCTTCAGGTAAAAGCTTCTAAACTCATTTCTGTTTCTGCTCCTGTTCTCATTTGACCTTCCGCCTCCCATTCGTCCTTGCTCAGTCATTTTCTTCGCCTCCAGCCTTCTGTCCACTTTCATTTTCTGCCCACTTGCGCCTTTTCATTGCCTACAGACCTGCTTTGCGTCTTTTTTTCATAAATTATTCTAAATCTAAAAAAATAAGCCTCAAATGTTGGCAACTTGCATTTAGTTTTTAACTCTATTTTTTATTTTATTTTTGGGTTCTTTCAGGTTTTCCAAAATGGGTGCGCTTTCTAAGGAGTATGGGTTCGTTGTGCTCACTGGCGTTGCCAGCATGATCATGATCGGACACCTGGGCATCAAAGTGGGAAAAGCCCGCAAGAAGTACAACGTCCCGGTGAGTTTGGGTGACCTCACTTCTTTGTTACCTTGCTGTTTCAAAAAAAAAGGTTTAATCTTACACATAAGTAATTTCCCTCTGGGATTATTAAAGTATTTCTGATTCTGATTCTGATATAATCTCTTCCAGTACCCACAGATGTACAGCAATGATCCAGAAAATGGAAACATCTTTAACTGCATCCAGCGTGCACACCAGAACACGTAGGTATCAGTTGCCATCAGAGCAGCCTTGCCCTGCACACACCTGCCATTGATTCAGGAAGAAAAAAAAAAAGCAGGTGAAGGTTAAAAAGCTCTTATCACCTTTCAACAGGCTAGAGATGTACCCGGCCTTCCTCTTCTGCCTGGCTGTTGGTGGTTTGCACAGACCTGTAAGTTACTTGTTTTACTTCACACTACAGTTACCCCCCAACCTCATAAGGGTTCTATAAGACGGACCCTGGATCAGATCTCAGCAGTTAAAGCATGTCCCTCTGGATGTTTGCATGTTTCTTTCACAGCGTCTAGTAAGTGGGCTTGGACTTCTGTGGATTGTTGGCAGAGAGGTGTTTGCTCATGGATACTCCACAGGGGGTAAGATGAAGCTGTACAGAAATCCTTTCACTCACTTAAAAAATAAATAATTGATTGTGCTAAAATGATCTATCCTTTTAATGATCAGATCCAGATAAAAGAAGGAGGGGCATGTTTGGCACTCTGGCTTTAATGGGGATGATGCTGACCACTTTGAACTATGGTCGTCATCTGCTGGGCTGGACAGGACTGCCACGCCTGGGGTTCCGTGGTGCATCCTGCCACTAATGAGGATGAAGAGAGAAGCATCACAAGCCTTTTTATTCCAATCACACTAACTTCATGTAGAATAATGCTGTATATCCTGCAGCATATATGCTCAACTCTGACCTGCATAACAGGTTAAGTTAATGCTTGAACGTAACTGGACTGGTTTCTTTGAGAACTCCACTCCTATTATATCACTATTTTTATTACAATGGCTGTAGTTGTATGGCTTCTAATGTGTAATTTTTGCAATAAAGATAAACGTCTTTGTCACAACGTGATCTCCATTTGCATTTGTGAAGCTCACAAATTAATAATTTTCTGTGATTATTGCAATGTGCAAAATTTCTTCTTTTTTCTTTTGAACTTAACTGCACTAAAGTCAGCCTAATGAGGGTTATTATTCAAAAGGAGTATACTAAGGTGTTGCATTGAATGTAAGGGTGTGTGTGACATGGGTGTGTTTATGGGGAGTAGCTTTTTTTTCTATTAAGTAAATGTTTAAAGTCCAACATGTCTGATCAGGTAAGAGTAATAATTCATTAAGGTAGTTATAAATCTTTGTCACAGCTCGGACTGGATCAAAGCAGTTTGTACTAGGTAAAAAAAGAAAAGCAGTAGGCTTATCTTTGGTTTCCTTTTTTTAATTACTAAACATGTAATCATGTAATCATTCAGTTATTTCAACATTTACAATCCTTAGTGGCAGTAAAACAAAGTGGGGCCCAAACTCTGGTATAGAACCTTGTGATTCACACCTCTTCAACTTTTTCACATGCTTTCATGTTTAAACCACAAAGATAATATATACACCTATAAACTGAGATTTCTGTTTCACATGACTAGTCATGTTTGTCAAAGTTTGCAAGATTTACACCTGCAAAATTGCTCCAGGGCACTAAAACAGGATATAGAGCACCTTCAAACGTCTTTTTTTTTTTTTAGGCCACATATTTTCAGTTTGCTTTGGATTATTATGGGATCACTGTTCTACTCTGACCATAACTCCCACAGCATGATGCTGCCACCACCATGTTTCCCCTTCACAGAGGGTGTTCAGGGTAACTTTTTTTTTTGCATGCAGATTTTTTGCAGGTAAGCAGGAATGTTTAAATTTGGTCTCATCTGACCAGAGCATGTTTGTTGTATCACCTGCATTGCCTTGAACTAAGACTCTAATGGCTTTTTTTCTTCCACTGCCATAAAAAAGCCAGATTTGAGAAGTGCATGGGAAATAGTAAAGCTGTGGATATTTGGTGCTCCTCAAGCATTATGGATCTCTTGGTACTTTCTCTGATAACACTATTTTTGCCTGACCTGTTAGCTTGGGTTGGCAGCCATAGATCTGGAGTAAGGTCATAGTACCGTATGTTGATTTTCAGAGGAAGTTTTCAGTAACAACACTAAGATAGATGTTCTAAGCTTTGAATGTTTTTCATCCTTAACTACTAAAGAGATCACTTGTAAATTAAGTTGATCTGGGTTTTATTTACTTACTTGACTTTATTTAAAGGAATTAAAGCGCACTGAATCCTTTCTTTTGTCTAATTTTTGCCGGTTTGTGTTTTACCGTTTGTGGTTTGCAGCATGACAAAATGAGAAAAAAGTTAAACAGGTATGAATGCTTTTTGCTAAACACGCTTGAATCCAGGAAGTTTATGGCACTTTAACAGAAACAGACACGGAAAAAAAACTCATCAAGGTTAAAAAACTTCTCATATGCTGACAGCACTTAGATTTTTATGGCAGGTTTATTTCTCAAGGAGCTTCGGCACATTTAACATTCAATCTAAGGAACAATCGTCAATACTCAGGATCTATTTTGCAACATTAAACACCTTCTCACATTCCCTAATTTACTAATTTTGAGGTTACTGGTGTGTTTGACTTAATACTGAAAAGTGGAAATCTTTTTATTTATGGAGTTTCTTCATCATGCAGCTTTAAGGCAGCAGTTTGATTTGAAAGTGCACTTTACTTCTATTTGGTCACCTAAAGCATCTCAAGTGAAATTTATCGGTCTGTATGGACAGCATCTCATCCTCATCACATTTTATATGTATATACAATGTATATGTCATATTTAATACTAAATGACCTGAGGTGTTTGTTTTTATGCATGAATCTACATTATCTTCCATGTCCACTAGAGGGCAGTCTTCTCTCACATTAAAAACGTTATTTGTGCAAAGATGCCACAAATTTCAGGTTTGGTTGAAAGATTTAAGTCATCAGGAATAAGAAGTACGGTGGCTGAGAAGTGCAAAACACATTTACAATTCAAAAACACATTAACAAATAAAAAACAAAATAACATTTGAAGAAACAAAATTATATTTTGTGAAACAAATGTATTTTTGAAAAAAAAAGTTTAAATTTTTAAAAACAAATTTACATTTTAGCAAACAAATTTACATTAACAAATAAACAAAATAAAATTTGAAGAAACAAAATTATATTTTATGAAACAAATGTATTTTTGAAAAAAAAGTTTAAATTTTTAAAAACACATTTACAATTCAAAAACACATTAACAAATAAAAAACAAAATAACATTTGAAGAAACAAAATAATATTTTATGAAACAAATGTATTTTTGAAAAAAAAAGTTTAAATTTTTAAAAACAAATTTACATTTTAGGAAACAAATTCACATTTTAAATAAGTTAGATTTTAGGTGAGAGAAAGTTTCATTTTAGAGAAAAAAAAATACATTATAGGGAAACAAATTTACATCTAAAAAAAAATTGACCGTTCGGAAACACTTGTACAAGTGCAAAGACAAAACTGCAAGTGGCAAAACACAGTTACATAGCCAAAAACAAATTAACAGAAGACGGCTACACGGAAAGGGAATGTCCCAGTGGCCGGATGTGACGTCACGATTACCCTGACTTGTAGTACAAACAGCTCAAGCTGTAGTCCTCCTGCTTCACGTGAAAAGTCAGCGGCGATTTTAGATGGAAAGAATTGCACTGAAGCTGTTTTTCTTAAGTTTACGCTAATCGAACAATGTTTTCAGCCAATTTACACCATTTTGTTCTTCGTGCGGACGGTCTCTGGAACTTTTACGGGACACGGACCAGGTGGCAGGACCAAGCAGCAGGGCCGGGCGTATTACTGGCCGGAGCAACTATTATTTTGTCATGTAGTTTTTTAATTACTTTTCTTTGGTATTTAATTATTTTTTGGGTATTTTTCCTGCCGTTTTTCGGCAAATGCCTTATTTATAGTACTTCTAACTAGATTGTTTTATATATATATATATATATATATATATGCTATATATTGTGATGTTATCGCTTAATAACCTGTATTAAAATGTATTCTTTATGGGTTTCTTTTTATTGTGATGTTATTGCTTAATAAACTGCATTAAAACTTTTATAATGTCACATTTACTTGATGGAACGGAGTACTTTATCTGCGAATAAGTGGCCTCGGCCGGCAGCAGCCACCATCGGCCTCTCCGATGGCAAGCTCTGCCGGCAGCGGCCACCATCGGCCTCTCCGATGGCAAGCTCTGCCGACAGCGGCCACCATCGGCCTCTCCGATGGCAAGCTCTGCCGGCAGCGGCCACCATCGGCCTCTCCGATGGCAAGCTCTGCCGACAGCGGCCACCATCGGCCTCTCCGATGGCAAGCTCTGCCGGCAGCGGCCACCATCGGCCTCTCCGATGGCAAGCTCTGCCGGCAGCGGCCACCATCGGCCTCTCCGATGGCAAGCTCTGCCGGCAGCGGGCAACAACGGCCACTCCGATGGCCGGCTCTGCCGCAGCCACTGTCACGAATTGAGCCCGGCCCTGCTGCTTGGTCCTGCCACCTTGTACCGTGTCCCGTAAAAGTTCCAGAGACCGTCCGCACGAAGAACAAAATGGTGTAAATTGGCTGAAAACATTGTTCGGTTAGCGTAAACTTAAGAAAAACAGCTTCAGTGCAATTCTTTCCATCTAAAATCGCCGCTGACTTTTCACGTGAAGCAGGATGACTACAGATTGAGCTGTTTGTACTACAAGTCAGGGTAATCGTGACGTCACATCCGGCCACTGGGACATTCCCTTTCCGTGTAGCCGTCTTTTGTTAATTTGTTTTTGGCTATGTAAATGTGTTTTGCCACTTGCAGTTTTGTCTTTGCACTTGTACAAGTGTTTCTGAACGGTCAATTTTTTTTAGATGTAAATTTGTTTCCCTATAATGTATTTTTTTTCTCTAAAATGAAACTTTCTCTCACCTAAAATCTAACTTATTTAAAATGTGAATTTGTTTCCTTAAATGTAAATGTGTTTTTAAAAATTGAAACTTTTTTTTTCAAAAATAAATTGTTTCATAAAATATAATTGTTTCTTCAAATGTTATTTTGTTTTTTATTTGTTAATGTGTTTTTGAATTGTAAATGTGTTTTTAAAAATTTAAACTTTTTTTTTTCAAAAATACATTTGTTTCATAAAATATAATTTTGTTTCTTCAAATGTTATTTTGTTTATTTGTTAATGTAAATTTGTTTGCTAAAATGTAAATTTGTTTTTAAAAATTTAAACTTTTTTTTCAAAAATACATTTGTTTCACAAAATATAATTTTGTTTCTTCAAATGTTATTTTGTTTTTTATTTGTTAATGTGTTTTTGAATTGTAAATGTGTTTTGCACTTCTCAGCCACCGTAAAGAAGGGAATGTGGAACAGATATTAAGTGACTCTAAAACCTTTGATTTAAACAACAATAACTAAATAACTAAATCTGTTCTCCAGTAAGTCTTAAACAGAGAAGTTAATAAATGAGAAAAAGCTCCTTTGAAGGTCATGTTTCTTCCAACATGGCCTTAATTGCTTGATCTGCATATGTTCTCTGCAGGGTGCAAGTGAAGGAACAGACAGGAGCATCAATCAGTGGGCGTACGGGGAGAGGGGCGTGTCTTCCATCAAATCGTCCTAGAAAAAGAGTTTAAAATCAAAATTAACACAATGATCTCAAAAGAAAACAATTCCTCTCTTACCATAGACTGTCATCAGAGAGGTTTGTCCTTTAATTTCTGTGTGCAACATTTAAAACATGACATACTTGTGCATACATATAACAAGACAATATGTATCAACATGGTAATAAAAGCAGCATTAATAATCATCAACCAAGTAGAAATATCACAATCCTGGCTTAACTGCAAGTGCAGCAGTAAATGGAAAACACCTTTTGGGAACAAGTCAACACACTGCGCCAGTCGCATCTTATCTAACAAGCTGAAACAACTCTGTTTATATTCAATAAAAATGGTGCAGCACTGGTAAGAGGAACAATACAGCACACTTACCAAGCCCTGACTTCCTTACATGTCGCTCTCCATTGTTTACTGTCCTGATTTCTGTCACTACATTCAATGACTCCATGCAGACAGCTGGATTTTCCTTAGAAAACTTTTAACCAATTATATATGACTATATAATATAATTGTCTTTGTAAAGTGCCTTTAGGTGACATGAGTTGTGAATTTGAGCTATATAGATACAGTGAAATAAATTAAGATAAACTTTATTATTATTCCAAAATAATGCAGTCAATGTAGCTTTTAATGTAAAACACGATAGCAGATGTGCTCTCATCACTGCCATGGTTTGTAAACATATCTCAGCAAGTGCTCAAAACATTCATGCAATTGAACTTAAGTCCCCTCTGACTATATATTAATAATTATCACATAGGATAAGGTCTATATCAGGGGTCCTCAACTCAGGTCCTCAAGGTTCAGTGTAGTACAACTTTTACATGTGTCTCTGCTTTCAACACACCGAAGTCAAATAATTAGGTCATTAACAGGACTCTCAATTAAGGTGTGTTGGAGCAGGGACATGGGAAATGGTATAAACATGATCCAACCTGATCTCTTGTGGGAAGGTTTCAATGCTGGTATAATTGCAGTAGGATTGACCTCAAGCTTACATGATTAAAGTCTACAGATATAAAAAAAAATCCATCTGGATGGACAGTCTGTTATTAGCTAAAGGCAGTAGGCGATATGTCTAATGTCAGCCCACTACTAGAACTTAGCTGTATCTAACCAGCAATAATGATAGGCACTGTAAGCTCCTGTGGAAAGTGAAATAGTTGGCATCCCACTATGATGAACTCAACATCTCCTGAATGGCATTAGTCCACAGCTATTTTTACACAACTGGTTATTAGTGTAAATTCAAAACCTGGCTTTTACCAGAGCTGTTGTTCTGTCGACCCAGTGCGCTCTGACCTAACCTGACTCCGCCAGATGGATTTGCTCCGCATATCCATCTGGAAACCTTCCGTTGAAGTAATTTTGGGAAGGGGCGAAAATACTGGTTAGCTGATTGGCCTATATTGGTGATAGACGGGCCAAATAAACCAATCAGATCAACGAAGCATATGACGTACTAACAGCCAGGCTACTCTTGCCGAAACCAGTCGGGAGAAGAGCAAAAACATCTTTTCCTCTGAGAAAAGCCTCCAGAGTAGTGTTTTGCTCTTCTTTCAATGAAGAAATACCCTGTAATTCCAATAAAACTTGCTCGATAGCCACGCTAATGCTAGTTTCATTCGGCTGAAGCCGCCATGTTCTTTAGACTGAACTGTCGCGCTTCTTGTTGCGTCACACCTCAACCCGCCTCAAAGCCAACGCTGATTGGACGTTCGGTTGGTGAACGGCTCCAAATTTTCTTCAACGGAGAGTCTCCAGACTGATTAGCGAGTGAAATCTTGAAAGCTAGCGAGATCAGGATGGTCTCACGAGGCTAGCTCTGACCTGGGTGTGTAATGAAAATTGTCACGCAATTTCCCTCCTTCACCTGTGCAGCAAAGATTAGCGCAGATTTTGTCATTTTATAACCCAGGGATCTGTCAATTGAGCGGGAGCTGATGGGTAAAATAGGCTTAAACAGAGCTTTTGATAGCCTCATTAGCACAACAGCTCAGCATCCCTTTTTCTTCCCTTGCGCTACCTTCACCCTTTCTACTACGTGGACAGCTGTTTGTATTTTTACATATGGATAAAGAATTAAATATTAGCATTTTACACAAATCCCCTAGACTAAAGCAGCTGATTGTACTTGGACTGGAATTAACTGATGAAATCGCTTGATTTAATGTTTTTTCAGATGAAATTATTTTTATGCAATAAAGGCCTTTATTTTTGTTAATTTTTATAGTAAGTGGAAAAAATGGGAATAGAAAGAGGGGGAAGACATGCAGCTTGGGTCACTAGACTGGGACTCAAACCTATGACAGCTGCTTAGAGGAGCAGAGCACTTTTCGCTGTTAGATATCTCCTAATAAGTCATCAATTAGCGGACTGTGTGATACCACTAGCTAAAAACATTCAGTATGTTATATTTCACTGTTTATTGCTTGAATTTTGTTGCCCTTTAAATTAAGGCCACCTCCGTGAAAGGATGATGCCTCTGGAGCTTAAGTCACAGACTGATATTCGACTTTTCTCCACAAGATTGAAAAAATGGCTCAAAGACAATCAAGAGTGTGAGCACTAAACAGGCTCGTACTGTACATTTTTTTTTTGACTTCTCTTGTTTTTTTTTCTGCATCTGTGTGTCGTTACTAACCTCCCTCCCCCTTAATGCTAACACCTTTTAAAAGCCTAACCAGGGACGAAGGCTGCAAATTAGCCCATGGCTACAAGCCTTATGTACTTGGACATCAGCCACCTGTTTGGTTGCAATTTTTAATTGTACTTACCCTGTCAAATAAACAAAAAAACAAAAAAATTTAAATCAAAGCAATATATATCATGTTATGTTTATAACAAAACTTAAGTAGAAAAAAACCCTGATTAATTGCATTTTGTATGCAAAAAATCTGAAATAGATAATCCTTGTTCTAAATACCAGCAAGACTGAGGCCATGATTAAAGGTTCAGAATCATGCTTTTTTTTAAAAGCGTTCCACAGTCAACTAAAGGCACATATGGTAAAATATTTCATCTTCCACCACAGAGTATTGATCTGATGACAGACATGTTTCCAATAATAATAATAAGAGTTTTTGAGCAACTTTTTAAAAAGTTGAAAAAAATAATGCAACTGCTTTTGGCACTTACTTAATCATATTTAGTTACTGTAACACAATTGTTTTATGTCCTACCCTGCTAACACAAAACAATTGTGTTAAACTAAATATGATTAGGTAAAAGCCAAAAACGGTTTCGTTATAGTGTATTAGAGTATAGTGTAATATTTCATAAGGCTGGAGCCATGGATGTCTCCTCATCTGCAAACTTGATTAGTGACAATGCTTCTTTAACCCTGTAATGCCAAATGTATCATATTTGATACATACGGTTTCTGAAATTTTTTGCGTCTGACACCTTTTGCATAATTTAATGGTAAAAACTTTGCTCAAAATCCTATTGCACACAATCAGATATACCTGATAACAGAGGGCAGAAGACTACACAAAAAATAATTTGACTTATCGCATAGTAATAAATTATTAATATAAAACATTTATTTTTGTTTTTTCTTTTTACATATTTTGTTAAATGGCCAAATAAGGACTTCAAACCAAAAAAAGTAATTTTCTGTTTTGTTTTATTCCTGGGTCAGGCTTTAAAGGGTTAACTGTGATATGCACTTCATGAGATGTGAGCCCGGTTGATAAGAACTGCCTTCTGTAACCCTATGCAACTTCTCTGGACTGAGTTAGATTACAAATTTTGTCAAAATCTGTTGTTATGTCTCATGGTTATTTAATACATATACATTATGCAGTGTTATAAGAAACAGAGAGAGAAAGCTTCAAGGTGTAAAAGCTTTCCTTAACAGACTTATATGAAAAATGTGTTAACATCTCCTCATTGGTGCATTCATGCTTTTTCAAAAAACTCAATAAAAACCTCATGTGAGCATAGATTGATTTGATTTTTGCTGTTTCCATCAAGCTCTAATTCAAAATGTGCAACAAAAAACAAAAAAATCGGTTGATGGAAAACTGATCTAGTTGATGTGTGGGAGCCGACCATTTTATAATGTTATCCTAAAGTCGCTGCAGAATAGTATCATGCCACTTCTGGTGATTAGGCTCTCTTTTAGAAGGCCAAAGAAAGTCAGATACCTCTCACAGCCAAATAATACAGTTGTGCAACCCATAGTAAAAGAAAGAAAAAAAAAACAGTTGCTGTCACTGTGCAGATTCAGTGCTAAAAGGGCCAGTGTTGTTTACTGGGCGGATGCACTGCGGTCAGGGTAGGTGCTTCCTGGAGGGGGTTGGAAATCCCTGTACTACTTAGAACAGGGGTCTGCAATCTTTCATATCCAAAAAGCCGTTTTGCCCAGAGTCCGACCAAGTAAAAGTTGTTTAGAGCCGCAAAATATAACATGACTTTTTCTAGAAAACCTTTTTTTTAAAAAAAATCTTGTATAGGAAACTAGTTGTTGCCATCTCAAACAATCAACAATTCATGTATTTTTAATGTTAAAACATATAATTTTCAAGCTAATTCATAGAAAAATGTCTCTTAAAACATATTTCTGGTTCTTTTAATCTCATTCTTTTCCATCTTATAAAAAACGCTAAAGCTATTGATACCGGTATATATTATAGTAAATTATTTAGCTCTTTATATACATTTTAGCTACTATTAAGAGCCGCTGGAGAGGGTCCAAAGAGCCATATGTGGAGCCGCAGGTTGCAGACCCCTAACTTAGATATTCATGGCAACTCATTTCCCAGTACAGTTATGAGCTGTTGCCCAGACAGCAGAATTCACAATGATAATTCAGACATACATACATACAGGAATAAAGCAAAATAACATGAAGCATAGTCAAAAACTAAAAAAAAGTTCAGTTTGACTTAAAAAGGCCCTTTTAATTTCTGAAATAATATCTCTAAGTATTAAAAAATCTAAAACTAAAGGCACTGCAAAAACTGATCTAAAAATAAGTAAAAATTTCTTGGAATATGTACTTAATTTGAGCAAGTATATAAGATGACATGCCAATGGAATTAGTATTCATGCACCAAAACAAAAAATGTCCTTTTTTCTAGAAATATTTATTTATATTTCAATAAATCTACTTGTAATTTAACAGTTTCTTAGTGTCAATATAGTTTTCATCCCAGCTGTTGTGTCATCCATTTATTTGTTACACGAGTCTGTATGACTTAAAGATTAAAGACTATTTTGATCACAATTAATCCATAGTGAAACCAGCAATTGTATGAAAGAATACACATACTCTAAAAGTTGATGTCTAGACCCCATGATCCTATTTGAGTGCCAGCTGAGAGTGTGCATCTTACCATGGGAAGGTCCTGCAGTCGATGGAACTCAGGGTTGTTCATCCTCTTGCGGAATTTCAAGAACAGAACGGCGAAGACGACAGCTGTGGCAACAATGAACACTGACAACAGACTCGCTAGCAGAGGGTCCAGAGGAGAGCTGGAGCCGTGGTGGGACCCCTTCAGGTCTACATGACAGAGAGTAAATATAAGATAAGTACAATGAAATTATAAACTCAAACAAATAAGAGGTCAAAATCATCTTATCTCCTAACCTTCATCTCCGATGTTCAGCTCAGATGGAAACTCCCTGTGTGTGGGTCCCACTGGGGCCAAAACGAAGGCTAAGGTCTGAGACAGAGCTGTTGTATGTGTGGTGACTGCAGATTGTGGCTGCATGGTAGAAGTAAGGGAAGTGGAGCTTTCCTCCCTCGCAGTCTGTACTGTTGGAGATGAAACGGTGGAGACAGTCTTGCTGGTCAGCAGATCTATGTGACCGGTAGCTTGATGAGAGGTGGAGCTCAGAGCGGTCGGCGTGGAGGAAAGGTTGACTGCGGCAGCTGGGAGTGTGAACAAAAACATCTGTTCAAACCAGTATAAAGAGTTCTTCAAAGGTAATGAAGCAAACGCATCAACCAGAGGTCACTGCAGTGCTATGATCCTGAACCGGATCACAATACTGCTTCTGCTAATTTTTGCTAAAACCATCACTGCAAAATGTAATGAGAATTACCTTTCAGATCGGAGAATCTTCCACAACCTTTTCCTTACTTGCAGTCATTAAAACAATATAACAAAAATATCGATAGTACTGCAAAACTGTTTTTTAAAGAGGTGTATTCCAAATTGTTTGAACTTCTCCATCAACAGGGACAATTTCCCAAAAATCACAAATATTTCTGCATGTGTAAATATTATTAAAACTTCTTTTCACATTATTTCTATAGTATGATTCTTATTATATGCCACAGAGCTTATTCCCTCAGAAAAGTCACGCCATTTTCTATATTCCCTTAATATTCCTACACAACATGCATTTTTTTATACATGTCCATTATCTGTTTGTGTAGCACTTCACTATCAAGGCTAAATTTTACTAATCTCTCTTGTGGATGTTACATAATTAATTCACTAACTTGTTTATAAATAAGCATTTGAATAATGATTAATGTAAGTTATACTCATCAATCATGAAAAAATATATAATAATATTTAACATCTTATCCATGTCTGCATTTCAGCCTTTAAACATTGAGTTGGGGAGTGGAGGTCTAGTGGTTAGAGCATTGGGTCCCGGAGGTTCACATCACACTCACTCCCACAGACTGCCACTGTGGGTCCCTGAGCCAGACCCTAAAACCCAGACTACTCCCCTGGCACCGCACGATGGCAGCACACTGCCCCCTAAGGGAAGGGTTAAAATACAGAGAGTGAATTTCCACATTGTGGGAAAATAAAGGGATTCATGGGGGAGAAGGAAAAGTTAAGAGTCTGCAAGTTGTGTGGGAATTTTCTATGTAAATGAGAACAATTGCTCAACATAGTATATATATAAATATTATATATATATTAGTATATATATATATATATATATATATATATATATATATATATATATATATATATATATATATATATATATATATATATATATATATATATATATATATATATATATATTATGCAGAAAAATAAATTATTCATTAAGACATCATAAGTGTATGACTTGATTTATTGGCAATTGATTTATGATGATCTAGTCTTTCTTCAGTGATGTATTTGGAAAATACAGATGTGCTTGCCCTTTTCCATGCCTTTCTTGGTGAATTTTAAAAGGGCTTTAAAATGTAAAATGATAAAATCCTATGTTATGTAGATTTGAATATTTATATACGCAGTATAAAAGGTAGGTTGTAAAGGTTGTAAGTATAAAACAGGGTAGGCAATAATAAGCTTTGCTTCAGCCTATTCCTTTTTTTTTGGTAAATTGTTGGTTTTGTTTTGTTTTGATATTGTTGTTTTGTTGTTTAATGTTGGATTATTTGCTTAAAAAAAATAAAGTGAAAGTGAAGTGAAGTGAAGTAAAGTAGGGAAGCCGCTAAAAGCTGCAGGACAACGTTGGGCCTGCCCACCTTAGACTCTTTCTATATGGATTGCTGATGTTGTTTCTTCCTGATGTGGTGTTATCACACACCCATGTGCTCCAGAGCAGCATAAAGACAAAAGTGTTTCTTTATAGGAATAGTCACTTTTATTCATGTTGATTTGACCAGCAGCTCCTGGATCCTAGTTTAAATAAACTCAGGCTTGTTAAAGAACTGATTACTTGTTTCTTTACTCCAAATATCATAGATGCTAGAACGTTGCCTCTAAATAAGGTTATAGAACAATTCTCTGTCTAAGATGGTTTAAGAGTGACTTCATGCTGCACAACTAGCAAAAACAATTTATTAAAAAAGATTGCAAACATGGGAGGTTAATAAGAGTTTGTTTGCATCTCTAAAACTGAAGCTTTTTTATTTCTAAGTGGAAACCTGCTTCATCTGTAAACATCAAGGTGACAGTAATAGCTGCCATTTGCTGTTGTTTCTCTGCTCCAAAAATAGACACCCAGCGTCAGATGAGGGCAGCGGGGGTTATATTTATCAAACCTGTAAAAGAGAATCTCTTTGAAAATTCTACCACATATGCTCCTTTCTCATTGCAGTCGTGTGGCATTCAGGGCAGGACTGAATGCTAGGGGAACATAGGCTGGGAAAACGGGCCGTTTTTTCCAAAAAGGCAACATTTTCTTGTGTGGCTGTTTTATTTTAAGGCTTTAGTCTGGACGAAAAAAAAAAAAAAGAGAGAAATTGCAAAACCCAAAAATAAAGTAGTGACATTAGACCAGATCAAAGGAGCTTGACAAAAGTTTTGCCATTACAGCCACAGACTACAATATAGTTTATGTGTCTTTTTTAAAGACTGCTCTGTGTTCAGCCCTCCCTGGGAATACTTTTAAAATCACACTTTGGTGAAATCACAGCTATAAGTTTTTTTAGGTTGATCAGATGCTGACTATACACTGGAAAAATGATCTAGAAATAAGTAAAAAATTATTAAAATAGGTGTATTTACTAATTTGAGAAGGTAAATAAGGTAGTTTGCCAATGTAATGAGTTTTTTACTCTTAAAATAGGATAATTAGATAAAATGCACTTGAAATAAGACAATGCAATTGTGTTTTCTTATTTTAAGGGTAAATTGTCATGTTCCGTTGGCAAAGTTTCTCTTTTACCTCCTCAATCCAAGAACAAATGCACTTATTTAAAGAAAAAATGACTTATTTAGATATCGATTTTTTCCAGTGTAAATTGGGGGTTATAGGGCACTCATTTGAATACTTTGAAAATCAAAATTTCAAGCCAGTTTTATTGGAGTCCAGGACAAGAACTTATTACCTTTGTAACATTAAAAATATGGATATTTTGATGGCAAAAATTAATGTCAATGTTATAACAAGAAATGCAAACTTGCCCGAATATATCAAGAAAAATAACAAAAGTGTTTCTATAAGAAATTCATGAAAAACTCTGCACAAAGAAACAAATTTTTTTGTTACAACATAATCTTAGCAGCATGTCTGGCTGATACTGGCATTAACATTTTTTAGTTTATAAACCTTAATATAATTATTAACTAGGCTTATTAACTTTAATTTTTTACTTTTGAATTAGCTTTTTACCTTTTTTTCTTGACTTAACTTTTTTTTTCCAATTTAATTTACAGTAGGTAATATATCATTCAAGGGCTCGTCTAATTGGTCAAATGCCAAAATGAGATGTGCAGCCATCTAGCAGTATCTTTGCTGAATGCCTGGATATAGATCTTGTGCTTCTAGACCTCACTGAGGGACGGGGAGACTCCATTTTTAAGGGGTATGCAAGTGATCCAAAACGGAAACTTGCCCTATAAAGCGTTAAGTACAGAAAAAATGTTCAATTCTTTTCCAGCCTGTGCTTGTGTCTTATATTTAATACTGCCTAATCACCAACTTCAATGAAAAGCAGGATGCTGCTACTAACATGTTTCACTGCAAGGACAATGAGTTTATTATGTGTAGTGTTAATTACAGCTGGTACATCCCATATATGAAAACTTTCACCTTTAATCACACCATCTCCCACAATGACACCACTTTTAGTCAGGTCTTCATATGAATACCTGATAGTTTTTCGTTTAATTAGTTGATTTTGAAGGCACTGTAAGCAGATAAGCAAGTAAATGTAGCTTACCTGACAGGGATGGAGTTGTATTTGTACTCTGAGATGTAGCTTTAGTGGAACTTGAGACGTGCAAGTGTCCTGCATCTGCTGAGGTCTCCCGTTCAATCATCCTTTCTGTCGAGGAAGGGACTGTGGGATCACTGAAGGTTTCATTCCTGCCTGCAACATGTTGTGTCCGCTGTGGAACCTCTGTTATCGTGGGCTCTGTCCCCTCAGGAGGTGGCGGGGTCTCGGTAGGAGCCGGGGATGAGGATGCAATAGATGCAGCAGGCAAAGCATGGCTCTGACCTGTAGACAGTGTCATAAACACTCAATGATGATGTGAAACAAGTGTTTATTTCATTTGTTGACATAAATGCTTCCTCATCCAAGATGTTATTCCCCCATTCATATCATGCAATAACGAACATTTTTACGTATAAGTACAATCCGAACTAGTCATTCTCATGCTTTCATTATAAGAAGTAAAACATTGTGGCCACAACAACAATAAAACAAAATAACATACTTCTCCCCAAGGGCATGGGATAAATGCAGAGTTCATGTTGCTGCCCTGTACTTGTGACAGTGCAATGACAATAAAAATGTGGGAAAAAGGAAACACAAGACAAAAAAAAAAACACTTTTTCTAGTATTTTGAGATAATAACAAAGGTATGCAAATGCACATATCAACATAACAGCTTAACTGGTTGCATGAAATTCTGTTGTGTCAATTTTGCTCCTCAGATGTCTAGGTTTGCTAAACAATGACATCAGCAGTGAACTTAAAGAAGTAATGCTCATCAAGTTAGGAAGGGTCATAAGGACAGCCGTAGATTGCTTTCAGTGCAAAAAATATCCCATAGAAAATAACTGCCCTGAAGTTATCTTGTTAAAGTACCTTTCAGTACAGATAAAACAAACAATAAAACACCTCAAACATTATTGTACAGATCTGGAATAGTCTAAGGGCAAAATACCTGAATACCTCAGATTTGAGCTCCTACCTCCTTTTCCTAGCTCCTATCCTTTACCTTTCGCGGCGCCAACGGTAAGTAATCCCGACAGCTTTCCGCCTTATGGACATTATTATCCAGCGGACATTTACATGAATAAGGCCTCTTAAACAAGTCTACAGCTTTCCTAAAAAGAACTACAAAGTACCAAAAGTTACTAAAATGTAGCCTATGGCTAAAACTCTTCATTATAAAACCCAAAGCTTATGAAGGTTTGAACATTAGCATGTGTCACCCCGAGTACAACTTAAGAAATAATGCACTTTTGTTTAACTCTGTGAGAAGGAGGAGGGTTGTGTTGTCACGGTAAGAATTGTGGGCAAACCTTTAGTTCCTAGCAGCAGCTAGGAAAATCAGGAGGCCTCGATGCTTAGTGCATCCTAGCCCCTTCCTTGCTGCGAGCACTATTTGGATAGCACTTATTATGGCCACTGCTGACATACTTCCGCCTTGGCCTAAGTGTCCTTACCGGTTTGAAGTTTTCAGATTGAGCTTTGATTTGCCTTATTTTACAACAGACTAGAACCAAGGTTTTCAATGAGGGGTTAGCAGCCCCATGGTGGGTGGTGGGGGCATTACAGTGAAGCTGTGTGTATTTAATAGTTTTTTAAGAAAAGATTTTCACATTTTCAACCTTTACACATGTACCAACCGTTTGCCTTTGTCATGATCTTGGCACTATTGGCTGTATTTGGCTCTTTTCTCAAATCTGCTTTGCTCTGCCCGGAGCTCATTGTCTCTCATCAGATCAACCTGTTCTTGCTTTCTATTTAAGCTACCTGTTCCCAGCCATCGGTGCCAGAGTGTCACAGTTTTTTTGCCTTCTTGTTATTTTTATTATTATCCGATCGTGACTAGTTTCTGCCGCTGGACTTCTGAGTTTTGGTTGCCCCTGTTCTGCTCTGTATGCCTAAATTGTTTCTGGACTACTGTATTAACTGGATTCTGCCTGTTAATGACCTTGGACCTGTCTTCTGACCCTTTCTTGGATATCCTTTCGGTGCCTCTTCGGACTTCTGATCCTCTGTCCTGGAAACCTGTTCCTGCTTCGACTCTGCCTTCGATTATCCATCTGGATTCTGCTTTTCCTGTTCATGCTCTGTCTTCTGCTTGTCGTTGCTCCACTTCTCCCTGGAACTCTGGAAGCGGCTCCGTCACAAGCTACAGAGAAACCTCTCCTCTCAACTTCTTCTGGGCTCAGACTGAACTTTACCAGGTTGGAGACTCTCATGCTCATTATTGTTTCCCCTCTGAGTTCTGAAGTCACTGACCTGAGTTTCCGTCTCTACAGAGTATCCAGTGAACCCGCCCCAGCTGACGAGCAGCCACATATTTACGTTTTAATAAAACGCTCGTTTTGAAATCACCCTGATCTGTCTGCTTGAATTCTGGGTCTTACGTTCTGGGCTCCCTACAGCATTAAGACCTGTTAAGTATGAATTTTTTCTTATTTTTTGTTGTTGGTGTATATTTATGAAGTGAAAATTAGTTCTAAAGCCCTCTGTGGTTTAAAGGTAATTCTTTGCCATCCACACCCCATCTGCCTTCCAGGTATTAATACATTCATTAAAAATTAAATTCAGTTTATTTATATAGCGCCAATTCACAACACAAGTCACCTCAAGGCACTTTACAGTTCAACCAGATCATACAATCAAATTGATTCAAAGTTTTCTATCTAAGGAAAACTAGTTGATTGCATTGACTCATTGAATCAAATGCAATCCCTCACACTAAGCATGCTTGTAGCGACAGTGGAGAGGAAAAACTCGCTTTTAACAGGAAGAAACCTCCAGCAGAACCGGGCTCAGTGTGAGCGGCCATCTGCCGAGGCCAGCTGGGAAATGGGGAAATTATTGGTCACATAAAGTGACCAATAATTTCACAGACATTTATAAAGAACCCTATATGCCCCAGTAGTGAATTTGACCCACCATGGTTTTTGAAATTATTAGAACACCTAAATTAAATGATTTGGATGGTGAACAAATCATTTGATTTAACACCATCTGTTAAAAACTTTGACACTGCTCTCCAGGAAATATAGCAAGACTCTCTCAATATAGCTCTCTCTCTTCATTAACCTGTGAGTCCCTCACTGAAAAAAAAAGATTAAAGACACCTAGACTAGATTATTTAATTGAAGTCGTTGGATGCTAAAATACATGGTCATTCTGACAAGTAAAGCAGATCATATCTTGCTTGCAATTCCCCAAAAGTCATGTAAAGATGTTTTGATTAGATGAAATCAAAATGGTTGGCAATTTTTTTTGGATATAAAACGACAAATCCTGTACAACAAGGTGTTGGCAACATCAGGAATAGATGCTTTCTATCCACTCTGATGGACTTGACCTACTTTACATAGAGAGAAAGGGGGGAAACCCTTCTGCATGAGGAAAGCAGCTATCCCATCAAACTACTGACCAAAGAAGACTTAAAAGCACAGCTAACTTTAAGAAATCATGCATCCTTCCCACAAATTCGCTGAAATTCTGCTCCTTAGATGATAAAAGGGGAAAAAGTTGAATAAGGTTCTCAGTGTTAAAACCACAGATAGACTCTCTGTCTGCGTCAGCGGGTCAAATAAGGTGACAAGCTTTCTCTGAATTGCATTTCAGGAGTTAGAGCATCATCTGCGTGACTCCAGCTGACGTCAGAGACAAAAACCACAAACTGAGGGGGTGAGATCTTACCTCCAGTCTGCGGTGATCCGGTAAACACCACCAACACGCAGATCACCAAATGGATCTCAGCTCTCATCTCATCGGGGTTCCTCTGCCTTCCTTTCTTCTCTTCTGCTGCAGATGTCAGTGAAGCCTCCTCTCGCCAGCAGCTCTGCCCTCTTTCTCTCTTTTCATGTTGTTTCCGTTACGGGATTTGACAGGGCACATCATCAGCGCTAAAAATATCCTGAGGGAGTCGGGCAGAAGAGGGTGGGGCTGCGTGGCCTGCATGCTGCGTGGGAGCAGAGGAGGAAAAAAAATCAAAACAAACAAAAAAAAATTTTTTTTTTTTTTTTTAAAGAAGCCTTCACAGATGTCACCGTAAAACTAAACCTCTGCTCTCATCCTGCCAATATCACTGAGATTAAATGAACTGCGTCAGATTTTGCTGGCTGGTGCCGCGCTGCTCCAATCAGGCGTCGGTGCGTCAGAGGCGCAGCTGTCTGCGTCAGGAGCGCCTCTTAGGAGCGCAGTCAGCTCCGTAAAGGTTGTCCTAATACACTTCCTGACCTTTCAGGGGCTTTAAGTGAAAACAGGCAGTCAACTTTAGATCCTCACCTTTGGGGGTCTCTTTGCAAAATAAGGCAACTTTTTTTTTAAAAAGGTCAGCATGTCACCACACCTGAGCGCTTTGGCAACCCGCGTGGGCTGCGTGGAGGGCTGAGAGCGCCAACAGACTCATTGGGCTCACTTTTGGAGAGCTTTAAAAAGTATATTTCTATTTATTATTTACTGAATCTGTGCCTGATGGAGTCCGAAGCCATCCCAGGACAGAACCCGGTGGAGCTTGAGTTTACACAGGACAACATAGAGACGGTGAGATTATACTTTAAATACAGTTATAAATGCAAAATGTGTATACAAATATTTTTTTTAAATTATAATTATCATTTAAGTCGGTTTGAAATAAAAATCAAAGCTTTGTCTGGGAAATAACTGGTTTAGCGTTTAGGAAAGTGGTCCATTTGTAACTTGATTCCAGCTTTAAGCATATGCTGTCCTAATAATAACCAACAGCATGTGCCTTGGATTAGTTCCTATGACAACACATTTTTACTGTCTAAGGAATTGGTCCTCCAGCATGCATGGTCATTAACACATTTCAGTTTAATTAGAGGTAAATATTTTTATTCCATCATTTTTGCAGAAATTCTGCATTGCTTATTCTGTTCAATGCTCCCCTTTACATCAGTTTCCCTTCCCTCTGCAGGCTCTCTACCAGCTGTACTTGGATCCAGACATGGAGCACAAGAATGTAGCTCAGAAGTGGTTGACCAGAGCCCAGGCCTCTGCACAGGCATGGCAGTTCTGCTGGGCCCTGCTCGCCCCAGATAAGGTTCTGTTTTAACCACATTTAACCTTTAATTTTTTATTAATTCCCCAGATGCACTGATTTAACTGTTAGTGTATGATCAGATGATTTTTCAGCCTGATTAGCTCTGATATTTAAGAATATGATTGCACCATCCTCTCTTTGTTAGGGAAGTTTTTCTTTAATTTGAAGTTAAAGGAAAGAGTTTAAAAGTCAGAGGTAAACCTAGAAATTATGTTGCTAGAGACTGAGACTGAAAATGAAAGATGTTCTGCTTTGTTATCTGAGCTTTGAATGGAAATCAGTGACACATCTATTTTGCCAAACTTCAGTATTTTGTTTGGGACAAGAAGTCAAGACAAGAAAACCTTGAAATGTTCATTAGAAATTGATCTTGTGCTGACTCCTAATTAGTTTTCCTCCAAATTTGTGTCTTCATAGATCCCGGAGGTTCAGTTTTTTGGTGCCAGCACCCTTCACATTAAGATCTCCCGTCACTGGGGGGACCTCCCTGAAGAACAGCATGAGGACCTCAGGATACAGCTTCTTTCTCATATCTTACACTTCTCCTCTGGCCCTAAAATGGTGCTGACTCGTTTGTGTGTGGCGCTTGCCTCAATGGCTCTGAACTTAATCCCTCAAGCCTGGTCCAAGCCAGTGGCAGACTTGGTGAGGGCATTCCAACCTCAGAAACCAAATTCGGAAGAAAGCCCTGGTGCAAAACCATCTCCGGACCCCCATGCACATTGTCTTGCTCTCCTGGAGCTCCTCACTGTACTTCCAGAGGAGTTCCAAAGTGGGCGCCTGGCCCAAGCTCGTCGCGCCCAGCTGAGGGAAGCTTTAGCCGGGGAGTGGGCTGTGGTGTGCGGCATGCTCCGACAACTCCTACAAAGCCAGGACTCGTCTGTTCAGGTGAAGGAGAAAGTTCTCCGCTGCTTTTCTAGCTGGGTGGGTCTGGATGTGCCACTAGGGGAAAGTCAGGAACTGGTCCAGGACTGTTTCACAGTGCTGTCTGACCCAGGGCTGTTCGACACTGCCGTGGAGACTATAGTTACTGCCATCTCACAGCCGGATTGCCAGAGGTGAGAACGGAGGAGGATCATAGGCAGCCTTCAGGTATCAGCAGCGTGACCCAGTACTCTTGTGTGCAGGTTCATTGATGCTCTGCTGAGCCTGATGCCTCTGGTTCTGGGCCTTTATGACCAGCTGAAGACAGCAGCTCAACACGGGGACATGGAAACCACCCATGGTATCTGTCGCATTGCTGTTGCTTTGGGGGAAACACACTCCAGGTATCACCACATACACACCCATTAGGAGATTATCCTGTCAAAACAAGAACTTTTTATTGGCTTCCATTCATTGTCGATTGATTTCTATGTCCAAACCTCTAACGCTAGCCCAAGAACAGCATTTTGTGACCGTTTGATCCCCACAACAAAAGGCAGGAATGTTAGGAAAATGATCCCTGCATTGTAAAAATGCTTATGCTACGTTTAAACCGCAAGGCCTAGAAGCAGCAAAAAAGCTTCTTGTTGCTTCATTTTTGATCCTTGTTCACATCAAGGTCAGACACACATCAAGAGCAGCTTTCATGCTCCTGAAAAGTGTGTCCAGATGTGTCTTCAGAGAGCAGCTTTTCTATATTAAATGTTTTAAGTGGATAAAAAGGAGCAGACAGGATCAGGTGCAGCTGAGCAGGCTCAGTGGAAGAGGGTAGCCGAGACGGGACGTGGAACCCGAACGTGATGCAGGACCTTTAAACTGGTCTCCTCCCTGGAGCCAGGCTTACCGGATAAAAACTGAACCTCCCCACATATAGAGCCAAAAACCCAGAGGACTCCGCGGGGGAGGAACAGTGGACGATCAGGAGACGAGACAAACACAAAAAACGTTTTTCCACTGGCTGCCAGCATCCATGACATGAACCAAGGAATAAAGCTAACAGAAAGACAAATAATGATCTGGCACTGAATGCTCAGGCTGAACTGAATATAAACCAGAGGAAACAGGTGAGAGGAATAAATTATAATTGAGGCAGGGAGGGAAAATGACAGGTGAGAGGAATTACTAATTAAGGGAGAGCAAACAGGCCAGATCATGACATTTTAATATGTTTTTAAGTGAGAAAGTCCATCTGAAAACTTCATCTGTGCAGCAGGTTCATCAAGATAATGATCCTGCCTTCAAATATTATTTCGCTGTCAGAGCTGCTCAGACCCCAGTACACCTGCGGTATACAGCAGTTCTCTGTCCCTCGAAATCCAGTTCAATGGCAGCCTCTGGCCCGGTCGCCTCTTCACAGTTTTTCACCACTGTTTTGCAAGCATTTGAAGTTAATTTAGGCGTTAATAAACTGTTTCAGCGCTCTGCATCAGCAGTGCTGTGTCTGTCACCCTGACAGCTCCCAGATCAGCTTCTCTGATTGGTTGATGTTGTGCATCTAGCAGCAAAAGTTTAATATTTCCAACTACAGCAGCTGCTGCTTTCGCAGTGTGTCCTGCTGCAGGACCTTTTGCTGCGCCTTGATGTGCGTCAACCGTTGATTTTGCATGTAAACCAGCTGCTTCTGCTGCCTTTAGCGCGTGCGGTCTGAACGTAACATTAGACTACACACACACAAACTAAAACCTGCAGCTGTTGCATATTAGTTTTTATCCCTGGTAGGGTTATGTTGGAACAGCTGGACCACTGGCAGGAATATCTGGCTTTGGTGAACATGATTCTATTCTGTACTGGAATCCCTGGACACTACCCAGTTAATGAGACCACAAGCTCCCTGACGCTCACCTTCTGGTACACACTGCAGGTGCGGAAACACAAACATCGGTTCTACCTTTTCTTCTATCATGGAAAAAAACAACAACTTGTAATTACATGCATTCATTAATGCTTATCAGTCTCTCTGTTGCTTTTCATTGGACTTCCAGGACGACATTCTCTCTTTTGAGGAAGAAAAGCAGGCGGTTTACCTGCAGGTCTATAAGCCAGTTTACTTCCAGCTGGTGGATGTATTGTTGCTCAAATCCCACTATCCCTCCCAGGAGGAGTACGACTCCTGGTCCTCGGATGACAAGGAGCAGTTTCGAATCTACAGGTGAGGATGCTTTCAGTCATCTCTTAGATCAGGTGCAGAAAAATCTGCTAATCCAAAGCAGTTCCTCAAGAAAAGCTGGGATGTCTTATTTCTGTCTATAGCCTTATATATACAGTCCACATTCCCTGAACACACCACACCCTCAGTAAAACACAACGGTGGCAGTATTATGCTGTGGGGTTTGCCTTTATACTGCAAGGTATTGCAAGCTCGTCAAAGTTGATGCTTTGATCGACACAGGTTTCATGTAACTGTGTATAAATAGTTAGTTACTTTATATGAGTAGCTTTTTTTGATATTAGTACTTTAGTTGAGTATTTATAATCCTGAGGACTTTTCACTTTTACTCACTGCATTTGAACCCAAATATCTGGGCTTTCTACTCCTTACTTTGAAACAAAACAGAGAGAAAATGAAGAGCATGAAGACTTACTATAGCCCAGTTTGTTTATAGAAAGACACTAGCTCCGTTGAGATGTGATTTCCAGGATGAACACTAAGTAAAATGATCCAATCATGACGTTTTTATAAATGTTCCAAGCATTCGATCAGATTAAAGAATTTAAACATGCGCAGAGTTTTCTAGTTGTGTACATGAACGCCAATCGGAATGGCGACCAGCAAAAACCAAATTTTTTTCCAAAGAGACTAAATCAGATTAAAATCTTCAGTCTGACATGTTTACGTGGAACATTTTTGGTCTGATCATGCCTTCAATTTATTATTTGTGTTCCTTTAAATGTAGCTGCTGATAGAGACATGGATGAACACAGAGGGTTGGGAAATATTTCAGATGATGGATCAGATTCAGGACCCCCCCCTCGATCCGCTTTTGCTATATTCTAAATGTACATGTTGCTTTTGTTTCTGGTTCAATTTCAAGTTTAATGCAATTTACACCTTTATTGCTGTGAAAACTAGTAGTCTAAAAGTTTCCAGCAAGTCATGCTGGACTGCTGTTTGCATTATATAATAAAATTAAACTGAGCCGAAACGTTTTTACATTTTCTCTACCAACTAAGTGAGCAAAAAAATAAAAATAAGCATCTGCTTATAAAATCCTTTTTTTCTTTTGGATCAATTAAGACAAAGACTTAATTTTACTGTTGTACTTTGTCCAATGTACCGTAGAACCTGATCTTTCCTACTTTTACTTAAAGAGACATGATGGAATTTTCAAGCTATACTGCCACCTGTGGCCAAAAGACAGAACTGCAGGACTCTTCTGCTCGTTTTTGAAGCGCACTCTCGTACATACGTACTTGGCAAGGTTTTCTAAAACTTTTTCCACCTTACGCAGAGTTTCCATTGGTGTGTGTTGAGCTGCATAACAGTCCCTTCTGAGTATCCACGACATCTATCTTGAGTATAAAGTTTTAATTGTTTGCTAGGTCTTAGCCATGTAACATGGACGCACTTGAGGTCACACCTGCCAAACAGCGCAGGAACTTCAGACCCCAAATAAATGAATGAAAATAGGCTACAGGCGTATCGATGCATCAGAGCTGAACTACTAATGTGTCTACTGCTCATCAAACAATGTTTTGGCCATAAATGGTCAAATAAAAATGCTATTTTAAAGGTACTTTTCACTAAAAGCTTACAAAATGTCTCTAAAAGAGGTCAGTTGGTACTTTTAGCTTTACTCTGTTTCTCTTTTACACTGGTATTTATACTTTTAGTTAAGTAGGGAATTGTATGTTCTTTTTTAACACCTCTGTTGATTGGATGGAGCTAAAAACCTGATTGGATGGAGCTAAAAACAGGACAACAAAGAAAAACAAAGTTAGTGAGACAGTTAGATCTTGTAAGACTTAAGACTACAGAGTTGGATCCCTTTCAATCAGGACAAGATTTTGAAAAACCAACCAGAGCTAAAATGGCCTAGTCAAAGTCCAGATATAAATCTAGATATCATACATATATTTTTTCCTGCAAAGATAAAATATACTCTAATTTGTGTAAGTTAGATTTTGTCATAGTGCAATAAAATGTAAAGCTGCCCCAGAAATATGAAGACCTAAAGGGTTGAAAGACCCACTCAGAGCTTCTCACTCTCTCCCACCGGGCAGGTCTCAGTTTAGCCTAACCAGCAGTGGTGTCAAAAGTTCACACATTTGTTACTTATGTAGAAGTATAGATACTGCCGTTTAAAAAAACCTCTTTACTCTAGTAAAAGTGAAAAATTATGTGCTCCAAAAACTACTTAAAGTATAAAGTAACATTTAAAAAAACAGCCAGATGCCACTATATGAATTGAAAGCAAAATTTTTTGACTATGACGAAAATTTCTTTGCGATAGGGCAAAGGATGAGGGAGGTCTTGTTGGTCTGCGTCTCCCGATACGCTCTCGCCTGTGTCCGACCTTTCAGACATTTCAACATCTTTTTCTGAATCCAACATGGTAGCATGGCATAGACAGTTCACGTTAGCAGTTTGAAGAACACCTGCTTGCTTCTGATGATTTCCTTTAGCTAACCAGTGAGTGATTGTGTTATATGACTCATCCAATCACACTAGTTTTCACTAGATGTGGATGGAGCCAATGATCTGCATTGGACGGCGCACAAGGCGTAAAATAAATAATAAAAAAAAATAAACCGAAGCTAAAAGTAACGAGTAACGTTTGTTTTAAAAATGTAAGGAATAGAAAGTACAGATACTTGTGTGAAAATCTAATGAGTAGAAGTCAGAAGTAGGAGGAAAAATAAGTAATGGAGTAAAGTATAGATACCTAAAAAGTGTACTTAAGTACAGTAACAAAGTATTTGTACTTTGTTACTTCACACCTCTGATAACCAGGCATTGAAATTCCCCCAGCATCACTTCCTGTACATTAGACTATCTGAGAGAAGAACAAAACTAAGGATAACATCTTAAAAAAAAATTTGATACATTTGACTCGCTATTTTTACACAAATTATATCTGGGGTTTTTTTCCACATAAAAAAGTATTTCCTCTAAAGTTTGCCTTATTCCGATGATATGATGTAAAATGAATTCAAGCTATTTTATTTTGGACTAACCTTCTCTAGCTGTTTTACATTTGACTGTTACACCTGAGTTGTACCCTCATCTCTGTTACCTGGGCTGTTTTATTTCCAAGGGTGGACATCTCAGATACTCTAATGTATGTGTATGAAATGCTGGGAGCTGAGCTGCTTAGTAACCTCTATGACAGGCTGGGCAGGCTGCTCATGGACCCCCAACAGTCCGCAGTATGGCAGGTAATGTCTCGAACAAACTGCATCCACTGCATGTTTCTTCTTTTTTTTTTTAAACAGGTGATTTACAGTGAAAAACTGTCAGGATTAACAGATCTGTAGATTAGAAAAAACATCCAAAAGCTAAACGACTTCAGTAATTCAATTAAAAAAGGGAAACTAATTATATTGATATATTTAACACAGATTGATGTGTGTGTTTTACATTTTTTATTGGAAAATGTAATGTGTTTCTGAAAATTTTAATAAAAAAGACAGTAAATGTAATCTAAACTTGAAGGGAGGGTTTTTTGAAAAACGATCAATAAGTAAAAAAATCCCTAAGTAAGCGTATTTACCCTTAATTTGAGTACGTAAATAAGACAGTTTGCCAATGGAATGAGTGTTTTTATTCTTAAAATAAGGAAATTAGATAAGATGCTCTTGAAATAAGACAATAAATTGAGTTTTCTTATTTTAAGTGTAAATTGTCTTGTTCCGTTGGCAAAATGTCTCTTTTACCTCCTCAATCCAAGAACAAATGCACTTATTATAAGAAAAAAATTACTTATTTAGATTTCGATTTTTTTTCAGTGAATGCAATGAGTAATGCTTAGAAGCTGTTCAGAAGACATAGGTTGCTTGAACAACAGCAGGTCTGTTCTGCTGGCTTTGATTTCTCTTATTTCTCTCATCTTTTTGCCCACAGATTTTCTGTGAGGTTGAAGTTTAAGCATCAACAGTGCTGAGGTATCCTGGATTGCATAGCGTACATTCCGCTTTCTTTTAAAACTAGTTATTTTTTGTGCAAATTGAGTGCAATTAGTCAGTGGAGAAAATGCTAAAACATGCATTTATATCTGTTGTTCAGAAAAGAAGCTTTCTCTTAATCAATTTTAGCCAAAGGGATGAAGAGTCAATGGCGTAACTATCAGTAAGCAGAGACTGCAGGTGCTTAGGGGCCCCAGACCTCTTAGGGGCCCCGTCAATGACTCCTTATAGCCCCCCTAAGCAATTGTGGACTAGGGTGTCTCTTTGCCAAATGTAATGGTGCCAAAAATTACTATTTTACCCACCTGATACTACTCTGTCTGACCGGACCTTATTTATACCACAAAACATGGCAGATTTCAACATATTGGTGAGCCGTTTAAACATGACACCAATAGCAAATCAGACTGTGGTACGTTTAATTACTAAGTTAATAACTGTGTATAGTTCATTAGAAGGTTGGTAAAAAATATGCTCATATAATATGTTTCAAACCACAAAAAAGATCTTAAAAGAACGATGTATTTGAGTATTTTATTTTTTACACTATGACTTTGAATTGTGGGTAATCCAGAGCGTAGATTAAAACCATAACCGTTACTTACAATGTGTTAGCGACGAAGGATACCAAAAAGAGGTATGGGGGAATGGGGTGTTATACTTCTTATGGGGCCCCACCCAGATAATGTTGCTTACGGGCCTATTGTTGTGTCGTTAGGCCATTTGAAGAGTCATTGTAGCAGACACCCTGAGTGTCTTTATCAGTGTGCAGGTCATATTCTAATAACCAAACCGTGCAAATTCATGTGCGGAGGATATGCAAATATAAACATTAACTGCATGAAAATCGATTTTCTTTTGCAGATGCAGGGTTTGCATCTTTTTTAAGCACTTCTAAAATAAAATACAAAATTACACAGAAATTACTGCAGTCATTAGAACACAAAAGGAGTGATTGGAACAATAAGAGACGATAGAGAGAGATTCTGTGTCAGTGAACAGGGCTGGATTGGCCATACAATTCATTTAATTGTGTCAAAAATGGTTAACAAAGGCTCAAAAGCAATACAAAATAACTTTAATAATAAATAACATGGATCTGGGCCCAATTTAACTGAGGTCAACTGAGGATCCAACTCAAACAAAAAAAAAAAACTGACCTGCAAACAAAGAACTAATGGCTGCTTAAAAAGGGATGGAGTAACCCAAGTCGACCACATGAGGGAGGCACAATATAACAAAAGCACCAATAAATACAAAATTAACTAAACCATTCTATGAAACAAATAAAGCAAAACTAACTTTTACTTAGCAGAAACAATTATAAGTGAGTATTTAATTGACAAATAATCTAATAAAAAAGAACTTGAAACAAATCTCCCCCCGTTAGACTTTCAGAAAGCAAATGGTACGCTCCAGGTTTCCTCCTCCAGCTGGTTTGCATCATCAGCACCTCAAACAAAAGAACAAGTGTAAATAAACCATTCAGACAGACATTAACTAAAGTGTGCACCCATTAGAAAATACCTGTTTAAAAGAAATAACCAACTTAAACATAAACTGTAATATAATATAAAGCAAGAAAAAAAAATAGTAACATGATGTGGTTGGAGGATCATCCGCCACAACTATATTGGATTAAAGGATGTGTTTGATGGATGGATGGATGCTACTAAGAATTAGCGTAGCCTCAGTTCAGGCTGATTTTGTTTACCTTGTTTCTGCTAACAATCAGTGTAGCTTCTGTAATCAGAGTCGCCGCCTCATTTTGCATCTGAAAAGCTTCCTTTTCAGTCCTCATTTCCTTACAGCCCCCTTCTTTACCATCCTTAGGACACTGAAGCTTTGCTGTTCGGCTTCCAGTCCATAGCCGAGACCATCGACGTGAACTACTCCGATGTTATCCCTGGACTGATCGGTCTGATCCCTAGAATCAACATCAGCAACGTGATGCTGGCTGACACAGTCATGTACACCATAGGTATCAACAGAGAACTTTGAGGTTTATTCAAAAAATAAAAATCTAATCATCTAATGAGTCCAAACTTTTCAATTTCTGCCACCTGTAAGGGTCACTGGCTGAGTGGTTGGCCGACCATCCTGTGATGCTGGGCGGCATATTACCCATGGTGCTGCGGGGCCTTGTGAAGGCAGAGCTGTCTGTGTCCAGTATCTCCACACTCAAAAGGATCTGCAGGGAGTGCCGGCAGGACCTGGCCCCTTACGCTCAGGACGTTCTTGCTGTCGCTCAGGTCAGACACACAACCTGTCATCACACCAGCCTGAGGCGTGTTTTTAACACAGATTTGTTTTGCTCTTTTTTATAAGGATGCACTATTTAAGGAAATCCACGAGGTGAGTAAGGAATCCTGGACGATTTATTAAATCTAAATCGGTAAATAAAAAAGCAGCTGCATTTTTGTGTGTGTGTGTGCAGAGCAGCCAGTGCATGTGGCTGATGCAGGCTTTGGGTTTCCTGCTGTCGTCTCTGCCAGCAGAGGATATTTTAGGCAGACTGCACTCACTCATCACCCCCCACATCCAGCAGCTGGACTCACTGACCCAACAGGAGGTACGCATCAAAGGAGTCCGAAAAAAAAACAAATCTTATACTTAAATATAGAATATAATGTGAGACACATGACAAGATCAGGCATAAATCTGCAAGATTTCTGTTTTTTATTATGGTTTTTTTATTAGATTTTTAGTGTTCTTTTATTGTTGTGTTCCACTATTTTATGTTTTTTTGTGCAAGCATTCAACTTAAACTGACCTTCACAACATCGTGTTATATTATAAACACATGGACACAATTGTTGGTACCCTTCGTTTATAATGAAAGGAAACCCACAATGATCACAGAAATAACTTGAATCCCAAAAAAGTAATAATAAATAATAAAATGGATGGTATCTTTAGAAAAGATTCAAAATAATTTAACATGGGCGAAAATGTTCTTATTTCAGCTACATCATCTTTTGTTTAATCTTTCTTTGATTATTTTGGTATCTTTAAAAAAACCTAAATGCATCATGAAGCATTGTCTATTTTTGGCTAATTTTAACTGTAAAAATCTTTCTACCTTTTATTTCAATATATTGTTAGTTTTTTTTTTTTTGCAAAGTATTCAACTTAAACTGACCTTCACAACATCGTGTTATATTATAAACACATGGACACAATTGTTGGTACCCTTCGTTTATATTGAAAGAAAACCCACAATGGTGACAGAAATAACTTGAATCCCCAAAAAACTAACAATAGAGGTAAAAAAAAAAAAAAAAAACTATGAAAAAATAAACTCATGAAACAGGTCTGGATAAAAATAATGGTACCTTTTAGAAAAGATTCAAAATAATGTGACCAAAGGGACATATTAAATCAAGGTGTGTCCACTAATTAGCATCACAGGTGTGTAATATCTTGTAATCGGTCAGTGCGCCTATATATAGGGCTACAGGTAGCCACTGTTCTACCGCAATAAAGTTACAGTTTGAATCCTTGTGTCCTCCTGACATCATATATGTGATGTCAGGGTTAAATAAATCGCTCAGATTTGGAAAATCAGGAGCAGCAGATTTTTTTTTCAAAGTTTCTCTTCATGCATCTTAACTTTAAGTTATTAAAGTAGTGTAGCAGAGGCAGAATTCCCTTCAAAAAAATTAAAAATATATGAGGTTTAGTCTTAAAAATTTTTTTACATTAAATTTTCTCTCTTTATAGCCCAGTCCTGCAAATAAACAGAGCATTGTTTACATCCTGGGCATGTTATCCAGCCTCTTTACCACCCTGGATGTCAACAGGCAATGGGATGGTTTAGAGGAGGAAGGCGCCAGCACCAGCCTCTCCTCCTCAAAGAGCGTTCAGAACCCAGTAAGTCTGCAGAAAACCTTTGTAGTATTTCATTAAAAAAAAGGATGAAAGTTTTACGTGCTTTTTTTTTCTTTCACATCTTTAGGTCGTAGTTGTGCTGCAGCAACTTTTCCCTTTAATCCAGACCATCGTTAGCAAATGGATTCATGACTCAGAAGTAGTGGAGGTGAGATTTTTGGTTTTTAATTTTAGCTCCTTCATCCCTTCACCTGCATATTTGAACAACTTTTGCTTGTTTAATGATCCTCCCTTCTCAGGCAGTGTGCGGGATCTTCGACAAGTCAATCCGGACTCTCCTGCATGATTTCGGCCCCATGGTGCCCCAGCTGAGTGAGACGCTGGGACAGATCTACAACGCTTACCCACAAGCCCCTGCTCTGGACCTGACACGTCAAGTATGGAGTCACAGATCTGGGGTCTCATTTATAAAACGCTGCGTATGGATTCATTCTAAAGTTGTACCTATGCCCAAGACCTAAAAATGGAGTACGTCAAAAAAAAAAAAAAAAAAAAAGATCTTATTTATAAAACCATGTGAACAGATAAAAAAAAAACATTTTTCTTTATGGATCACAGCTGTACCTTAAAGTCTGTGTTTAAGGCTCACTGCCCACCCACCTCAACCCATAAATGGTCCACTCAAAGCACCCATGAATCTCATTGTTTATTAAAATTAGCCAACTGATCAATGTTATAAAGTCAAAATCAAGCACTTTTCAAGCACTGTCAAGATCAATTTTTTTCCCAGAACCTTACACCACTGTAAATTACATACCAATACATAGTCTAAATTATTATTTAGTGTTGTCGGCCGGAACCATCTTTGCGTAGATGACTTGGGGGGGTGGGGGGGGGAAGGGTTCGAAATGAATACATAAGACTAAATCCTATCTTAATTTGTCAGAGCACACGAGGCAGATATTAATTTTCTATTATCAGTTTTAATTAACTACTTACCTTTTCTTTTTCTTGGAACGTTGGCGAGGTGGTGAGTTTGGCCGCCTCGCCAAGATAGTGCTGTGGGAAACACTGCAATACTAACATTACATTATCACACTGTACTCTCAGTCACTCAGTAACTTAGCCTGTGAATTCCTAGCTAGCAGTTACTAGCGTAAACAAATAGACGCTAACGTTAACGCGTACTAGGGTACTTCAGTTGGCTTACTTAAAAGTCTATGACTTACCCTTCATGTGACTCGAGAGTACAGACTCGCCCATTGTGAAAAGCTGCACATCTTTTTTGCAGACTTTACAAGAGGCAACTTGTGGGGTTTGTCCCCGTTTAATTCATAATTTGTATTTTTCATCTCCCAGCCAACGTTCATTGAAACCACAACCTCCCGGCATGGTGCCGTAGTGGTTTCATGGGGGCGGAGTCACACATGGAAATAGACTGGCAGATCGCAGTCACACATAAGCGAGCAGGTTTAATTTTCGGGCTCTCCAACATTTTATTTCTCCATTTAATAAACACACGATTCAGTTAGATAGGTATTTGTTGCGAAAGAAATAGTTACAATTTCAAGCATTTTCAAGCATTTCATCCAAAATATAAGCACTTTTCAAACCTTGAAAACACGTCAAAATGCAAGCATTTTCGAGGATTTGCAGCACCTGTACGAACCCTGCAATAGCAACCACAGCAAAGTAGTAACTTAAGTACTATTAATGACAGCTTTAAAGTCTGATTTATGGACTGATTATTTTAGTTTACATCTTACTATGATATCTCAGCTTTATGGATAAAGAAAATGATTTTGTTTCTAAAGCCGACCTCAGACAGAGAGTCAATTAATTTTTGATTATGTTTAACGCCTGTGCGGAAATTTGCGCTGGTAAAGAAACCAAAAGTTGTTATTAACAAAGAAAAAAGAAAAAAATATCAACGAAAACACTTGTTTCAGCTATATCATCTTTTGTTTAATCCTTCTTTGATTATCTTGTATCTTTAAAAAAACTAAATGCATCATGAAGCATCGTCTATTTTTGGCTAATTTTAAATGTAAAAATATTTCTACCTTTAATTCAATATATTTTTGGTACAAAACATAAGTCCAAGAGCATTGCTTTATGGCATCTGATCAGCTGATAACCTGTTTTAATCCTGTGTTAGGAAAAAGTTGTCCAAACCTCTGCCCTAACCCCTAAATCTTATCTTATAGTGAACTCAGTTAACTGAGCGTTCGGACAGATGATCACTACTTTTCGCTGCGCCATCTTTGTTATCTGTCGTCAACAGCATTGTGGTGTTTGTCACAACAAATCCCATGATGCTTTGCAAGGACAGCTCTCGTCGCAAAGCATTCCAGGATATATCTGCTCATCTAGCAATCATGGATGATCACTACTTTTCAAGGTACATTGTAGGAAATTTCGAGTCCATAGACTCCAGCATAGTCACAGCGTCCATCGTGCACTTGTTTACAGCAATCCGTTTGTTATATTTATTTATTGATCCGCGGTACGACTTACCTTGCTGATCACCGGGGGGATGGAATGTGATTGTGAGGAAATGGCTGAATATTGTGTGGGCTTTCACTTTTAATTTAAGCTTGTTTATGAATCTTATTTTTAATTGGATGGGGCAGCATAAATCACACTATGGTTTCAAATCCAAAAAAGTCAATCTATGATTAAAGTTTCAAGTGAAAATAAATGTGATGTATTCTGGCTTCGCTTCCCCACCTAAGTCACCATCTGTGTCATCAACATAATCCAATATCTTCGACCTTCAGATGGGTTGGGGTGATGTGAGGAGCTGCACATTTTTTTTTTCTCGTAAAGTTAGCTTTTTATAATCACCAAATTTCAATGGATTAAATGGATTAAATTAACAAGTTTCAGACCCCGTTTTGTTGCATACACAAACTTTCCAAATGAAACCCCTGGACTGAACCCTGGGTGTGAAAATGCCTGGATTAAATATTATCTCTTTCTTTCTCTGTCTAGATGGTGCATATCTTTGCTGGAGACGAGCAACACCTCTCTGACATCCGAAGACTTGTAGAAGTGCTGACCTCAACCACGCTCTCTATATTCCAGCAAGGTAATAAAGGCTAAACTCTTATATCCAACAGACTTGTTTTGTCCTTTAGTTTGCTGTAAAGCAGTGCTCTTTCCTACATATCAAATATTATGTTCATTAAAGACACTTCAAAGGAGAATTTACTGACTTTTTTCCAATTTGCAACTTTTGAAAATCTCTTATTTTAATTTTAACAATTTCAGACTTCTATTTAACAACTGTAATAAAAGATTTTTCTAGCCTCGCCTCTTGAAGCAGTCATACATTTTATTTAACTTTCTTAGGAGATGAAGTTTATGAGAGTGTTTGATGTAAAGTCTTGGGTTCATTAATAAGATAATATGTTAAATCTACCTTTAGCTATTAAAAAAAACAGCAATTAGCAAGGTTAGCATTACTAAAAACTGACTGATTTATTTTTCTAAGGCTGCCAACGTATCATGAGTTCAGACAAAGCTCAGACAAATGTGTCCCTCTCCTCACAGAGTATATAAACCCAAACATGCTTCAATGTTTTCTGAAAGATGAAATAAATTCCCTCATTGAGCCCCTCATATCTAGATGATCATGGCTAACTCAGATCTTCATTCTGTAGCAGCATTCACACTGAAGAGTGTTGTGAGCGTGACCTCCCAGTGCTTTGGTGTGGTGTGCACAACAGTTAGAAAAATATTAGATTCATAATTTTCCAACCATGCTTTAACTAGTTAAGGCTAGAAACTGACTGAAATTGTTTTCTTTGGAGGTGGTTGCAGATACACATCATTTTTACCTCAGCCTAACCGATCCTAGATATGTTCTGCTAATATTTGTATTATTATGGAATGAGCAGAACAAGATTTTCCTCTAATATAGCAACTGTTGCCCCTACTGAAGACTCTTGGCTGAGTCTCCTTTGGTACTTGAACAAGGCATGAGGTCTTCCACCTCACTGGAACTGTCTCCAGGGTCAGACTGAAGGCCCATTCATACCTCACGTAAAAGACGGATACGGATACGTGTGGAGTGTTTCATACGTTCTAACCGTCGATTTCGTCCGTACTTTGACACGAAAATCGGGAGCTTACGCTTACGGACGAAACGGATCAATACGGAGCAATACTACCGTAAACGGTGGGGGCGCTATTGAGTTTTTAGTACAAAATGTCAACAGAATCAGGTCTTGGACCATCGCCATGTTTTGATCAATGACGAATCATTGGCGCCCAGCACTGCCACCTAGAGGAAATACGGGTTATTGCGCACCTCAACGGACGGAGGTATGAAGGAGTCAACGGATAGAACGTACGGCCAGAAATACGGACGTGCAGGCCAAACGTGAGGTATGAATGGGCCTTGAGGGTGAAATGGTGCTGTAGGATCGAACAGGGCTGCTATGCACAAAACATTCAGGACTCTGTGGCTGATACCATCCGGACCTGGTGACTTATTACGATTCATATATATTTGACTTTTTAGAGACAGTCATGTGAAAGGTGGAGGGAGCAGCACCATCTTCTGATTTGGCTGATAACAAACTCATAGAAGCAGGAGAGTCAATGGGAGAGGAGGGCAGGATGTCCATGTGAATGTGGACAGTTCACTCTGTCCAGACCTTCATCTGTCTGATCATCCTTCTGCTTGAAGCCTGTGATCTAAACCCTGGAGATAAAATGATGAGCGCCCCTAGTGGCTAAATGTTACATAGTGTTAGTTTAACAATGGATAGCAAATGCAAAGAGTGGAAAATCAGTGGCGGTAGGGCTGGGCGATATGGAAAAAAAAACTATATCACGATATGGATTATTTTATATCACTATAACGATATATATCACGATATACCACAACTGATGTTGCATTTTATGTTTTCATAGTCCGTCAGATGGACAGGGTTGAAAAAAATCTTTCATCGCCTATTTTTTACCCATCATCTTGTTTCCTAATATGAGAATCCCAACCCCAAACCAAGAACACCAGTTATGCAATTTGCGGCCATGACAGTGAACAGTATAGAATCTTGGCTATTGCGCTGCAGTAATTAATCATTTAATATTCGTTTGTTATTGACATTTTATAAAATTCCAAGGCAAGGTTTTTCTCTTGTCTTTCATTTACCTTGTTTTCCACTAGGAGGCGCCTCGCCTATTTAAGAAGAAATGTGTCTGCACTGGTAATTATATGGTCCCGAAAGCTGTCTTTCTCGACTATGTAAACGGGGGCCATGCCTTTACAGATATAGCGTGAAATAGCACCTGTGATCTGCTTGTGTCGCTGAGACGTCTTCTCATATTGTGATCCTTGGGCGAATGCTTCCTTAAGCTCCGGCTGTGAGAATTTCTTTCCAGTGCTTCCTGTATTTTCATCCCTTGTTTGTTTTGATCGGAGTGGTTGTAGTTTCCCGTGTTCTTGTTCATGATTTTTCTTCAGGTGGTAAAAGAGGCCGGAAGTATTTGCATCAGCCGCTGGAACGGCTTTGCTGCACAGTTTACATATCGGCTGCGTTTGTTCTTTATCAGATGGCTGAAATCCGAAATATAACCAAACAACCGAGCTGCCTTCCCTTTTGGGCAAAAGTGGTGTTTGTTGTGTCTGTGACCTGGCAACCGTTTCGGACTCTGTAACCGCTGCTGTGGTAACATCTTCTTGGGTGTCCATCATTCATTTTTTTTCAAGCCAGAAAGAAATTTCGCGGGCTCTCTCCATTAGTAATGTTGCAAACGTATGGTGCAAAGCCGCGTGACGTAAAGCGGTGTAGTGTCGCAAAACCACGTTCTCTACACATTATCTTTTTATTCTCTTTTTTTTCGTTATACACTTAGAGTTTGCATAGCAAAAACGCAAAATGTTATATTAACAAATTATATTAAAATGTATATTAGCAGTAATAATTATAATAAAAAAGTTTATCACGATAGAAAAAATAGAGGAGAAAGGTCACGATAGACATGTTTCTCTCGTCCTCACGATATATATCGCCATATCGCCCAGCTCTAAGTGGCGGTTCTAGACCAAATGAACCAGGGGGCCAGGAGGGGGCAAGCTTGTTTTCATGGGGGCACAGAAAAGCATGAAATAAAAAACAGGGCAAGGGGTTTAAATATATTAAGAGAGCGAAGTGAAGTGAAATTTCTATTCAGTTATGTTTAATTAAAATTATATTTCTTATTAGGGCAATAATTTAGGAATTTTACATATTTTGGGCTTTATTTAAGTTAAAATGACCGTAGTCTATAAAATCAGAATAACAAATCAAGAAAAAACTATAAATTCAGCTGTAAAAATTAGAGCATTTTTAAAATTTGTTTTGAAAACAACATTTAGCAGATGAAACCTGGGATACTGGGATCTCAATACAACTGAAGCAATCCCCTTATTGTTTTTAAATAATTAGTAAAACATAATTTGTAAAGAAAAAAAAAAGAAATGTAATAGATCCAAAGGGACCTATCAGTAACCATGTCTGTTCCAGTGGATCATTAGAATTTCTTTGAGTATTATGTCTTCAGTGCAGGGGCCATAACAGGGGCCAGGACATGATCTACAGGGGCACCGGCCCCCATTGGCCCCTGTCTAGAACCGCCCATGGTGAAAATGCATGCACCTTACATGATGTTAAGGCATTGCTCCTAAATGCCCAGATGGACCAGTGCCAGTGAATTGTTTGTATCTGTTAGTGTCGGGACTTTTATGGCTGTTTTGAGAAAGCTTATGTCTCAAAATGAGCTTATGAGTCTGATAATAGAATTATTTTACTGTTGACCAATGTCAAATATAGTGCAGTTAAATACTCATCTGTGCTTTGGAGACATTGGTATAATTGCCTCCTGAAGGGTTAGGCACCTTCTCTGTTGTACTCTTATTCTTTTTTATTCTTAGTGTACCTGTTTTCTTTTAAAGTATATCGGACCTTGAGTCTGTAATAATAAAATCAATCAAATGCACCAATGAATTAGCAAACACATGCATATTGGCTGATGTCAATAACAGAAAAAAAAGAGCTAATATGGGCGACTGATTTCATGACCAATGGAGGTGAAAATCTTTTGAATCTAGGCACTAGTAGCTCTTCTGATCACAACCTATACCTCTTTAGGGTTCCGAAATTCTTTCCCCTTTCATTTTAATCACTGGTACTGAAATATTCTCTATAAAGCATGTCAACCGCTCCCCAGAACTTTCCTCTGTTCATAACACAACCACATTTGAGCTGTTTTTTTCTTACTTATTGAACCAAAGAGATAAAAAGAAATATTTCTAAAGAGTCTTTATTCAAAAAAATCCAAGAACGTTTTGATCCTTAGAGGCAAAGTTTTGAAAAAAATAGTGATTGAGGCAATATTACCTCTGCATTTCACCAATGCCCTTAAGGAGCAGTGGGCTGCCATCATGGGGAGCACTCTGGGGTTAAGGGCCTTGCCCAGAGACCCTGTGGTAGTGGGGCTTGAACTCAGAACCTCAGGATTCCAAGCTTTATGCTTTAACCACTAGGCCGCCACCCTCCCTCCTTACTCTGCAGGTCCAAGGGAGCATCCTGACATCGCAGAGTCATTCATGAACCTTCACGCTCAGGTTGGTGAAATGCACATTAGCTTCCTCAAAAATCCCAAGTACCTCTGAACAAATTTAATATAACTTCCTAACCTGTGTCCTTCTGACTTTAAGATTCTGAAGAGGAGTCCAGATTTGCACCAAACAGCCCAATTCGACGTCAAAACCTTATTTTACTCAGGTGAGCATCATTGTAGGTACAGAACTAAAAAAGCAGAGCTAACCTTTTAGTTCTTCAAAATGTCTTTTCCACCTAAAAGTCTAAAATCTAGCAGCAGATCTGAGTTATTGTTAAAGTCTGCTAATTGAAAAGGGTTTCTCTTGCTTTTAATCAGGGATCCTGTCCATCAAGTTCCCAGAGACGCCCACAGTTAAAGCTGCCTGCCTGTTCTTTGTAAGCTTTGAACACAAAGTGGGAGACTTTCTCAATCTAGTTCATCACAGGAATTATTTTATTTTCTGCCATTTTACCAACAGACAGAGTTTTTGAGTCGCTGCAAAGACATGCCACCCCTCGTTGATGTGCTGCAGGGGGATGGAAAGATCCTGACAGAGACGGTGCTGCAGGTAGACCATGAAATCCTTCTTGTTATTCTCATGCCAATAAGGAGGATCCATGTCCTGCGCTGCAATGTTTTGTTTTGCCCCTGTCTCAGGCAGTCGGAGGAGGTTCTTCCCGCAGCCTGACGGAGCACTTCTCTGAGGTTCTGCTCGGTTTGAATAGACAGTGTCCGGCCCTGCTGTCCCAGTGGCTGAGGGAAACCCTGCAGACCCCTGGCTTCCCTTCACCTCATGTCACTATGGAGCAGAAGGACTTGTTCTCTCAGCAGATCCTGAGGTAACCTAACATCCATTTTCCATCATAGGACCGAGTTGCTGCTGTGGAAAAAATCCTGATCCAACCATCTGATCATTGGGAGTCGAATATTCTTTGTTGTTGAAAATATTGGCCAGAGGAGAGCACAGATTGATACGTGTTGTTCAATTTGAATTCTACTTTCCTGATTGGATAAATCACCAGAAGCACCTGCCCCCATGTCGAGCTTTTAGCCAATCACAGATCTGTCATTCTTGATTTGTTTCACAACTACCAGAATTAACTGAAAAATAAAATCTAGTTGAAGAACCCACAAACGTCTTTCCCATCCGAAAAAAAAAAAAGACACAAATCGCACTCTTTTGATAGTTTTTTTTTTTTTTCAAAAAGAAGTAGAGGTTATTCCAGCCAAAATTGGAGCAGCCATCTTTGTTTCGTTTTTTGTCCTGTTTTCTGGGAATTGATGTCCCTGAGCTAAATTATCGTCCAACAGCTTCGCTTATAATCAGACCATTATGACTGTTTCCATAAGGATCCGTTTGGTACTTGTATATGAATCTTTATTGAAAATTATTTAGGGAGTAAAATCAAATGCAACGGGGCTAATGCTGCGTTCACACCGGGGGCAGCTGGCGCGACAGAAGCAGCGAGTTTACATGCAAAGTCAATGGTTGACGCGCGTCAAGGCGCAGCAAAATGTCCCGCGGCGCGTTTCGAGCAGCAAGCGCAGCGCGTCTGAGCAGCCGAAGCAGCGCGTCGGGCGCGTTTTGGCATCTGACGTGCGCGACGCGCCGCAAACGCGCTGCTGCTCGAGATGGAAAAATTGAATTTTTGCTGCTCGACGCGCCGCGTCAACCAATCAGAGAAGCTGATCTGGGAGCTGGCTGGGAGAGAGACACAGCGCTGATGACACAGACTGCTCTGATCACTTCTCTTAAACAGTTTATTAAAGCATAATTAACTTAAAATATATACATCTGCCGGCAGAATATGTTCGCTTTTATTATTCTGGTGCCTGCAGACCGGATTATTTAGATGAAAAACACCTACCAGCCACAGCGGTAAACCGCGAGGAGGCGACCCGGCCAGAGGCTGCTGATGAATGGATTCCTTCTGTCGGCGCACCGCTGGTATGTGGGGGTCTGAGCGGCTCCGACAGAAATAATATTGGGAGGCAGGATTGTAATCTGGATGAACTGACTGCACTGATGAAGTTTTCAGGTGTATTTTCTCACTTAAAAACATATTAAAACTACTTTATTCCCACTGATCACAGCAAATATAGCTGCAAGGCAGAGAAAAGGATAGTGAAGCTCCGCCCAACGCGCGTCAGAGCCACTTTTGGACCGCGCAGCGAGAGCAGCAAAGCTGCTTCAGACGCGCGTCAGAATTCACTGGTACAAGCAGCAAAAATGAAGCAGCAAACGCGATTTTGCTGCTTTTGCTGCCCCCGGTGTGAACGCAACATAAGAGTGAAGCTATCTTTGTTTTGTTTCAACTTGCTGCTTCTGGTTGATGCACTGACATCGAACACGTGACTGTATCTCGTTGGCTCAAAACATTTCTGTTTATAACTTTAATGCATCTATTTGCTTCTGGCAAGATGTATTTATTTTTTTATTGTGAACTTACAAACCGAGCAACAATTCATCTTGTGTATGTATGTATGTGTATATTAGGGATGGGACGATTTATGAAAACCGTCCGAACCATTCGGTTCGACTGTCTCGGTTCGGTTCGCGTGTGTTTCGTTCGGTTCATGCCCTGCTCCTTTTTCTCATAGGGGAAGCGATTACACTCCAGAGCAGAAGGTGGCAGTGCTGCGACCAAAGCCAACCACCAGTAGTAAACAAGAAGAAGAAGAAGCGAAGCAGCGTAGCCGGGTGTAGCAGGGAAAAAAATCAGTTGTTGTGGAGAATTGTGTGGGTATGGCGAGTGGGAAAGAACAGGAGTTGGAAGACGCGCCAGCAGCACTTTCTAGGTCTGCTGTATGGGACCACTTTGCATTTAGAGTGACCTACGATGACGATGGAAAGAAAGTTGTGGATAAAAGTGCAACAGTGTGCAAGCACTGTGCAACACGTTTTGTTTATGCTAACAGCAAAACGACCAACATGTCATGCTAACCCCGAAATCCCTCATACTCTGTCAGCGCTCCGCTCCGCCCCGCTGCGCTCCAGACCGGCTGCTCAGAGCAAAGCCTACAGCCCCCACTGTGGCTCCCTCCGTCTGCTCCCCTCTGAGTTCCTTGGAGATGGTAGTGAGCATGCGCGAGATGATTAAATTCAAAGCAGCAAAACATACGGAAATGATCCAGGGTTTCCGCGGATCTTTTAAAATAATTAGAATCCATTATTTTTGGGGGGATTTTTTCATTAATTCCATCAATTTTTATGGGATTTCGGTGTAACAATCAACATGTATTGAACCGAACCGAAAACCGTGACCAGAAACCGTGAATCGAACCGAACCGTGGATTTTGTGAACCATTCCACCCCTAGGGTTAGGGTTAGGGTGAGAAAACATTTTTTTTTTGTTTTTTTTATTTATATATATATATATATAGTGAGATGCAGAACCAAGGAGCTATTCAAACCTTCACTTTGAAACGATTGTTGAAATAAAACTGAAAAGGTAAAAAAAAAAAAAAAAGAAGAAATATGAGTTACAGTTTCTGAGCAAAGTTTCATGAGAAACTTATTTCTTATTTTTTTTAGTAATGGGGTCATAAAAGCAGCAAAGATCAGTTCCAAAGGGCCTCCGGCCCCTGTTGGCCCCCATCTAGAACCACCTTTGGGAGGCCCGACAAATGTGGATGATTCGCAGCTTTGCTGCTACTTATAGTAGCCATTCAAAATTTCCCCACTTTCCTTGATGGGCCCTTGGCTGCTCCCTTACAAATCCTTATTAATAATCAATCTTTGTACTAAAATATTCTTTGTCATAATTTGTGGACATTGAGACCTATAGAGAAGCATCCTCTCCAGGTCAGACCCTGTAATTCACTGAAAAGGTGGAGTCAGAGAAAAAAAAATATGCACACCCTGGAGGCGGTCAGTGGCTGGAAGTTGGAGGGGATTTGGCTGCCGTTTGACTGGGAGGGGCCATTTTGAATGCCTGCTACTGTTTCAGGGAAATACTGGTAGCTTTGGAGGAAAAGCATAGCCTGGGTGCCAGTCCGAACTTAGTCCCGCCCACAAGGTTTGAGTTCGGGGAAGTTCGGTCTGGCTCTGCTCCATTGTAGCGCGAGTATTAAAGCCCACTGTCAGGCGATCCAATCAAATTGTCAGGGCGGGCTTTATACGATGATGGACAGATGATCAAGAGTAACGTTATCAACCCCGTGACCAAAGCGTGCCTAGGTGACAACAATAATGGCTGCCGCTGGAGAGTTTGGGTGAGTAGATTCTGCTATTAGGTCTGTTCTAGAAGATATCGACAGCAAATTAATTTTAAAAGAGGAACAGAGAAACGCGATCAAGTCTCATCTTCTTATTCTAGGCGTGAAACTGCACGCTTTGATTTTTGTGGACAACAACTATGCGTCGCTTAACATACGTCGCGCACTCCGTTGCTCCTATTGGTTGTAGGTCTATCCAATTGAGTGCAGAGGCATTTTTTTCCTGGTTCGTTCAAAACACGCCCCATAATCACAGCTCTATGGAGCAGCATCAGACTCATATTCTGACTAGAATTGAGTCGGACTACGTCAGGCTAGGAAAAGCAGGGAAGTGAAGAAAAAGATGGAGGAAAATACCCTGATCAACTAAAACAAAACAGATGTTTACTGTGGTGATTAGTTACAACGTAATAGCCGCTCACACTGAGCCTGGTTCTGCTGGAGGTTTCTTTCTGTTAAAAGGGAGTTTTTCCTCTCCACTGTCGCTACAAGCATGCTTAGTGTGAGGGATTGCATTAGAGTCAATGAGTCGATGCAATCAACTGGTTTTCCTTAGATAGAAAACTTTGTATCAAATTGATTGTATGATCTGGTTGAACTGTAAAGTGCCTTGATGACGTGTGTTGTGAATTTGGCGCTATAGAAATAAACTGAATTGAATTTGAATTGAAATACATAAAAGCTCCAACTTTAACAGCTTTTCATACCTGTGTCTTTTTCCCCCCACCCAGAGAACAAACAAACAAACGTCGCATTAAGGAGACTGTGAAGGAGTTCTCTCTGCTCTGCAGAGGTCTGCAGGGATCCGGATACTCTGAGAGCTAGTCGTGGCTGCGGTCGTGTTCCTTCAGCCTCAGAAGCTTTTTATGAGGGTTAATATGAAGCAGCCAACAGAGAAATCATGCCCCATGTGTTCAATAGGACTGTTCACTCGGGATGTGAGAGTACTTGACGCCCCCCATGACTGACACAAACACACAGCAGACTGTTAGACATGTTGGTCACTGTTGGACATGTTTTTAATAAAATACCTGTCAGAAAGTGTCACAGTGCCATGAGTGTACATTTACTGACGAAACACTGATTAAACCGATCTAATGGAGGTGGATGAGTGACCGACTGGTTTCTTCTTTCCTGCAACATGCTGCAGATCATAAACCTGCATTATGAAAATATATAGAAGCCCCGCCCCTTCTTCCTGTCTGGTACAAAGGAGCCTGCTATAAAAAAAAAAAGGGTCCTTCGTTACATTATGCAGCTCAGAACAGAACTAATGAGACAACTTCATCACATCCAGGACAACGAGGAGAACAAGAGCGACTTCAAAAGGAGAACGTGTTCTGATTTTCGGATTCTTTTTAATCGGTGACATCACTGTGAAGGGCGGAGCTTTGAGCCGCGTCCTTGGCTAAAAACGTCTGGACCAAGATCGTCTCTGTGGATCGTGGTGCTCGGAGGAAAGGCTCTACGAGTCTGTGGGTGATAGCAGCCGGGGTTCGCCCTGCAGCCGACCGTGCGGCGGCTCACTACCGGATCCTGGTGAAAAGGTTCAACACAGACTTTGATTCCTGGATGGAGAAAGAAAAGCAAGAAATCCGAGTTAAAAAGTATCAAATCTTTTTAAGTTATTATTCATTTTGATGTTGTTTTATAGAGCTAAGTATTCACACTGATGGGGCTTTTTACTTAGATAACCACAAACAATGAATTCACATTTGGGATTTTATGTGAAACACCAATAAAAAGTATTATGGAGTGAATTTTGTTCCATTATTGTAAAAAGTAAAGAACATATTTTGTAAACAGAGCATATGCATGAATTATTCTGAATACCAACACGCCTCCGAGCTGCAACAGGTGGAAATCATAACATTAGCCAGGAGTAGCTGATTATAAAGTTAATGGAAACTGCACAGTGGGTAAATATAGTAATGCTACACTGAAAAAACGATCTAGAAATAAGTAAAAATTTCTTAAATTAAGTGTATTTACCCTTGATTTGAGTAGGTTAATGAGATAGTTTGCCAATGGAATCAGTATTTTTACTCTTAAAATAAGATAATTAGATAGTATTCACTTGAAATAAGAGAATGCAATTGTGTTTTCTTATTTTAAATCTAAATTGTCTTGTTCCATTGGCAAGATGTCTCTTTTATCTCCTCAATTCAAGAACAAATGCACTTATTTTAAGAAAAAATGACTTATCAAGATTTAGATTTTTTGCAGTGTAACAATTCAAATCAAGAAGTATTATTTAAATGAAAATTTGTTAGTTTTTTGCCTCAATAAAAATCACTGATCTGTAAAACAGTTATTTAAATCCAATCTAAGACAAAAGCTATTAAATTGCCATCTGTAAGAAAACAATCAGAAAACAGAAAAGGTTAACAAAAATGTGCAGTTAAGAAAAACATTTAACACAAGTCCAAATTCCTGGATTAGCATTAAAGAGATATTTTATTCTCCAGAACGTGTTCTTTAGACACTTTGTAAAACAGCATGATCCTTTGCATGTTTTATTAAGTCAATTTTGGCTTCCTAATGTTCCCATAAGTGGAGCTAACCTTAGATGTGCTGAACAGGCTAGGCTACACTAGCATTTACGTTTAGCAGACTGTGAGCATTCTGTGAACTGAAAATAGTCCTTGTGCACATTTTTAGACATATCTCAAACTGCCATGCTATCATCGGATGGGTTTGCCTTCTATTTTTACAAAAACATTAAAAACAAGTCTAGTAGGGCGCCTGGAACCTTTTCTTCTCCCACCGCACACGAATTAGTGAGGAGGAGAGATCAGCTGAGATGCAGCGGGTAAAGGCTGCATAATATTGTTAATGAAGTCTTGTTAGTTTGGTTTTATTTTAAGAAAAGTTTGGTATCAATATCCTTCGCTGGGGACGGTATATTCCCACCCAGCTGTGCACAGAGGTTTGTAAAAAAAAAAATCTGTGGAAAAATTAAGAAACAAACAAACATACAGAGTGGCAGTTGTGATAAAAAAAACAATACCAAAAAAAAAAAATCGTCAGATCACGTTTATCAGTTTTTAATTAGGTTTAATGGAATTGTTTTTTATGATCATTTTTATCATTTAAACAATGTAAACCCCCCCCACCCACACCCCGGTAAATAGACATAAAAATAAAAAATAACAATCCAGAAATTAAACTTAAATTTAAGTCATCCAGGGTGTCACGGGAGTGACTCTGTTGGTATAATTACTAGGGGTGTAAATCACATCCATCATGGAGATTCGATTCAGTATCAATTTCCTGACCCAACGATTAGATTATTTTCGATACTCAAGAATACACCACGATACGTTTCGATTAATCGATTAATTTTTCTTTTTTTTTTTTTTTTTAGACCTTACAGGCTAAACAAAGTAAATGACTGGCTTTTTAAATCATGTTTGCTTCTCAATTTCAAAAAAACGGTCTGTTTGATGTTCTCAAAGCAATCAAAAGAAATAAAAAGCTCCGGAGTATTCTTGAGAGGAGAAGAATTACAACTTGTCACAGAATTCAAGTACCTTGGCGTGATACTTCATTCCACTTTGTCCTTAAAAAATCATATCAAAAAAACTTGCCAATACTGTCAAATTTAACCTTAAAAATTTTAAACAAATCAGGTCTTTTTTAACACTTGGTGCTGCTAGAATTGTTCTCCACTCAATGATTTTATCTCACATTGAATACTGCATCACAATTTGGTCTCTCACCACAGTTACCAATTTAAAATTAATTGAATCACTCTACAAAAAAATCTCTAAAAGTGTTTGACCAAAAACCAAGTTCTTTCCATGTATGTAATATTTTAAAACAACTACAATCTTTTAAATTTTGAAAATTTTATAAATTTTAAGTATGTATGCTTCATTTATAAAGCGCTACATGGACTAGCCCCACCTCCTGTGTCTACTCTGTTCAAACCCGAGACTTCAAGTGGCCTGAGAACCAGAGGAGACTGTGAGGTTCCTCACAGAAGAACAACTTTTGGTCAGAACACTCTCTCTGTGAGAGCCACTAACATCTGGAACAGTCTTCCTCTACACATACGGGAGAGCCCTACACCGATCAGCTTCAAAACCCAACTCAAACTACAGATGAAAACAAACCAGTCATGTAACCACCAAACTTTTAACATTTCCTTGTGATGCTTGTATTGTATGTTATGTTCTTTCTTATTTATCTGCCTGCCTAGGGACTACGGATGAAAACTAGCTTTGTAGCTATAATCCTGCATATTTACCTCTTTTTTTTTTACTGATGTTCATTAATGTGCATTGTCCCTATTCAAATAAATAAATAAAAATAAAAAATAAAAAAAAAGTATCAAGTTTGAAATAAATCAATGAAAGCTGTAATATCGTTATGCTTTTTTTTTTTTTTTTTTTTTAGAAACAACAGCAAATAACAGAAGTAGAAAAGTTGCATTAACAAATACTGCAGAAAATCAGTGCAATGAGTGCAATGCAATACCTCGGCTCCAGACGTCCCGCCCCCTCCACAGACGCTCCGCTGCTCCTCTCCCAAATTGTAGCTGACCGCAAACAGTGCTGCAGACAGGAGGCCAGCTTGTTTTGTTTTCATGACCGAAATTGCGGAAAACAACTCATGAAGTTTGACCTGCTAGAAGAGCGAGGTGCGCGAGAACGCTGAGACCCTTTTTCCACCTGGATCTCCGCTCTTTTTGGCCCTCATGTCCCTCCGTCGTCGGACTAAACTCGCCCCCACTTCCTCGCCGGCTCGGCCGCATCTAGACCCACAGCGTGTAGCACAGACCACGCTTCAATATTGAGCATAATTTAAAAATGTCTGTGTCAAGCTCACTGCAACACACTGCTGTAAGAGTATAACCAGGAAGCCAGGTAGGAGGGCAAAATAGGCTTAGCGCCACCGCAGCACGGGAGGGAGAATTACGCCCAGGGTCAAATGGATAAAAATAGACCGGAGGGAAAAAAAAAAAAACATGAATCGATTCTCTTGCGGACGTGTCGATGCATCGGATCGTCGGCTGTTGGATCGATGCATCGATACAAAACGATTATTATTTACACCCCTAATAATTACAGGAATGCACATGCGCAAAGGGAACATCAGTCACTAGGAATGAAATAGAGCACAGACTTTGGGGAGGACTGGGCGACCATTTTGCCGTACCTTTGTGCATCGTGTTTTACTGAAGACGTTCCAGAAACGAAGCGTCTCATCTCCGGCTCCTGTAACGATGGCTTCTCCGTCTGGAGACACAGCCTGAGAAGGACAGCGTAAAGAGGAGATGACTTTGTGAAAACAGGCAACCGATCAGCAAACCATGCTGCAAATAACACCTACAGAGATGAAGAGGTGCTAAACTTTGCAGAAATCTACACTGAAGTCCTGTTCAAAATGCAATAATCAAAAACACTAACCTTTCCTGCTAACTTTACTTTTTCTTATTTGCTCATAATCACACTATAAACCTACCAGATATAAGACTCTGTAGGAGTGTCCTGTCAGCTTGGCCACCTGTGTTAGAGACGGATACTTCCATACCAGGATCTGGTTCTGAGAGTAACCATGGGTGCTAACCTGCACACACAAAACACAAATAATGAATAAATTGTTTGATTTAACTGGATGGGAGTTCAGAAATACTTAGATTGATGATGATCAATACAGGTTTTTAATTTAATGAGACTAGGACAGAGGTCATGATTTTCAGCAGCACATCTGATGCTCCCTCCATTGACCCAAGTTACCTTAACCAGTACAGGAAGTCAGTCATTACTAACATTGCTGTAAAAGTGAAAACGGATCTTAAATTCGACAGCCAGATTCAAGTAACTGAAGACAAGTTTATTTCAATTAAGGCAGTTGGCCAAAATAAAGCAATTATTTTCTAGAGAACATTTAAGGACAGTAATCCTTGCCTTCATTATGGGTGTAAATAATAATCGTTTTGTATCGATGCATCGATCCAACAGCCGACGATCCGATGCATCGACACGTCAGCAAGAGTATCGACTGTTTTTGTTTGTTTTTCTACTCCGGTCTATTTTTATCCATTTGCTCCTCTACGTAATTTCTGACTCCTGTGCTTCGGTGGCACTAACCTATTTTGTCCTCCTACCTCGCCACCACTACAATCTTTTTTGCACACACACACATGCATAAACAGCAGGCAAGACAGACTTGGTGGAGGAAAAAGTTGACTTACACACCCCTTGCAGGTTAGTATTGAGTATTTCGGGGCGTATTCTTGAGTATCTAAAATAATCGAATGGTTGGGTCAGGAAGTCGATACTGAATCGAATCGCCATGATTGGTGTGATTTACACCCCTAGCCTTCATCACCACCTGCCTGGGATACTGTGGGTTGATTATTTTTTTTGGGGGGTGGGGGGTTAGGCATAGTGCTTCCTGGAGGGGGGCTCACCCTTTCATACTTTGAAAACCCTGCTCTACATCATAGTCTCCATTCCTACAAATCAGCAAAGGTTAACCTGCATACAAAATAACTAATTCTGAACAGGAAGTGAATCAAGTAAAATGATGAGACATAAAGAGTCAGTACTGTGAACTAAAGCTAAGAGCTAAAACTACTAATGGGAGTATTTATTTAATCAGGAAACAAGTTTCTGTGAAAACGATTTTTAATGATCTAACATCTCATTCCTCTTTAAACCTAAATAAATAACTAGATCCTGAGGATGCTAGCATCATCCAGAGCGCGCTTCAGTCTCCTCACCAGTTCGTTGGCATGTTTGGACCAAGCCAGGTTGCAGACCTGCGACCCGGTGTCTGTGCTCTGCAGCGCCTGACCCGTCAGAGTGTTCCAGAACCGCAAGCAGCGGTCAGCTGTGCCGCCACCTGAGGCCAGGAGCCCGTGTTGATGAGGTGACCAGGCGATAGCCTTCACCGCTGCCAGGTGGTCGCTGTACTGCTGCACAGGTACGAGGCTGGAGCTGTTCCACACCAGTAACTGAATGCAGGGAATGGGAAGAGGAAGACTTTATGGATGCTGTCGTGTTAAAACCTCAGGGGTTAAAATACTGCTGCAAAGATGAAACAGACCAGCCACCAACCCCAATAAGTGGCTGGTTGATGCTGGCAGTAGACTCTGCTAGTGTCAACTGCTTCTTAAGATGCCTTACCTTGTTGTCGTTGCCTCCAGAAGCCAGGTGCTGGTGGTCTGGAGACCATTTTAGGCCACAGACTTCTTGCCTGTGACCCTGCAGCCTCCGTTCTGCAGAAGGCGGTGTTCGGACGTCCCGCTGTAGGATGACTCTGTCCCGACTACCAGACGAGAGCTGCTCCCCGTTCCACGCCAGCGCGCCTGCAGCAGAAAGATCCCCATGGATCATCATACGATAGATCAGCTGACATACGTAAGACAGACTGATGAATAGATATATCGTTTTTGATTAAAAAAAACTTTTCAATTATGTCAGAAATTTTGCTGACAATAGGTCTTTCTTTTGGCAAACTGCTTGTTTTAGTGTCTGTGTACCATAGCTCTAGGTAAAGATTGGATTACCAGATTAGTTTACAATTATTTCAATAATAAATTAATCCGATAAAAAAATGTGAATTAGCATATAGAGATTGGATTTGGTTGAAATATCGTTTTTATCCAACTGGAGGGGTGTTTCATGCCCGCTGACCATCCCATTAGCATACATGCTAATGCTAGTAAGGATTAGCTTAGTCTAAATGAAGCAAGCCAAGCTGAATGCTCTTGTTCATCCAACTTAGATGTGATGCATTTCTGCTTTGAGTGATGAGATACTAGTCAAAATATTCTGAGTGCCATGTTTACATGATTTATTTTTAATCTGATACACCGTTTTATTCAAGTCACTTATTTTCATACTAATGTGTTTTAATTCTGGATACATTTTAGTTGGATCAAGAACTTCTGTGCATGTAGGCATAAATAATGAGCACTTTTATTACTGGGCAAATGCAATAAAAAAACTGAATGGAACAGAAATTGTTGGATCAATAAAAAAAATAAATAAAAAACAAAAAACATTCTCATTGATAACGCTCATGTTCGACGTTCGAACCCACATCAGACAGAGCTGGAGCCATTAAGCTCTTCAGCAAATCCTTTGCTGGTTTTCAACCAGTTATAAAAAAAACTGAATTTTAACTATTGTGTGTGTCCGGAAATGAGCATTTTCCAGGCACGGTGTTAAAAAAAAACCCTGCAAAAACCATCTAGAAGTAACTAAGATTTTCTTAAATTTAGTGTATTTAGCCTTAATTGGAATAAGTAAACAAGATGATTTGCCAATGGAATGAGTATTTTTACTCTTAAAATAAGCTTATAAATAGTGATGTTATGAGATGAGCCGAGGCTTCGAGGCGTGTGTCGAGTAATGGAGGGGGCGTTTCCCCGAAGCGCGTGTCGAGGCGTGATTCATTTAGAGGAGGGGCCAAAATTGATGACGTCCGAGGCCTCGTTACCGTGATACCACGTGACCGCCTCGAGAAGTGGTTCAGAATGCGCAAGAATTTTGAAAGGCATCTAAACAGCCTCAGTGTTCAGTTAAGATGTGGGAGTTTGGAGGAGAGATGCTCTCAGCTGGATAAAGTTTGGATAGATTCTAATAATAGATTGGTTGTTTTTCCAACCAATCTAGTTGCTAATTTGGTTGGAATAAACAATGTAATTATCAAAATTTGACCAAACCACCGGACAAAGCCCGCGTTAACACGTCAGTTATAAGAAGTATTTTCTCCTGGGTGAGATCAGCTACATAGGTGGCGTCGGCTGTAAGAGTCAGGCTCCCATTCTAGAGGTTGATGGTTCAAATCCTGTCTTTGACTTTTGAAAATTTCGATTACACTTAATTATTTTGGCTGATGAGACTAATTTGCATTGTTTTGCCCGAGTAAAAATATAGATTGGGTAAATTAGGTTGGCTTAGCCAAAAGATTGGTTGAACATAACTTCCAACCTGATTAAAACCAAAAAACGTGGAAAAACTATCATGTTTGAATAAAAATGACTAACACCATTCATTTTGCACATCATTGCCCAATTTGCACAAACACTGTCACTGTCTGCTTGAGTTTATTTCACTAAAATGGCAGAACAACGGTGCACCTTGAATTATTGTTCTAAGAAATTTTACACTTAAAAAAACTTACAAAAGATTTTATTATACACACCAACCATTAATAATTTCAAGGGAACTTAAAAGGAGAAAAAAAGAAAAACAGTTGCAAAAAAAAAAAAAAAATCACTGATTTTATTACAAACTGTAGTTCTGCACTCCAGCAGTAGGTGGTGACATGTTCACATGAAGCCTCATGAACTGTGGGGATCGTTGAAGCAATTTGGCCAAACGGTTCAATGCCTCATGAGGCTTCATCTCACCATCACTACTTATAAATAATATGCACTATTTGTGTGTGTGTGTGTGTGTGTGTGTGTGTGTGTGTGAATGGTTGTTTGTCCTATGTATCTCTGTGTTGCCCTGCGATGGACTGGAAACTTGTCCAGGGTAAACCCCGCCTCTCGCCCGTAGACAGCTGGATATAGGCACCAGCACCCCTCGCAACTAGGGGTGTGCAAAATAATCGTCATGATGATGCATCGTGATTCTAATTTTCGTGATCTACTGCATCGATTCTTGACGCCAAGTATCGATTATTAATTTAAAAAAAATTATAAATAAAATTGCATGAATGGTTAACGAACATCAGCCAAAAACAAGTGTAGTACAACTTCCAGTCCAGTAGATGTCACTGCGGATGTGTTGACTCACGCTGCCTTGTGTCACAAGCATTTCCGGCCCCGGGTTACTGCGCCGAGTCATTCAAAAACAAAACATGGAGGAGAAAATATTAAAAATGCATCGCAATAATTCAAGTATCGTGATGCATCGTGATAGAATCGCATCGTGGCCTGTGAATCGGGATTCAAATCGAATCGTGACATCTTTGGCAATACCCACCCCTACTCGCAACCCTGCTTGGGATAAGCGTGATGGAAAATGGATGGATAATATGCACTTGAAATAAGTCAATGTAAATGTTTTTTCTTATTTTAAATGTAAATCGGCTCATCCCATTGGCTAAGTTTCTCTTACCTCCTAAATTCAAGACAAACTGCACTTATTTTAAGAAAAAAATATTTCTATTTTTTTGCAGTGCAACTTGATGACAAATTTATCATTTGCATTGAACTAATGAGCAGATTTAATGCACCGATGCGAGTCTTGTTACGTAAGTGTTAACTATGTACAGGAATCAGTAGAATCCAAGGGTTAGGAAACTGATATCGGGCACCATGTGGCTCAGATCTCAACCCCCCAAAAGGACAACAACAAAAAAAGATCTTTCAAGGTTATTAACTTTTTTAAATTGGAAAACTTTAATTGATTTATAGGACCTGTGGCAATCCTTTATCAATAGTGCACCTCTTAAAAATCCAGACGGTTTATCTTAAGGTGATACTGACTGTTTCTCATACTTAAAGCCCTGCTGTGCTTCTTAAGGTGTGACTGACCTACTCGGGCTGAATGGCCCTCCAGACAGGTCAGCTTCCTTCCTCCAGCTGCGTCCCAGATCTGAACGTAACCCTTGTGGGTCCCAACAGCCACCAGGCTTCCCTGTGCAAAAATAAAAGTCAGTTTCTTTTGTGTCTGGAGTGGATCTAAAAAACAGACTGATATCTCCAGGAGCCTCACTCTTTCATTCCAACAAACAGATGTGACGGAGTCCCCATCCACCGAGAGGTCGCATAACCTCGTCACCTGTCGGGATCAGAAGGAAGAAATCACATCAATCATGTGAGTAAAGACGACAAAAAGACCCAAAGCAGTCAGAGGAACCTTACAGCATTCACATGCATTCATATTCATCCGGTTTGGTCACATGAGTGCAACCTGTACAATTTAAAGAGCCAATTTTGACTTCCTTCCAGCTAAAAAAAAAACTTGACTAGAGCTGCCAACATTACATGAGCTTGTAACAAAAAAAAAAATAAATAAATAAATAAAATAAAAAAATATATATATATATAACTAATAAATATCTACCACAGGAGATTTGGCCTTTTTAAAAAACCATAATGATACAGTGAACTTTAGGTCTTAAAATAAAGGAAACTACTTAAAAAAAAAATATTCAGGGGGTTGCTGATACTTTTGCGAAATCATGTTTAAAAAAACAAAAACTTTTCCACCTTAAAAAAAGGACAAAAAATATATTTTATCATAATTAGTCAATAAAATTTTATGAATTGGCAAGAAAAAAAAAAGACTTCAGTTCTAATAAAACATATTTAGAGTTGCAAACATTACATGACATAAAAAAAAAAAAAAGGAAAATTAATTGAAAAATATCTGATATATTTACATTTAGGTTAAAAAAAATCCTACTTAAAAAAAAAAGAACAAAACATATTAATGTTATAATTACACTCAATTTATTTTGTGGTGAAAAAGTTGACTTCAGTCCAGCGTGATTAGAGCAGCGAACATCACATGAGTTTGTTTTTGTTTTTTTTAAAGAAAAAAACCTTTTTCCATCATCAAATATTTATAACAGGTTGCTAATATTTTGAGAAAGTCATGTAAAAAAAAAAGTAAGTTTCTGTAATAATTCACTTTAATTAGGCGCGATTAGGCAGTGGGGAAAACTACGTAGGCCCTGAAGTGCAAACTGCAACTACAAATCTAAAAGCGCAACAAAACTACATAAAGCAAAGCGCAACTACATTAAGGAAAACACAATTACATTAACCCACCAGAAAAGGTAGGTACCAGTGGGAAACATGAGACATCGCTGATTGGACGACAGCGCCGTTTGACCCTTGAACCGGAAGTCATTCTGCCTGCTGCGACTTTTGAAAACATGGATATTGTCGGCGCCCCAAACATAGCTGCCGTTATCCAGGAATATTTTGAATCAGGACATACGTACGAGGTGATACTGGATATGCGTTTGCGTACACTGAAGACACACTTAAAAGAAGCTGGACTGTTCAGACGACGCAACTTCCGGTTCAAGGGTCAAACTTACCTTTTCCGGTAGGTTAATGTAATTGTGTTTTTCTTAATGTAGTTGCGCTTTGCTTTAGGTAGTTGCGATTTCCTTAATGTAGTTGCGCTTTTAGATTTGTAGTTGCAGGGCCACCGTAGAAAACGCTAAAACATGCATTTGTTGCCTGTTATGTATTAAGGCTAGTATTTTCCCAAGCAGTTAGCTCCTCCGTCAGTACAGAAAGTAATCATCTTCATTTGAACGTAACTAAGATTTGGGAATGAAATGGGAGCAAACAGACAGGGAGGAATCTTCTTACAGATAGCCCTGTCACTGTGCATTTAGGATTTCCTTGATCTAAGTTTAAGATAATGGCTGGCAGAGAAGTCTCCTCATGTGCAAACGTGTGTGATGTCATGATGTAACAGGCCGTGTGTGTAAAATGCTTCTTTAACTGGTATGTGGGCCAACTTTCTGAAGAAGCAAGCCCGGTGGTCAGCGCTGCCATCTGTAACATGAGCCATTTCTCTGCTCCGAGTTTAAATACAATTTCTGCAAAAACACTTTTATCATTTCTCATAGTTATTTAATATCTATACATTATGAAGTGCTGTTTAATTTTATTCCAAGTGATCTCTTCCCAGGAAAGAATCATGTTCTTCTAAGTGTGTTTTATATGTCTTGATGTTGTACCTAAAAGGGCTTTTAATCTCTGTGTCTGTTTCGCCTCCTAAGCCGGGAAGAGATTCTTCCCTACTGAAGTACAAACATCAGCATTTCACAGAGTCTGTGTTCATCAACGTTAGCATTCTGCATGTAGATCAAACAGGTTTGAATTTAGTTTCCTCTGACCTGAGCCCAATTTTTGTTTATTATTTAAAAGGCTTTCTGTGTGTAGGTCACAGCAAACTGCATAGCAATCTTTTATGGTATTCTTATGATAATGATCTAATTGCATCAATTTAAGAGAATCCATTTAATTGGAGGTTTAATTCAAGGATGATCAGATCACTAGGGAGTTGTTGTTTCTTCACTGACGGGGAAATACGTAAAGGATCTCCCTATCTAAACAAATGTGAAATAACCTGGCTGGTGCAGGCACTCCACAGGTAGACGCAGGCCCCCAGCCCCACGCTCAGCAGGTTTCCCGCCGACCAGTCCACCAGATTGAGGTAGAAGTCGTCCTGCAGCTCCGGAGCATCCAGCACTTTGAAGGGGATCTTGGAGATCTTTCGCGCTGGCTTGCGAGGCGAACGGAGCAGCTTGTGACTTTAGGAATCCATTGAAGTTTAAACAAAAAGAAATGGAAAAGGAGAAAAAAAAATGAAGTAACAATTTTGAGCCGAACAACACATCTGTACAGGTTTTAGTGGGACGTCTTATACCTCTTGTTGCTGAGCGGAGAGAGGGAGAAGGGGGACACTTCATTACTGCGATCGCAAGGCACTCTCTTTGTGTGGACAGTGTACTGCAGAGATGAGGCACAGGAAGCAGAACCTTGTTGGATGAAGCTGAACAGAAGCGGTTATTCTTAGCTAAAACAAACCAAAATAATGATCAGTCTACATACGATTAACCCAAATATACATTTTTCTGTCCACAGAACCATAGATTTGGAAGAGTAGACAGACTTTACCACTTCAATGCTAGCATTAGTAAATCTAAGCAGCTTTGTCTACTGAAAACCTAATAAATAATCATCTGCACCCTAAAGAGGCTGTAAGAGTCTTGAGCTAGAACGTCATGCCGCCGGTCGTCCGCGTGAGGCTCTGCCACAATCTCTATCCTAGCACCCAACAACTCGTTCCTCAGCAGGGCGGCGTACGCTGCGGCATCTATGGAGGTGAGACAAAAGAAGGTGGTGAACCCAGAAAGAGATCCAGCTTGATTATTTAAAATCTGCAGAACTCCTGACCTTTGCTGGAGTCTGAACTGGCATCCTTTGCTTTGTGGTTCTGAGCAGGAGAGCGGCAGTTCTCCTGCAGAGAGAGAGAAAAACGATGCATCTGCTGCTGCATGGAACCCTTTTGTTTCTTTAAAGAACAGCTCACACAGTGGGTGCAAATCTCTCACGTTGGCATAGTGGAAGTTGATGCTCCAGTTGCTTCCGGCGCGGGTGGGAATGAAACGGTCCCCTGATTTTACGCTGGCAGGGCTGCAGGCAGCACCTAAGCTCTAGGAGGAAAACAACCAATCCTGCAAGGTTACTACCACACATACATGAGGACAGGATTATTTCATGATCTTTATAGTTTTTATAGACTTGGTGAAGATGGAAAGATAAACAGATGAAGGGTTAAAATATCTGCAGATCTTTAATATATATATATATATTTTATTATTATTATTATTAAAATAATAATAAATAAATAAAAATGGGGGGGGGGGGGTGTCCCTCCTCACCTTGGTCAAACGGCCCTCCGTGGGCAGGTTCTGGTGGTTGATCTGCCTCAGCAACCGTCTCTCGTACTCTTGGTCCATCTGCTCGGGGCCGCGGGGGGGGGGGGGGCCCCTTCCCGCCCCCCTTTTACACCTCCGCTCCCTCCCGGTGAGGAAATCCGCAGAGGATCTCCATATCTAAACAAAAACACGAACAAACCCGGAGAAACGGACATCTTTAAAAAGCTAGGATGACAAGCGGCCCGGTTAGCCTGATGTGTTCATGCTGAATGGGCTCACAGGGTTTAAACCCCCCGTCGCCATTATTATTTTTATTTTTAAACCAAGCGGCTAATAAAGGAAGACATCTCTGAAACGTTTCAGGATGTGCCAAAAAAGGAAAGCCGCACCGTTGTCATGGTATCTTATGCTCGCGCTCACATATAAACCGTTTTCATCTCTTCAACTAATAATGAATCCATCCAGCCGAATGGCTGCGTGTTTCACCGACCTGTCAGTGTCTCAGGTGACCAAGGCGGCTGACATCTTCTGCGGAAAAGATCAGCTCCGCGGTGGGATTTGCTCTTATTCCGTGGAAAACCTACAGCGGCACGGTCAGACGCCAACGCGACTCCCCCTGTGTTGTTTATATTCGCGACAAAGATGGCGTCCGAGTCAGCTGGAGCAGAAATTCTTTGGTTTGAGTTGACTTCTGCTGCTCTGAGCCGTCAGCACTGGAGATGTCGCAACAGTGACACCAGCTGGTGACTTCTACTCATTGCTGTTAAAAACAAGCCTACTGTCTGTGTGTTTTTTTTTTATGCTGGTGAATATTCTCAGTTATACAGAAGGAATTAGGGCCACTGATTTTTCCTCACAATTATGCCTTTAATCCCACAATTCTGACTTTTTTCTCAGGATTCTGACTTTCATCTCAGAATTCTGACTTTAATTCCACAATTCTGATTTTTTTCCCTCAGAATTCTGACTTTAATCTCACAATTCTGACTTTTTTTCTCAGAATTCTGACTTTAATCCCACAATTCTGACTTTTTTCTCAGGATTCTGACTTTTCATCTCAGAATTCTGACTTTTTTCTCAGAATTCTGCCTTTAATCCCACAATTCTGACTTTTTTCTCAGGATTCTGACTTTCATCTCAGAATTCTGACTTTTTTCTCAGAATTCTGCCTTTAATCTCACAATTCTGACTTTTTTTCCCAGAATTCTGACTTTAATCCCACAATTCTGACTTTTTTCTCAGGATTCTGACTTTAATCTCACAATTCTGACTTTTTTTCCTCAGAATTCTGACTTTAATCTCACAATTCTGACATGCAAATTGAACCAAGTTCAATTTAGAATAGAATAGAATAAAATAGAAAATCCCTTTATGGTCCCACAATGGGCAAATACTAGTTTTTACAGCAGCATAAAGATTATAGAAAAGTTGGTCACATAAATTTGGACCTTAAAAAATATATAAGAATAACATAATAGTGAGGAGTTAAAAGATAAACAATAAAATACTGTAATGTAAAATATTTTAACAATATAAACACTGTGCACCTGGAGAATAAAATAATAAAACCAGTTGCATGTTTTCTAAGCCATAACAAGGCTTTTGTTGGGTAATTTTATAAAGCCTCTATAAAGCTTTCGAGATGGGAAGCGAAACGTCTTCAAACTTGGAGAAAAGAATGTCCAGTGGTTTTGTTTTTTAACTTTTTTCCCTTTCTTTTCAGTATGGCCACACGGTGTCTCTGTTGTAACATGGAATAATAATAAAACAAAGTTTATTAGCAAAAACAGCCCACTTTATGGACCGAAGATGATTTAAATGAAAGTACAAGTATTAATAAAAGTTGATGTATTTCTTAAAAAAATACACATTGTGATGTTATATTCTAAAGCCCTTAAAACTTATATTTATGATTCAGCCTTTAAAAAAATCTGAATTATAAATACAGCATCAACAATTTAATAAGAGTATAAACTAATCTGTGAAGGCCTTAGAAGTGTATGGTCAGGCAAACATTATTTTTTTTAGAAAAGTAGACTGTAGTCTGCAGTTCATGTGGGAGAATATATGGATATTTGCATAATGTGCTCTACATGTCCAACCTTTATAGAAAAGTGACTAAAGAAACCAATTTTTAAAGAGAGATATTTTGCAGTATGTGGCACAACACCGACGGTACAGCAAACATATGGTGCTCTGATCACAAAAAACAGGTTTCAATTTTCGGAAAAAAAATATATATATATATGATTGAAACATTGAAAATACTGACAAAATGTGAAAAAGTTTAAGTTTATACATGTATTACACATAACAAAAATACCCCACTTTGTCACAGCCAAGCTTCACACCTGGATAGTATTTTTCCCATTATAGTTAAATTGGATTAAAAGTTAAGGTTGAAAAAAGTAAATAAAAGAAATAGGAGAAAACAAAAGATTTCCAGACCTCCTGAAACCATAAAAATCTGCCTGACAATACTTTGCGCCCCATGTGCCCAACATCAAAAGCTGGTCTGTAAAACAGATAGTCTAAGAACTGATAACACATGCTGGCTTAATGGCTCCCTTGTGAATTTCACATCAAAGTAAACCAAGATCTTACGTTAGCACTTTATGATGTTAAAACGTTAAATTCCCCAACTGGTATCTCTGGAGGGCTCATTTGGCCAAATGAAACAGATAAAAAAAAAAAATAAAATCACTCTTTGAACTTTCTCGGGTAAACCGGTCAACACATCAGGGGGGGGGGGAAAGTGAGGAAGACGTAAACAGAGACAGCAGAACTGACCTGTTGTTGCTAGGATATTATTGAGACATGGTTGAGTAGAGGCAAGGCATGGCATCTTGGTGGCAGCCTGAGCTGCACGTAGGCTCGGCGGTCATATTACCCTCTGACAAGCAAAACACTGTGCCAGCAGGAACATGTCAGCAGACCTGACTTTCCACACTCTTCATAGATTGTACTTGATTATTCTCTATCTTTTGATTTTACTCTGTAAATGTTTTTTTTTTTTTTTTTGGAAGTCAGTCCTGCGTTTTTGACCAGAAGTATTTCCTTCTTCTCTCTCCTAATATAAAGAACATTCCGCACAGATTCATCAGACAGAAAACAAAACAAGAAATCAATTTATTGATATGTTTTAAATACAGTACCAGCAAAATAAAATTAAAAGGTATAATAATAAATTGGATCGTTGTCCTGTTTATTCATAGGCGATGATATACTAAAGTCGACGGATTTTTATCTATAGTAGTATTTCATGGTGACTTGCTTTCTCACAGGGTTCCCAAGGACTTATCAGAGAAAAAGGCCCTCAGCATCACAGGTCCTCTGCCATACTTAACAACAGGTATGAAGTGTGCTTTCAGATGTTTATCCTTTGTCTCATGACAGTCCCCACGTAAAAGGTTTAACCACACACATACACACACATGTACATATGCACACATGCACAAAACAAAAACAAAACAACAACATTTCAATCTTATCAGACTAAATTACTCTGTTCCAGTTAAAGTCTTATTAAACTGATCAAACGCCAAATGTTAAGTCTTCTGTTTCTGGAATCCCTTTTGAACTGATGTATAAATGTTGTTGAGATCAGCAGAGTTTCTGAAAAAAGTATAGATTTAAAAAAAATCTTGCGCACACACAGACACACTTTGGACATAAATCTCCCCAAATAATTGTACCCATATTAAAATTTTCATTTCTGTTTGCATTTATTCAATTCAATTCAGTTTATTTCCATAGCGCCAATTCACAAGACAAGTCATCTTAAGACACTTTACAGTTCACCAGATCATCCAGTCAAATTGATTCAAAGTTTTCTATCTAAGGAAAACCATTTGATTGCATCGACTCATTGACTCGAATGCAATCCCTCACACTAAGCATGCTTGTAGCGACAGTGGAGAGGAAAAACTCCCTTTTAACAGGATGAAACCTCCAGCAGAACCAGGCTCAGTGTGAGCAGCCATCTGCCGAGACCGACTGGGGTTGGATACAAAAAGCAGCTGTAAAAGGCGGCCCGGTCCAGGAAACACACAGCCAGGCAGACGAGCTCCGAGCCATCTCCCATGCCAGAGGATGAAGAGAGCACATCCAGCGATTCACAATCAGAGAAACAGGACTACACTGAAAAAACAGGCCGATCTCCAACATCTATAAACCAGGGTGTTGATGGCAGCAGCACAGCTGATGTTTCTCTCCAGGATGGAGTCACAGCCAAACAGGAACAGATGAGGCGAAGCTACTGTGAGAAAAAGCGAGAAAAGTATTATAAAAGCGTAAATCGCTGCCTGTTTGTGATAGGTCAGTCATCACTGAGTAAGACAGTTTTAATTTTGAGGAATCCACCGTGGATAACTGACATAGCCACATTGTGTGCTGCTACCTGGTGACTATGAAACTACTGGATTGTCCAAAGAAGGTCCATTATATTTTATATTTCAATATCAGTTATTTAACTTTAAGAATGTAGACATATTTCTGCTGCATACAGATCAGTGTTAAACGTACACAGTCATGTACGCCTTCTGTACCCAAAAGAGCAAAATCCAGTTGATCATGATAAAGTAAGGCCATATACTCCAAACGTCTGTTCTGATAGTGCTTTAACAGAGGTGGATAATCTTGATCAGGAAAGTTAAATTCCTGCTTTTCCTTTATCCTGTTCACTTAACTAGGTGATTAGTCCCTCAGGTTATTAGTCTGCATTGTGGAGCTTGAAATGGAAGAGGTTGGAACTGATCTCTGTACAGGTCTTTTACTTTCTGGACCTGGATTATGCTTTTAAGCCTAAATAGAACCTCAGCAATGGGTGCGGTCAGCTGAGCTAAACAGATCTTGCACAATCTGGTGTCAATATCTCTGAACTACCAGAAAAGCCGGATGGTGGCGTTTGACCCAAATACTAAATAAGGCCAGACTGTGCTGTAATGCCTCATTTAGAAACAAGAGCCCAATACAAAATGCAATAAAAAAAAATCTATTTTATTACAGGATCTGCCAAGTAAAAGCCGTTTTTGCCCTTTTCGAGCCGATTCTCCAGTCATTAAATCCGGCCGAGTTTCAGCCTCACCGTGCGTCTTGTGTCATGTAGTATACCAGGGTGTACCGAGGGGCGACCAGGAAGCGTCAGGTTGGAAGAAAATCAAACATGTTTCAAATTCAGTCGACCCTCGTGAGGTGTTCATGGGCAAATCCTCCTGTTGGACTACGAGCGTCTACGAGCCAATATCCCTGAACCTCGCGCCCTCCGCATGTGTAAACAAGGGAATTCTTCTTCTTCTTCAAAATTGATGAGTCTGACCATCATCTCTTGCCGCTGAGTCTGATGTGTGGTTTTTGGTTTTCACAACATGCATCATGTGCTGTGAACTTTTAAACCCAGCGGTTTCGCCTATTGTTTGGGCTGTAGCCGAGTACAACGATTAAAAAGATCATACAGTGTATGATGGCCTTTAGTAAATGGAGCCATGTTTGTGTTGAAATCAGTGACAGTTCTAGAACAAGTTTACCATGGAGGTCAGAGTCAGGCCAATAAATAAAATAAAACAGACAAAAAGCAAAACAAGACTGGACTGAGCAGAAGGAAACAGTGATCCTGTATCACCACAACGGAAAAAGCCTTACTTTTAAAATCATTGATAAAGTAAAGCTATGTAGATTTAAAAAAAAGTGTGATTTTCTCTATT